CAACCAAGGAATTGAAAGATAAATTTGTACTTCCACATTACATGTAAATCACCACCACTAGATTAACCCTGCTCCAGAAGATTGCTCGAATGGAGTATGCTCAGACTCATTTAGAAAGTACTGCACAGTGTTATTTTTGCAGTTTTGTGTTTGGTTAACTTACTTGTCTCTATAGATAGCTAAGAGAGTAATGGTGAAATTGTTTACTTTGATTGCTTGATGCAATTGTGTGGTTCTTGTCATGAATGTTCCGTCGGGATGATAATGTGAAATTGTTTTCTGTTGGCTCGTCTGCGGAGTGACGGAATGCGTTTCTGGAAGTGTGTAAATCTGCAGCTGACTTAATTTCGAAGTAAATTTATTACAGTGACTCTGCAGAGAGCTCAATTCCAACTGTACAAGGAAACTATTTTTTTGTCCTTTCCAAGTACAAATGTTGACTTTCGTTATTTCTTGGAGCAGAGTTTGGATTGTGGTGGTGATTTGTCTGCAGTTCTGTAGAAGTTAGAGTTGAAATGAAACCCAGAGGTGCAATGTTTTAAACCAAACTAGCTCCTCAAATCACCGAGACTGGGCGATGAAGCGTTGAATGTAGAGGAAAAACCCCTGAGAAAATGAGCTGCCACCGGCCGTGCTTATCAATTGCTGCAGTGGGCGGGCTTTTCAAACCCGCCAGCCGTTTTCATTTCCTTGCCAGTCAGCTGTGTTTTGTATTTCTTCCTTCTCTCCCATTCCTCCCAATCAACAGCAGCGCTTTCCATTTTTCCTCATTCTCTCCTTTAACCTTCTGTACTGAAGAGATCAAGGCGCTCCAAAGAGTACGCCCTTCAGAACTGAGTTAAGAGGTTCTCAGAGATTTCAGTTTCCCAGCTCCCATGTCCTGAGCGTGGCTGTTTCGGTGCCATAGAGTGCCGAGGTTGCCATGTGGTTCCCTAAATTGCCTGGGTTTCTGACTTTTTTTTTTAAACTTAATCTTCTGAAAGAAAAGTTTACACACATCGGTATGAGTTTGCAACCTAAAATTCTCCACACCCAAGTGTTTAATGGGGAAAATTCTTTAATTTTTTTTAAAAACATCCACTCCCTTCAAGAGAAGTGCCCTGGGCTTGCAGATGCTTAGATTCCTTGATCCCATACTAGCTCATTCTGATTTGGTCCCCAAATCTTCAGCACCATGATAAGCCTCCATCTTCTATGGGCCAAATTCCATCTAATCCTATCCATTGGAATCAATGGGCATTTTACCATTGGCTCAATGGGATCAGGATCAGACTCTTGCAGTCAGTTCTTGAGCAAATCACTTCACTTAACTTCTGTGTCTGTTTCCCTGTATGTAAAATGGGGATAGGACACTCATGTGAGATAAATGCTACTGGTTAGTTCATATTTGTACAAGACATTTGAAGATGTAAAGTGCTCTATAGTATGTATTTATTTATGAGACTAGCATAGTAGAGGAGGAAGCTTGAAATGTGGAATTAATTTTATAACCAAATTTCTTGTAACCTTAGTTTTCTGATTCAACGTTTCCCATGTATAAGTAATTAGCAGCAACAAGTTGCTCTACTAAGAGGTAATTTTGGGTCTAAAATGAGAGATGTTCTCCATTATGAAATGACTGGAGTAATTTCTCTTTGGAATAGCCTACCTCAGTCCTGCTCTTTCAGTTATAGTGGCATTCCTTCTGGCTTTAGTAGCAGAGAGAAGTTCACGTGTAATAAGAATAAGAATAATTAATAATAACAATAATGTGATAAATAACTTTAGTTCCACATTTTTGAGTATATTGCTTCTTCAGAACAGCAAATCACATAAGCAAGATGTGAACGTGTGATGTGCACTTTTAGCTTTTCTCGTTTGTCTTTTGCACTATTTGTCATCAAATTCCAAGTCTGAAGAAAAAATATTAACAAGACCAACTATATCATGCCAAGTGATCTCAAATCCCATTGAAATCAATGACAATGGAGAATGCCCAGGCACGTTCCGGGATAGGTTCCTTGGTTAGCACTGAAGGAGTAATTAGAAATCTGAACCTATTGCACTTGGAGCATGCAAATGTTTTACTCCCCCCACAAAAAGATACCACACACAACAACAATAGTAAGGGGAACCGAGCCATGGAAGTGCTTTTGGCATCATTTATAAGTAAAGTCCAGCTGTCCAGTCAGCAACATCTGAAAGCGATATCCAAAGGGAAAACAATGAAACACATCCAAGCTCCTTTTATTTCAGCTACAGACATTTTAAAGGGTCAGATGCAAAGGTGGCTGATCCTGAGCTATGCGTGCGTCATTGTAGCTGTGTTGTTCCTCAGATATCAGAGAGACTAGGTGGATAATATTCTTTATTGGACCCATTTCTGTTGGTGAGAGTGACTGAAGAAGAGCTTTGTGTGGCTTGAAAGCTTCTCTCTCTCACCAGCAGAAGTTGGTCCAAAAAAAGATATTCGCTCACCCACCTTGTCTCTGTAACTGAGCTCTAATTCTTGGAAGGTCAGGACGTCTGTTTGTATGAAAGCATAATTCAGTTATACCATAGTATGATTGCATTTTGGCTTTGTGATTGTAATTAGATCTTGGACATCTATTATTTCACATATGTAACCCCTTGAAGGTTTCACAAGTTACTCAAACTTGACTGATTTATGTGTACGTAGCTCACCCTTATGGACTGATTGAACAATTCTCTACAACTAGTGCTTTACACGTTCACTACATATGTTTTTTGAGATAGGTGATACTTAGGTGACCAAACATATTGTTGTTTTTGCTTTGATTGGATAACTCCCAACTTGAAAGGAATTTTAAAGGAAGCAGCCAAACACTTCATAGAATCATAGAATATTAGGGTTGGAAGAGACCTCATGAGGTCATCTAGTCCAATCCGCCGCTCAAAGCAGGACCAACACCAACTAAATCATCCCAGCCATGGCTTTGTCAAGCCGGGCTTTAAAAAAATTAAGGACAGATATTCCACCACTTTTCATTCCAATGCTTCTCATTCCAGTGTAACCCATTCCAGTGCTTCCAGATAAATATTCTCACAAACATGCATTTGTTACTCTTTCTCTTTATGTGACTATCATTGGGAACAAAAATTCACTCAAGAACATCCCTGGGCTTGTTCCTGCAAGATGTGGAAATGCCTTCAACTCCTATTGACTTCCATAGAAGCAAAGGGTGCTCAGCTCACAGCACCTTCAGGAGTTGTTCGACACTTTGCAGGATCAAGCCCTTAGTGAATAATAGAGGCTGAATTCAAATTCAATTCTGTGGTGGTGGTTTGAACCATACTTTTTCGTCTTGCTCGCTCATCATCTCTTAATGGTTATTTAGGGCTAAATGCAGCACTCCTAGACATAATTCCAAACGATTTGAAGGACTGTAGGCGTTGTTTCTTAAAACTATGTATACATTTATAATAAACAGAAGAGTTTGACTTTAAATTTTAAATTAACACTTTTGTTCACTGGTAGGCCAAGATATGAAAATAATTATTTTTCTAGTTTTTTTTAAGGCTTTTTACCATTGTTAGGTTGTTTAGGATTCCACTGAAAATTCAAAACACATATTGTATTTCTTAGTACTGTTTTGCATACCCAGATATACATGAATGCATAATTAGTAAGTTGGATTTCGATTTTTCAAATTATAAATATCATTTAGTTTGAGGTCCTTTTAGGAAATAATACTTTCAAACTAAAAACAGCAGAATGCGTACACACTTTTTCTGAAAGTATCAATAGAATTAAAAATGAAATAGTATTGTCTGTTGTTTAATGTCTAAGAAGACTAAAAACATTAAATAGAGAAAAAGTTAAGAAAACCCTGCATCTACAACAGAAAAGTTTTCATTATCCTTGTAGTTTCTCCCCACCCCTAACATTTTTAGTAAAGGAGAGCACCTGAAGTGAGTTCTTTAATTTTGCAGTACAGAAGAGACAATTTCACCAAATAGTAATTATAAAAGCCATGGGAGAGGAGATGGTCTATTAGTTAAGGCATTGGGTCTAGGAGGGAGAGATCTGAATTTGATTTCTCTGCCAACACAGACTTCCTTTGTATGAAGAAACTTTGGCAAGTCTTTTGTTTCCAAATCTGTAAAATGGAAATATTGCTTAGCTTCGTAAAGTGCTTTGGTATCCTTGGATGCAAAGCATTGTACAAATACAACAAATATTTTTTCTTAGATTTGTTTTATTAGAATTTACATCCTTTTGTTTTTCTTTCTAGATCGAGAAATGCAGAGACTTCAGAGAAATATGAGTGTGTGCCAGCAAACTAAGGCTCTCTTACGTAAAAATCTACTTATCAAATGGAGAATGAAAATGCAGACCTTTCAGGCAAGTACAAAAAGATAGTTTGGGAACAAAAGAAAAAAAGCTGGCTCATGTGAGTGGGTTCTTTCCCTCCCCCCACCCCCAAAAACCACTTTGTATTTGAGAGAGTAGCGAAAGTGAGACAATATTTGAAAAGCCCCAATTGTTGTTGCCGTTTTTTGCGGGGCTTTTTCATCTATCAGAGTTCTTTTTCTCATTGCTGCAACAGACAATAGGAGAAATTCTCTCATCTGCGGGTTGTTATCGAAACTACTCTTCACTTTTAATAGTTGATCATGGTTTTGTGGTGACACGCAGAGCACAGTCTTCATATTATATGCACTAATGTAAAATCAGTAAACTTTTTACGAAGTGTTGAGCTTTGTGTTTCATTGACTGAATAGGCGATATTACCGTTTGTATTTGCGTTGCTGCAGATCAGATTTTCAGGCATTAGCGGATGTGAAAGTTGTAAGCTCTGAATGATGTTAAAGTGACTATATTCTGTGACAAGATTTAGATTTTGCTGAAACTTTCTTTTTTTTTTTTGAAGGAAAACTGTTCCATCTAAAATGTATTGACTGGCTTTGTTGCTTATCTTATAATCAGGGAGGGAACATTGTCTCTGAAATTGTTGTGCCATTCTCTCTGCTCGTTTACTCTTTTCCATTACTCAGGAATGGGTCCTGTCACTCCTATTTCTCTTTCTGGTGTACTTGATATCAACGTTCACGTATCATGTCCCACATCCTGAAGCGCCTCATGCTTTCCTGGGACGATTAGATGACCCTGCCTATAATGCTACTGGGATTACAGTTGCTTATACACCCATGACAAGCCGCACAAGACAAATAATGAATAAAGTGGCTTCAGACTCTGTAATGATAGGTACGTTATGCCCATTAAATATTTAGATTTGTTATTACTTTAGCTGCCGTACCTGTACTGTGTCTTAACATGTTCTGCTAGTATACAATATTCATAAAAACATCAGAACAGCCATACTGGGTCAGACTAACAGTCCATCTAGCCCAGTATCCTGTCTCCTGACAGCAGCCATTGCCAGATGCCTCAGAAGGAATGAACAGAACAGGGCAATTTTGAGTGATCCAGCCCCTGTCATACAGTCCCAGCTTCTGGGAGTTGGAAGTTTAGGGACGTCTGGAGCAATGTAGTTGCATCCTCCATGAATATATCTACCATAATTCTTTTTTTAAATCCAGTTGTTACTTTTGGCCATATTCTCTGTCATTCATTGTCATGGATAGTTGTGTTTTCATTATCCAATACTTTTAATTTTCTCGGAATGCTTGTGAGTTTTTTGTATTAAGAGGGGTGTTAACAGGCAATTATAGTAACTAATTTTCCATTCCTGATGGATCATGCTAACAAATGTTCACAGTACAGCACAACAGCATCAAGGGAAACATATGTTTATTCCCTTGTGGAATACTCCTGAAATTCAGTTTCATGAAAATATTTACTTATTACTTGCTGATCCACAAGCAATGTTCTGACAAACTTGACTGAATTTTAATGGTTCTTTCATTATTTTAGAAACTTCATTAACTGCACATTGAAGTCCAGCAGTGATAGAAGGGGCTTAAGAAAGGAAGACAGCGGAGTTGAAACAATATATGTTTTCCCACTGAATACCTGATTATAAATTGCATTGATTAGCTGCTAGCTGGCATTGCAGGTGACCTATGTGGTGCCAGGTTTAGGACCTAATAAGAAATAAATAACTCAGATCAGAAACTTTCCCTAGAATGATATTATAAAACTCCTCCTTTTGTTGACTGGGAAGCAGAGATGCCATAAAACTGTGATCCAGATTTCAAACACTCAATAATTAGAGTACAATGCACTCCTTTTATAAGAATCACACCTATCCTGGATAATTTGATTCTTCTTAGCAGTTGATTCTTACAAGCAGAATTGCAAAGAATGGATTAAATCAACCATTATGTTTTAAACAACTGACTTTTTTTATTCAATTGAGAAACATCTCATTTACCGTAACTAAATTCTTTAGACTTTAAACATATTCAGCGTGGAACAAAACCAACATTCTACCAGCCATACCAACATTCTAACTGAGCAGCATATTATTATTATTTATTTATTACCCAATCATTTAGCTGGTGCTTTTTTTCAAGGCATTATTAATACTGTGCATGTTACAACTTTACACAAAGTGTAAGTTACCGGCGCTATCTACCTCTTAATGTAAAGATCCAAAGATGTAAATTTTTAAAAATCTCTCAAACTGCAACAAATGTAACATATGAAAGTGCATTATACTGACTTTTATAGCTTAAACTTCAACGTAAAACAACAAAACAGACCGTTTAACAGTAGTGGCTCACATTAACGTTTATTTCAGAGTATCACCATATCTTCCTTTTCAAAGTGATGTAGGAGTTTATAATCATTGAAGCCCCTGTACAATAGACCATTAGTTTTTGTCACATCCTTCATTTGGGTCAAGGATGGGATGATTACCGTGTCATCATAAGAGTCCACCTCTGCATCGTTTTCAGGTTTCACTTCAAAATGGTCTCTGATCTCAGTCACAATGTTATCAGAAACAGGTTGCATAGTAAAAGCATTATCATCAATGTCTATCCACTCTTCAAATTCATGTGCATTGAATCGTCTTGGTGGCTCAACACAATTGCTTCCGCCATATGTGCGATCACCAGACCTCCTTTTCTCCAGCAATTGTTGAAGCACTGATGTCAGACCAGGCATTTGCGAGCATTAAAATGGCATCTGAAAGATGGATCTTCCTGGCCATTTCCACAGAAGTAGCTTTGTTGTTCTCATCATCAGCGTGGTGAAACACCGTGAGAGCCGTTTGCTTATGAAAGTGTGCCTTGGCAGTTCTGATAACTCCCTGGGCACATGGCTGAAGGATAGAAGTTGTGTTTTTTGGGAGGAATTCAGGTTGGATATTCCTCAGTACTACACCTTTTGTCATGTGGGCTGTGCAGATGTCCATAAGTAGCAAAATCTTTCTCCTTTCACGGCCCCAACTTTTGATTCCAGTCCTTCAGCCACTCACTGAATAGATGACCTGTCATCCTGGCAGCTGACTTCGCAGCATAGAGGACTGGAAGATATCTCACATTTTTAAAACACTGTGGGTTTTGACTTTTCCCAATGATGAAAAGGTTCTTTTCCTTTCCAGTCATGGAACAGGTGAATAGAGCAGTAATTCTTTCTATAGACCTCTTTCCTTCTTTTTTTATTGTCTAATTTAAAAGTGAGAGTGCCATCAGGCAGGGCTCGAAAGTAAATTCCACTTTCATCTGCACTCCAAATGTCGTCTTCAGCGAAGTCATGTCTCATTTCGATCCACTAGTTTTCTAATCATTCTTCACACAACCTAATGTCTGTGTCTTTGGCTTCTCTCTTAAAAACAATCTCATCTTGTTTTTGAAAACACTCAAACCAGCCAGTGCATGCCCTGAGGTTGGTAAGACCCAGGGCCACCACCAGTTTTTCTGCTTTCTGCGTCACCAACAGTCCACATAGGGGGGTATTTCTCTCTCTGGCATTTCTGATCCACTTTATGAAAGCGGCCTCGACCATAGGTGCCTTGTCTGGCCACATTGTTTTTCTGTCTCCTTCATTTTGTATGATGCTCTCCCTGCTTTGAGAATCGTAGACAATTAAGTTGTGGAATGCCCAATTTCTGAGCAGCATTGCTTTGGCTGGTCTTGGGAGGACTATTTCAGAACTCCAGAAGATGGCGTTTTTCATCTGCAGAAAGCGTCTTTCTTTTTCCTGCTATGTCGATCAACTCTCACATAAATGGCACAACTTATTTTTTTACACAGGGATGATTCTTTATACGCGCTACGTGCCTAAAAACGCGAGATGTCATCAAATTCAAAACAGCTTTATTGGCTTATTACATGTCATTGCTCTTGACCGAGTATCATGTTACATGTAGTCAGTGTGCCACTAAATGATTCTTATAAGTAGAGTATTTTACTATGATTAGTATAGAAATGATTTTGTCCCAGTGATTTTGATCACTGTATGTGGTTGATGCTTATATCAATAATTTTTATAAACGGAGTGCACTGTATTAGAATCTAGGTTTTCACTGAATCCATTATTGAGATAAGGACCAGCTGAGAAGTTCAGTTGTATATCTACATATGGATTCCACACTGTTTCTAGGAGAAGTTTGCGGGTGTTGGATCCTGGGTTTTAGTTTGGGAAAATCTCTATCCCTATCTTTATACAGTAGTTATCTCTAGATACAGTGCCATCTGTGGACTAAGATACCTACCTGTTGTTGCATTCACAATTCAACTTAAGATTTTCTTATTAACTTTTTCCCAGCTGATCAAATTGAATGTGACCCAAAGCATCTACAAATATACCTGGCCTAGAGAACGGAAATTCAGAGGGGAACAACACACAGCTGGCAAAACTGGCTAGATGTATAAAATCCCTGTGCTCACGTTTTCAGTGTTGTAGCTATTGATCGTAATGTTTTCTGTATAAACCACAGGTATAAAAACTGAAGTGATGGAAGATGAAACAGCTCTGGAGGCAGCATGGATTTTGAACGACGAAATTGTAGGGGTTGTATTTAACGATGACTTCTCCTATTGCCTCAGATTTCCTCCCAGCAATGTGATTGCTCCAAATGAGCATTTTGGACAGATAGGTAATTAAAAATAAATAAAGATGGCCAGATCCTCAGTTGGCGTAAATTAGCATAGCTTCATTGACGTGGATTTGGCCCTTAGTCTACATGTGAGTTTCTGAGCTAGAAAGAACCACAAATGTAAGTCTGTTTTATTGTTTGTAACAAAATAATAAAATCCAACACCACCAACTTTCTTTTAAATATATAGACAGTAGAAACTTTGGGTTTTTTTTTAAATTGAGGATTTAGGCATATTTCTCCCTTTTACTTGAAATATTCCATCCCACTTGATATGTTACATCCCATTTCAGTCTTTTTCCCGTGTCTCATCATGTAGGGTCCATGCATGACAGATCAGCCTTGTGGTCTAGATTAGTATGCATTTTACACTTTGTTTGCCTTACAGTCTATTTTACACCTCCACATACACTCCATATAAATAATGAAAATTATTAGCAAAATTTAGCAACTGATGGCTGATAAGGACTGAACTAGTGTCCTTAGTCCTGTGGCCTTTCAGGAGGCTACATAGTGAAGTGAAGAATTGATTTGCCGTGGAGACTCTGTCTTCACTTCTCACTTTGAACAGCAGTTGTTCAGGGTAGGAATGAAGCACTTTTGTGCAGCAGGGAGTGGAAGTGCCTGCAGCACGGCAGACAATGGTGTACCAGGTTTTTTTGGTTTCTTCTTTGATTTTGGGTTCTGGGTTTTTTTGGCAGGCAGAAGATCGCAGTCAAGCAGCTTTTATTGGAAACTTTAAAAACGCTAAATCATTGGGCAGGTTGTAAACCATCTACAGAATTAAAAAATATGCCCAGATCCTTAGTATGGGGCTGATCCTGTGCCACTGAAGTAAATGGGAGCTTTGGCATTTCACATGCACTTAAGGCACTAAGGTGGGAAGCAGTGAGCAAAGAGAGACGCTGTCAGGTGTATCCACGGCAATAAGGTCCTGCTATTATTCCATGGGATGACACTGAACTAGTCCAATACACTGCTGATCCTTTGATATTTCCACTATCCTTGGGAGCTAATTGCTTGCTGCTGTTGCAGAGTTATTATTGTAGTCCCATTAAATCTGAATTTCTTGACTTTTGTTGGATTAAAGTCCCAACTTTGATACTGCATTAAAATGATTGTTGCACACAATTAAGTAATGTACTTGGCCTTTCATCTTTGCAGATTCTTGTTATAACTTTTCAGGACATTACTGCGATAGTCCAAGATATTGGTACAGAGGATTTCTATCACTGCAATCAAGCATTGATGCTGCTATTATAGAAGTAAGCAGAATTCTTGCACTGAAATTATTTTCTGTTTCTTCTAACCTGCCCCTTAAACATTAAGCAAAATAAATTCTTCTATGATCAGGGTTTTTTTAGTGCATGGAATTATTACAATGTAAAAAAAGCGACGGATCGTCTTGTGTCGGGAGCTTCTACCAAAGAATGACGTGTGAAATAACTCAGAGTCCTGAATGGGTTGTAGAAACTGACTGCTTTTAGTTTCATCTCAAAAACATGCACCCCTCAGAATCTCTGTGCAAAATTACGATCAGTTTTAAAAGTCACAAAATAGAAATGGTAAAACTTACAAAACGTAATGACACAAAGAACTTCCCAGAACACAAGTGAAATGCAACTCACTCGTGCCCAGCAGCATACGGCCCTAATCCAACTGGAACGTCTAACGGGTACTGACATACAGATTATAGCCGGATGATTATCTTTCAGAAGTAGTCAAGGCCACTTTATAACATTTGAATCTGGCAAGGAGGTTGCAACTGTTCTTTCCAGCATGGACTAGTGGACCTCACAACTGTAATTAATTCCTTTACCATTTTGAGACTACAGATCTACTTGGGACTACATTTTTAAATCCACTCAGAAGCTAAAGCTCGTGTGGAATACATGAGTCCATTTGGTAACTGGAGTATTTGGTTGCAAGCAGGCTCAACCCATGTGCCATGATCTGGGCTGGATATCTGAGGTTTCGGGGTAGAGTTGAAAGGGTTGGTATTGACCTCTAAAACCCTAAATGGCTTCAGACCTTCCTAATTGAGAGAGTGCCTCTCTCCCTATGCTATGCTGCTACAGTTAAGATCTGCAGAGGTACTCCCCTCGGCCCAAAGGAGGGGCTTTTGGAAGGGCATTCTCTGTGCAGGCCTCTTTACTTTGAAATGTGCCCCTCGTCCTTGGTCTACAATGACACAAATTGGTTAAACTTTGGAGCATGCTGTACGGCATGCCTTTTTAAGAAACCTGCTGAATAAGCAAATATTGTAAGGGATTGTGTGTCCGGACAGGGGATAGCTTGGTTTATTTCTGTGCTGTGTGTTATGGAGTTGCTATTTATTTTGATGATATATTGGTCTTGAAATATTTGTCAGAGGAGCCTAGAGCATTCTGAGTGGTGCCTTTTGCCATTTTAGAAAGCTATAAAACAGGATAATTGCTCCTCTTACCCACTAAAGGTCTGAAAGAATAGACAGGGGAGCCCCTGTAGCATGTTCTGAAGGCTAAAAAACAGGGGCTTTTTCAGATCAGCATAGGATGCTAATTTCAGAGTTAGAGTCTCACCTCTGAGAATTCTCTGCAGCCAGTCCCCAGCAGACCAAACATGGGGAATGTTGTCAAGAATGCACAACCTGGTCTGCACTGTTGGAATGACAAAGAGGAGAGGGGCTCTCACTAAGGTAACCTGGCCTCAAAGGTTAAGGGGGGATTTTAAAAGATACAAGCGGCATTTAGGCACATAACCCCCAATTGCACCGTCAAAAACCTCCCGCTAGGTTCAAATTCGTGAAGGCTCAGGAAAGAGCCAACTCTCCATGACGGTTTCCATCTACTAGGATATTTACAGGAACATCCCTGACAAGCCAGGCCTCGAGGTCTATCTCACATCTATTTCTCACGGCTTGAAGGCTTTTGGCTGCAAAATACAGTGGAAACAATTGTAATTTCTAGCATCAGCATCGATTCCAAGGTCAGAAGGGACCACTGTGATCATCGAGTCTGGCCTCCTGGGTAACACGTGATGTTTAAAGAGCAGTTGATGTTGGTTTATGCTTTGACTTCACCTAATTTCTTTTTTAAGAAATGTTTTTTTAAATGTTTTGTTCACAGATCTCTGCCCTGTTGCTATTCTGTTCAAGTTCTTGTTTTCTGCCCGTCTCCATTATGGGTCCTAGCACTGGATTTTGTTATGTGCAACATTATAAACTCAGAAAGGGAGGTTGTCAGCTGAGAAATTTAGTGTTGTCAGTGTTAGTATTAAGACTAACCATTTTAATATGCAATTGTCTTTTATTGGGGAAGTGCCTAGAGGCCCCATTGTGCTAGGCACTGTACACATATGTAATAAAAAGACAGTCCCTGCTCCAAAGAGCTTACAATCTAGGCATATGAAAAGACAACCCTTGCTCCCAAATGAATGAAAACCAGCCGGGGGGAAGAGGAGAGAAGACCAAGACAACACTGAAATGATTGTTTAGTATAATAAGCCGCATTCTCAGCACATCGGTTCCCCTGCTATTGAGTGTTTTGCGGTAGCAGTGAGCTTTAAGGAGAGACTTGAAGGAGGGGAGCGTTGTGGCTTTGCAGATTTACATGGAGCTCCTCCTAAAAATGAGGAGTAGCCTGGAAGACAGAGTGAAGGTGCTTGAGAGAGAACTGAGCTCGCGAATCATGAAGGCTGTCGCTGCTGGGAGAGTGGGGGCACGTGGTCCTGGCTTGATGTAACATACGAGAGGTGATAGGTTGAGCAGGGGTAGGCCTTAAAAGACTGGATACGTGGTGTTTGATTGAAAGATGAGAGTGGCCCAGAGTAGGGAGGCAGAAAAGTGGTGATGAAATTAAAGCAACAGGCTAGGAAGACAATCTCAGTGTCAGTATTTTGAATGGACCTGAAGGGGGAAGTCTGCATTTCTCAAGGCCAGAAAAGAGAAGGTAGCTGTCGTCGGAAATATATGATCAGTTTACAGCACCACTCACAATATTAAGTGACATGTTATAACCTTGCACTATGACCATATTTCATTACATAAAACTAAATTAAATGCTCACTTGAATTTTTTAGATGACGACAAATCATTCTGTCTGGGAAGAAATGAAATCGATTAGTGGTGTCCGTATGGGATCATCATCTTTCAAACCATCAGTTACCCTGGAACACAGTTTTATCATTTTTGCTGTTGCAATGTGTTTCTCTCCATTTATGCACTTTCTGTCAATCAGTCTTACAAGAGAAAAAAGGAAGCTCAAGGAATTGATGAAGACTATGGGGTTACAGGATGCAGCCTTCTGGTGAGTAACACAAGTAGCTGAAGTGCATAGGTTTACTGTCTTAAGTTAATAGTTGCCAGAATACATATATTCTTCAGTATTTGTAAAATGAATTGACAGTTTCAGTTCCAGCTTCTCATGGGCAGGAGGGACTCTCAGAAAGAAAACAGCCGACCTCAATTAGATTGGCATCCTTATAGATAGCCTAAGCAGAGAGGCCAAGGACTGAGTGGACATTACCTCGTTACCATTAGAGGTTGTCCCTTCAGAATGTGATCGAGGTGCATTGTTTGGGGCAGCGTGTGGAATCTTGCTCTGCTACTGCCAGTATTTTTTGAAGGGGATGGAGGCCTTCTTCAGTTTTCTAGGATGATATCCTAACAGTAACTCCACTGGAAAACTTTACAAAAAAATGTAACTCTTAGGACTTGCGAACCTCCATTTAATGAGCTGGTGCCCTTTAAAAAGTTACCCAATTTTATTAGATTTGGTGTGCCTAACATGTTTTTACTTAACATCAATAGGGAATATAACAATGGTAAAGCGTATAAAAGTAGAAGAAAAAGGAATAAACACTAGGAAGCTAAGCAGAGGTTAGACAGAGCTGATGATATCATTGATTTTTGCAACCTGAAAGAGAGGCAATGTCGTCATATGAGACCTGTAATAAGACAACAGGTGTGGAAGCCAACTATGAATCTAGAATGTTTGCTTTTCTTAAAAACCCTGGGATCCAACTGTACCAACTAGAACTATGTATAGATCTCCCCTTCTCACAGGGCTAAGGGCTTGGACACTTCCAGGGCAACTTACCCTCCTTGTCTTTAGACTCTGTGCATACAGAGTGGTTGGTTGGAGGTTATGAGCATCATCTCTCACTAGACTTATGGAAATGAGGGCAAAAATATAATACAGCCACAGACTGTAGTGTTTTCCCCTTCTCATTCCTCTACCAAGTCCCTGCCAGGTATAGGAGTCCTGGCAGCATAGTCATAGCTGGCCTAGAGACCCATAGCTGACACAGATGGATGAGGCTTCCAAGCAGATGGCATTGCAAATCATTGGTCCCCTGATATCTGTGATGTTTGGGGACAGCTGGTTCTCTGTGGAGGATGGGGGGTGATGGTGAATGAGACAAACGGTACCTCCATTGGTGGAAAGATTAAGGAGTACAATCTATGTGAGACCTGACAGAACTCTCCTTCCCATTCAACCTTCTTGCTCATTTCCCATGGGAGGGACAGATGGGTTCCCAAGTTCATTGTCTGGCAATCTCCTTTGTATAATGCCTTAATTGACAACTGTATGTGAAATGTTGCTGTGGCTTTTCCAGGGATATCCTAAGTATTTGAACTAACAATGGGATTTACCATATGGCTGAAATCATGACAGCAGTCATCAATTATCCAGAAAGATAACAATATATTTTCATTTTTAGGTTATCCTGGAGTTTGCTGTATACTGTTTGTGTTTTGATTATGGCAAGTCTGCTGACAGCTGTCACAGTTAATGAATATTTCTACACAAGCAGCTTCTTTCCAATATTACTTCTGTTTTTCTTTTATGGCATAGCATCTGTAAGTTGGGATTTTAAAATGAAATTTCTCCATTTTCTAAAGTTAAAATTTCTATGAGCCACATTGCTGCTAGTCGTAGGGCAGATTGGAGAGTGGCCCAACACTGTAGCTTTTGTGTAGTCACACTAATTGAAGAAGCGATTTCTCTAAATCTCATGTAATCTCATAATTGGACATTATTTGAATTACCACCCGAAGAATTTACAGACACCAGACTCTGTGGGCTATGGACAAAAGTGAATTCTAATCTCAAATCCATCCACAAAGACTGATTTTCTTTACAGAACTTTGAGAGACGGAACACATAATGTCTGTGCCCATGGAATCCTTTAGTGGCCGGTAAATAATGAAATGATTTCTGTGCTGCATGCTGCTTTAATTTTATGAAATAAAACTGCCCAAATATAACTTTTTTAACTTCCCCCCCTTCTTCCCCACTTTCGTAGATAGAATATGAGAGAGTGATTCCACTTGGCTCTTAAACTACAGTAGTCATGATGTTGATCAAGATTTCCCACATGAACATGATTCGTTGGGGGAAGAGCCAACATGGCTACTATAAAGGGAAATCATGCCTCACCAATCTACTAGAATTCTTTGAGGGGGTCAGCAAACATGTAGACAAGGGCATTCCTGTGGATATAATGTACTTGGACTTTTCAAAACCTTTGACCAGGTTCCTCACCAGAGGCTTTTAAGCAAAGTAATCAGTCATGGGATAAGAGGGAAGGTCTTCTCATGAATCATGAAATCTCATGAAATCTCATGAAAAGGCAGGAAAAAAAAAGGTAGAAATACATAGTCAGTTTTCAGAATGGAGAGAGGTGAATAATGTGCTGGGACTAGTGATGTTCAATATATTCATAAATGATCTGGAAAAAGGGGTAAACAGCAAAGTGGCAAAATATGCAGATGATACAATCTGCTTTGGACTTAACCATCCTGAGTAATTTTGTAAGGAATTACAAAGGGACCTCTCAAAACTGTGTGACTGGGCAACAAAATGGCAGATGAAATTCAGTGTTGACAAATGCAAAGCAATGCACATTGGAAAATATAATCCCAACGTCACAGACAAAATGATGGGTCTAAATAGGCTTTTAGATGATGAAGGGAGGATATGGTAGAGGTCTATAATATCATGAATGGTGTGGAGAAAGTGAGTAAGAAAGGGTTATTTACTCCTTCACATAACACAAGAACTAGGGTCATCAAATAAAATTAATAGGCAACAGGTTTAAAACACACATAAGGAAGTACTTCTTCACACAAGACATAGTCAACCTGTGGCACTTGTTGCCAAGGGATGTTGTGAAGGCCCAAATTATCACTGGGTTCAAAAAAGAATTAGATAACATAGGAATAGCCATACTGGGTCAGACCAATGGTCCATCTAAACCCCTATCCTGTCTTCTGACAGTGACCAATGCCAGGTGCTTCAGAGAGAGATAAGTTCATGGAGGAGAGGTCCATCAATGGCAATTAGCAAAGAAGGTCAGGGAGGAAACCCCATGCTCTGGTGTCCCTAAACCCCCAGGGGCCTGAATATGAATTAGTTTCAGTCTGAAGTGTTTACAGCCAGTCAAGTCATGAACTTCTGAGGATAGGCAGCATCTTAAGGTGCACAGGTGCAGCTCCCGCTGACTTTAGTCTCTCCAGTTTGTCTCCTAAAGGCCAACTCTTATCTCAATGCCTCTCTCTAGCAGTCCGACACAACGTGTAGGATGCATTTTAAACCTCTGATGGAAATGTATTCCACTAACTAGAAACTTCCTTATCTGCAGATCCATTTCTGTTTCATGCTCAGTTCCCTCTTAAAGAAGCCTAAAGTCACCAGCTCTGTTGGATTCCTCCTCACCTTTTTCTCTGCATGTCTGAGCTTTATTACATTGGTGAAAAAACTTCCTGCACCCTTGGAATGGGCTTTGGGTCTATTCTGCCCCTTTGCCTTTATTACTGGAATCTCAAAGGTATGGTGAATTATTTGGAACACGTATGCAGTAAAGCTGTAACTGGTAGCTAATTGGCTGTATGTGCCTGAAATTTGCCAGGCTAGGTTACTGTTCATTGTGTATTATGGTAGCATTTAAAGTTGCCATTGTTCTAGGTACTGTACAAACACTGCCCCAAAAAGTTTGCTGCTCGCTAGTTTTCAAGTGTCCAGCAAGTGCAGTTTTCAAGCATGCCTACACATTGGTTAAAAACTGTCCGTTTGCTGCAGTTTCCCCTTTGAAGAAAGCAATCATGATATGTGAATATAATTTGTTTGTACTGGATTATATTAGAAGAGTCTGACACATGCCCCAAAATGGTGATATGAGGTTGCACTTTGCTGGTGTGAATCTGTTTCTGGAGCACTTTTTAAACTTTGGAATGAAAACGTACACGCTCCCTATCGTTAGTAGAAATGTATTTCTCGCGAGGAAAAGAAACTAAAAGGAGTGTGGGGTAATGTAGTGCTGGACTTTCCAAAGCGTCTCTGGATAACTGTGTTGCATAAAATTCATCAAAATTCTGACTGTACGTACCTGTGTTTTCAGCTGAAGATTCTTAGTCTGTTTTTTTTCTTTCAGATTTTGCATTTAGAAAAATATGGAATGGGTTTCTATTTTTCTAACATTATGGAGGAATCATATGCTGTATTTACAGCCTATGTCCTACTGATTTTTGACAGTGTTTTATATATGCTATTGGCTATCTATTTTGATAAAGTTTTGCCTGGTAAGTATATTTATAATTAAAATACTGTAGATGTTTTTTTATACATAGACTTACGCCTATAATTTTCTCTCTTTCCCCAGGCCCCCAGCCCCCACTTATTTCAAAGCAGTATAAGTGATGATAGAATAATGCTGAACAAAGGAAAATGTAGAATTAGAATTTACCATCCCACATTGGGTGGATCAGCTAATGTCTCTTTCATCTGTAACTGGTGTTAAACAATATATCCAGACATCAGACTATAGATTGGGTGTGGATTCCTAAATAAGCCCAACCAAGAATCAGCTTTCATATCCCACTTTAGGTTGCCTTTAAAATACACTGTAATTAACAGAGACAAGCAATTAGCTTGTTGTTCAGATTTGGCTGATGTTCACAGCTGGGAATACTAACAGTCATATCAAATTTGGACCCTTGAATATGAAAATATCGTCCAAAGCTGAATGTCCCACTGCTCCAGTACTTGCTCTCTGGCATCATAAACTGTATATACCAAAGTTAAGGCAATCCAGAGCCCCTGCCCCATGATCCTGCTTGCCACTTCCAGTGTCAGCAGCATTCCCCACTCCTTCCTGTCTCCCAGCAACAGAACCCCCTTTTCCCCCAGGGGTAGTAGCAAATAAGGGCATATACAAAACTTATCCCAGCAGCCAGGGTGTTTCTACTTGCATGTGGCCCACTGCCCTCTTTCCTCCTGCCACATAGTGTGAGAGCCCTCAAACCAGTGGGTCCTGGAGCAAACACCCTTTTGGAATGGGTCAAACCTCTCACACCTATAGACTCAGGTGGATGTTTCTGCATTTGGTTTCCTTCAGGTCACAGTCTCAGCATTTCCTTTGCAATGACAAGGGCTCAGAACAGAGGTTTTTAAATGGTATCTGAGATTCAGAGGTCATTAAATGACTCCAGGAGCCAGCGTTCTAAGCACAGACCTGTGACTATGGCAGATAAAGCTAGGGAAGCTAAAGAAATACCAGTGACATGCTCCTACCTTTTAAGCCATTGCCGTCAGCCTGATAAAATGGCCAAAATTATTCAGCCTTTTTTCGGAAATGTGATTTCCCTCTTCCCCTTCCATTTTGAGTGTGTAGGGTTTTTTTTTTTCTTCCCATGATAGCTCAAATCCTGAACCCAGCACCTGGCTCTGACAGTTAGGACAGGTGCTTGAGAGATTAACCTTGGGCCCGATCCTCTGGCTGAAGCTCCAGGACAGAGGCTACTGTAGCCTAATGATTAAAGTAGCCTCAGTAAAGCTCTATATGAACCACCTGTGCTGAGGGAGGGGGGGAAACATCTGCAGAGCAGTGGATTCCCTCCTGTCTCTTATGTGCTGTTATGCCCAGAATGGATTCTGTAACACATGGACGTGTGAACCCAACCACACCTAGCCCTCCTATTTTGCTGTAGAGCTATACCAGTTCTTCTAACAATTGGTCTTTTTGTGGCCATAGAGGGGTGGATTTGCCCAGTGCTGAAATCAATAAAGAGTCAGATGTTTAAAGGTATTTGGGTGCCTCAAGATGCCGATAGGTGCCTAATGGGATTTTTAAAGGATCTAAGGGCTTAGGCACATTTGAAAATCCTGCAAGGTGCCCATCTATATTGTTAGGCACATAAATACCTTTAAAATTTTTGACCCTAAAACTGTTTATTGCCATGAATTATCTTTTAGTCTGCTATGCCTTGATAAACTAAAGATTCATAGTCTTTGTTTCCAATAGACAAATACGGTATGAAATATCCCCCTTTGTTCTGCCTGAAGCCATCATACTGGTGCCAAAGCAGGAGAGGTTATGGTGGTAAGAGACCTGAAACGGAACAAAATCATGAACGTATCTTCAATGACAGCATGGAGCCAGTGCTTCCAGAATTTGAGGGGAAGGAAGCCATCAGGTACGACACTACTGCATGTAAGAAGAAACCTATAGATTACATATTGTATCGGAGGATTAGCAGAGCTCACCTGCAGCTGTTGCTATCCCTGCTCCAGGGATCAATTTAGCTTTACTTCAGCCTACTCAGCTTTCCCCTCCGTGGGATTTTTGCGAGAATATGTTCTTTCACAAAGTAAGAGTACAGCGTTAGGTCAAACGCTATTACAATGCAGATGAGATTAGGAACCAAATCAGGCCAGTCATACATGAACTGAGCCAAATTGTAAATTAGTTTTGTGATGCTAATTTTGTCCAAAAATACCTATAGCAGGGGGAACCCAAACTCCTTGTACCTACAACCTACTTCGGGTTTGATCCCCAAAGCCTTCAAAGGTAAAAGGACAATCTGATGTAACGTTACACATTTATACATGAAGGGGCTGATCTTCCACTCTCTGTAGACATTGACACTTGTGAAAGGGGATTGTAAAAGGCTACCAGATGAGGTATACACTACCTTGCACAGGTATAAATTACTAGGGAGGCAGTGTGATCTAGTGGAGAGCACTGGACTCAGAGTCCAGAGACCTGAGTTCTATTCTGAGCTCTGCTGTTTGTTGACTGACCTTGGTGAAGTCCCTATGCCTCCCTGTGCCTCAATTTCCCCATCTGTAAAATGGGGATAATGTTACTGACCTCCTTTGTAAACCACTTTGAGATCTACTGAAGCAAAGCATTATATATGAGCAAGGTGGTATTATTTATTACGGAGCAAGGCAGTATTTACTCAATAATTGGAATCCAGCGCTAATGATAACTTGCTTCCCTTCCTTTAGACTCAACAATATTAAAAAAACATATAAAACAAAGAACAAGAAAATAGAAGCTTTGAGAGGTATGAAAAGTTTTTTAAACCTTTTTGTTTGGATTTTAACCAAAAATGAACCCAGTCGATTCTGAAATTTTAGGGCTGCTCTTTTCTTATTGTGAGACGATACAGTAATTCTGCTTATCCCTACTTTAAACAGCTTATTAAAATGTTAATCTAGGGACATTGCAAATGTTTTCTTTGCAACATTTAATCCCTATTAAATAAGAAGAAAACATAGTAGCTGTAAAAAATGTTGAAATCAAAAGGTGGAAGAAGTAAAGAAGCAAAATTTGTATCCGCCATGACTGCTTGAAAGCCTATTCCAAAATCTAATTCATGCAACTGATGGTTACCCTGTGACTGTATTTCTATCTTTACTAAGAATAAAAGGGAGTGAGCAGAGTAAACCAATTTAAGATATTGCACCCTCTCTACTAATATAATGAAAAACTTTTTGCAAGTTTGAACCTGGTTACTGGAGATGCAACCCACATTATGGGTTCTGAATTTCTGGCTTTGCTTATCTCATCTTAGATAGAAATCTTATTTCTTTAATTGTCATGTTTGGTACCTGGACACCATACTTTGGTGATGGGCACATAGAAAGAGACAGGAAGGACTTAGTTTACTTCATAAACTTTAATCCTAACATAATACTATTTTTATACTAGGTTTGTTCTTAAATATTTATGAAGGCCAGATCACTGCGTTACTTGGTCATAGTGGAGCTGGAAAAACTACACTACTAAACATCCTGAGTGGACTTTCCCAGCCATCAGATGGTACGATGAAACACTTCTAAACTGAAAGGAAGAATGTGCTTGATTTCAAATGTGCTTGGGTGAAACAACAAAGGACTCATCAATCTTTCTTTGTTCATGTGTACAGGTTCTGCAACTATATACAAATACAAACTATCAGAAATAGAGGATCTGGAAGAAATTAGAGCATTATTTGGGGTTTGCCCACAATTCAACGTTCAGTTTGAAGTTTTAACAGTGAAAGAAAATCTGCGAGTTTTTGCTGAAATCAAAGGGATTCGGTCCATTGAGGTAGAGTATGAGGTAAGTCGGGGTTCTCAAACTTAATTGTACCGCGACCCCTTTCTGACGACAAAAATTACCACACGATCCCAGGAGGGGGGACCGAAGCCTGAGCCCATCCAAGCCCTTGGCGACCCAGCCTTGGCGACCCCCTTAAAACAACCCGCTTTGAGGTCCCGACCCACAGTTTGAAAGCTGCTGAGGTAAGTACATGTTCACTTGGGAAGAACTTCTACTTCACAGCATCCTGTCATTTTCTCATGCAAATTGTGTGGTATAAAATTTGTCTAAGACTAAGACCCTGAGTGTCAGTGGAGGTTCAGCTGTGTTTGTAAATTCAATTTACACTGACAGAGGAGCTAGCCCATTACGTATACAAATATCACGGGTGCATGTGTCCATGATAATAGGAGTACCTGCAGAACCCCATGTAGAGGAGACAATACTCGTTTGTTTGTTTGTTTGTTTTGTGTTCGCTTCTAGCGGCCCCATTCATGGACCCAGCCCCCATTGTGCTAGACGCTGTGCAAGACAGAACAGATGGCCGCTGCCCAGAGAGCTTGGGGCCAGATTTTTAAAGATATTTAGGCCCGACAGATGCAAATAGGTGCTTGGGTGCTTTTGAAAATCCCAGTAGGGCCTATTTGCTTCTTTAGGATCCCAAGTACCTTTAAAACTCTGCAGAAAGAACAGGAGGACTTGTGGCATCTTAGAGACTAACAAAGACTAAATTTATTTGAGCATAAGCTTTCGTGAGCTACAGCTCACTTCATCGGTACATCTGGTACATCTACACAGCAAAATATGCCCATGACAGCAGGTCTCAGAGCCCGGGTCAACTGTACAAATAGCAGTGTAGACACTGAGGCCCAGGATGGAGGTGGGCTCCAAGACCCTGACACCTCGTCAGGTTTCAGCTCCCATGCCCCAGGATGAGCCCAAATGCCTACACTTGTATTTTTAGCCCTGCAGCATGAGCCCCATGAACCCAAGTCAGCTGACCCAGGCTCTGAGGCTTTCTGCCACAGGGTTTTTATTGCTTTGTAGATGTACCCTAAGAGTCTACATAACCCTTTTCGTTTTACCACACCAGGGAGGCAAGAGCACTTTCCTTGCTGCACTCCATTATAATGCCATGATAGTAGAGATTATTTCAATACCTTCACATCACCATTCATTTTTCAATGACAGCTGAGGTACCATTCTAATTCTGAATGGGCATGTAGCTGTGAAATAGTCAGGCTTTAAATCTGAGATCTTGTGTTCTTGTATGACGTCTCAATCTGTGTAGTTTCTGCAGGGTGAGTAGAACTGGAGGTTTCAGGAGTGATCTAGTTGAATGTGACACCCGGACCTCAGAAGCGCAAACCTGGCTAGGCTGCTGTCAGATAAACACAGGCCTCTCCGCATGTAACGTTGGCTTATGTGCATGCTTAATAAAGATCTTACTACCATTCTTCTTGCTCTTGTTCTTGCTGCGTCACTGTTTTCTGACAAAAAAGCATCCAGCACAAACTGACAGACACACATGTTGTTGTGTAACGACTGTAGTTATGTGAAACGGTTACTTACAAGTTACTTACCCAAAAGCCTAAACATACCAGTCCTTGACATTTATTTCTCTGTCATTTTCCAGGTGCAAAAAGTTTTGAAACTGATGGATATTATCAACTTTCAGGACACCCAAGCTAATAAATTAAGTGGTGGACAAAAAAGAAAGTTGTCTCTTGGGATAACCTTGTTAGGAGATCCACAGGTAAAAAGGAGCAGTCATATGCACAACTGGTGTTTGTATCGTATATGCATTTAAACACAGTCTCTGATCCCACAAAGACTTACGCACATACTTATTTCTACACCCTGTGAGGATCCTAGCTCCTATTGACTTCAATAAGACTCATAGTGCATAGTTAGATACATGAGTAAGTCTTTGTGGGATAGAGACCAGACAAAGTACATTTTCATGCCATTAATTTATAAACATAATCTCAAACAATATGATCTGTCCAAGGAACAAGATTGGAAAATACCTAAATGATTCCAGAATGATGACTGAAATTCATTTAACAAACGAAAGATAGATTGAGACTACATCAATACCATGTTTAGCGCAAAAAAAAAGGATAATAAACAAACAAACTAGGAAAACCAGTAAAAATACAGACATAGGGCTTGTGCCCATAGACACATCCAGGAAAGTTAAACTGAATTAACTAAAGGTCTGGGTTTAAAGTGGATTAGTTAAACCATATTAAATCTCTGTGTGGACATTGTCATTCAAAATTAAAGTGGCCTTAATTCAGTTTAGTTTAATTCACTTCCAAAGTTAATTAAAGCCACTTTAATTCTGAATAACAATGACCACACAGGGATTTAGTGTGGTTTAACCAATCCACTTCAAATTCATAACTTTAGTTAATTCAAATTAATTTTCCTGGATGTCCCCATGGAGAAAAGCTTGTAGAGTTGCATTTTGATGTTAAAATCACCTGAAAAGAAAATTAAGAGGTTAAAACCACTCAAGTCTGTAAATATACCAAAAATTATTCATTGTAACTGGATCTGAATGCAGTATTGCCAACCCCAAGTGTTTGAAAATCTTGAATCAGGTCCCAAAAATCATGAGTTTCATGTAAAAATAATGATATTTTAAAAAATTGAGGGGTTCTGTTTATTTGCTTTCTGGTTTTTGAGCCAATAAGGTGCCCTCAGGTCATGTTTTCCATCATTTCCCTGCAACCAAGAGGGATGCAAACTTTGTTAAAACATGAGAGCTGAGCCTCCCATGCAATCATTTGACTCCAGCACCTGGAGCTTTAAGAGAAACATCAATTATCACGAGACTCGCACTAAAGTAATGAGAGTTGGCAACATTGTAAAGGTCTGATTTCATACCTGTTTGCAGGTTTTGCTATTAGATGAGCCAACTGCTGGATTGGATCCCCGTTCCAGACATTTTGTGTGGACCCTACTGAAAGAACGTAGAGCTGGTCGAGTGACACTGTTCGCTACCCAATTCATGAATGAAGCTGATATCCTGGCTGGTGAGACCAGCTTATCTCATTAGATAATAAGATTTTATAAGTAGATGGAATAAGCGGAGTTTTCTTTTAGAATGGACCTTGCTCAGGCTAAATTCTTCGGTGAAAATTCCTGTTGACTTCAGCGGTACCAGGATTTCATCCTCATTGCCTTTAATAGAAGTTTTCACTCAATCAAGTCTGAAAGGTTGGCTTTTACAGGGGAAGAAAAACTCATTGAACTACAATGAAGCAATTCAGGACTTTGTGCTTCACTGTTAAGTTGAGTTTCACTAAATCCAAGTTCACTATAAATTTGTTCTGCTTTAGAATACTAGGGTTACGAGGGGCCACATACAGTGTGAATTCATGTCCATCTCCTATTGACTATTTATCCTGGAGAAGGGGATGTGTGTGTGTGTGTGTGTCTTTTTTTAAAATTAAAATATATCATTTTAATAGTCCTCAGGTCAGGAATGTGGAGGCTTTGCTGCAATACTGAAGCACCAGTCATGTCCTGCAAATGAATCATAGAATCATAGAATATCAGGGTTGGAAGGGACCTCAAAGCAGGACCAATCCCCAATTAAATCATCCCAGCCAGGGCTTTGTCAAGCCTGACCTTAAAAACTTCTAAGGAAGGAGATTCTACCACCTCCCTAGGTAACGCATTCCAGTGTTTCACCACCCTCCTAGTGAAAAAGTTTTTCCTAATATCCAACCTAAACCTCCCCCACTGCAACTTGAGACCATTACTCCTTGTCCTGTCCTCTTCTACCACTGAGAATAGTCTAGAACCATCCTCTCTGGAACCACATCTCAGGTAGTTGAAAGCAGCTATCAAATAAGCAACTCTGTATCCAGTTTGCTGTCCTATCATTTTGACCAAATAATTTCCGTTTTTGTTTCCTGATATTAGCATCCTTCATTTCTCTTACTCTTGATCTGGGGGCAAAGATTATTTTAATTCCTTCACATCTCTATTAACATTACAATAACATCTGAGATACCATTCTAATTCTGAATGTACATGTGTCTGTGAAATAGTCTTACTGTGTCATCCTCACCCACAGCAGCCCCATTACCTAATCTCACCACAAGCTCATTGTATCCTTTCACTGCTTATGCTCTTTATAAGAGACAAGGTAGATGAGGTAATATCCTTCACTGGACCAACTTCTGCTGGCAGAAGGGACACGCTTTTGAGCTTCACAGAGCTCTTCCTCAGGTCTGGGGAAGGTAACCGGAGTGTCCAAGATAAATACAAGATGAGGCAGATTGTAAAACATAAGGGATTCACACATGTTATAGGAGACAACTTAAAATGAAGCAGGCAATTAATACTTCTGCAGTCATAGGATAATGGAGGGTTAGTAGGCAGCAGGTGTGTTGCAAATTGTTGTAATGGGGCCATAAAATTAGTGTATCTGTTAAGTCTGTGGTTTTCCGTGTCCAGCGTAGTCATGAATTGAAGTACCCAGGATCATTTTTTGAAGGTGTTATACAGGTTTCCTTTGAGGACAAGGCTTGGGAGGTCAGGCATGGAGGACTTGCTTTGTGAAAAGTGTTTTGATGGGGTGTTTTTGTCTCTTATCATTTTTCTATGAGATTTCATTTGAGAGCAGAGTAATTTCTGGGGCATTAAATGCACTGGATGAGTTACACCACATATTGTAATAGGCATGTTCAGAACCCATGCATCTTGAAAGGTGTGTTGTGGGGGCTATCCATCATCGTAGCAGTGGACATATGTCTCCAGGTTTTGCGTCTGTTGCTCTGTCAGGGTCAGGTTGCTTTCTGAAGTCCTTTTATTGTCCTTTTTCTTTGTCTATTTCACCCTTGGCATTCTATCCTTTATCATATTGCTCCTACTCTTGCAACAGTTTCCCATGTGTCCACCATGCACCCCATCTGTCTTAATTCCTCTTTAAAAACCCACTTCTGCTAATAATCCTTCCTAAATTATCTTCACCTCTAACCTCTGAATGTCCATTCTTTCTTGAATTATCACTCCATGTCTTGTAACCAATGTTCTGTGATCTGCTTATTAGATGCTGAACTTTAGATTCTTAATTGTGTTAATGACTCAAGAAGAACTAATTCCAGAAAGTGAGGTCCATTAATACATTATTTTGTTTTTCTCTTTCCTTAGACCGGAAAGCTTTTATTTCACATGGGAGAATAAAGTGTGTTGGATCCTCTCGGTTTTTGAAGAAAAAATGGGGGATTGGGTATCACTTAAGGTATTTTATTTTATGTGAAAACGTTCCTGATAGTGCTAAATTTGCATCACAGTAGCAGAAGAAATGTTATTTCATTCCTACCAAGCAACATCTCTGGGAGTTTAAAGATAAATGCTTTCTAATATAGCTTAACTGGAATGAATATAAAAACTTCAAAATGTATTGAGGACACTGTCAAAACATTCCCTCAACCTGGCACATGCAATATCTATGGTTCCAGTTATGAAAAATACATATATTTTTGCTGTTAATTTTATTTTTAAGGCACTATGATCTGAGATCACCTTTCATCTGATGTAACACCTTGGGTATTCAGACTCCACTTGCAGCCAATTAATTTTTTTTCTCATTATTGTGCCGAATTCCTAGAATCCTCGTAATGAAATGTTCCATTAAGCAGATGTGATTCACTTCCCCAGGTAAAAGAGCTGTTGGCTCAGAAGGCACTCCATCCTAAAAGCCATCTTTCTTTTCAGCCTGATCCTCAAATTCTGGGCATCTCTTATAAGATGCTGAGTATCCTCAGCTCCTTTCAATAGGCATTGAGGTTCCTAAGCACCTTGCAGGACTGGGCCTTTTTTGTAAAACTCTTTTTGCCAAACTCTTCCTGTAGATACTGTCAAATCAGTTGGTTATTCCTAACCACTTGTTTTATTACATATAGCAACCTCATGTGTTTGCTAAACACAAGGAGTTGGTAACAAATCGTTCAATCCTTACTTATACAAAATTTCCACTGAAGTTTTGTCTAAATAGGATCTGCTGCAGGGATTGGATGTTATTCTGGAGTAAAGACTGCTGGATTTGACTCTCTTGGTATATGACATCATAATGATACATACATTGTTCTTGTGGAAATGTAAGCCTTTGCCTTCTTAATATGAACAGGATGCATGTCAGTGAGGTTTGTGACTCTGAGAGCATGATATCCCTGGTCAGACAGTACATCCCTGATGCCACATTCACAGGACAGAATGGAAATGAACTGAGTTATACGCTGCCCTTAGAAAATGTGGATAAATTTCCAGGTAATGATGTGTTTACATAATCCAGAATCCACCATGCATAGAACAATTTCTCTTTTTTCTGTTTTTTTTTAATTAATGTTGAGAGATATTGTATCTGACTCCTGAATTCCATCAGGAAGGCAACCTACTGATGAGGAACTTTTGCATGAGGAATTTTTTCCAAGATTTTAGTCTCCATATGTATTTAAGATCAAAATATGTGTTTTTCTTCCATTCATGACGAAGTACATAAAAATTGAACTTGACACAAATATTTATTTTTTCTGTTAAATGCAGGGTAATGATGAAGGAAACTGAAAGGAATCCTCGTAGGTGCTGGAACTAGGGGTGTTGGGGGTACTGCCACACACCCTGGCTTGAAGTGGATTCCATTAAACACAGGGTTTACAATTTGGTTCAATGGCTCTTAGTAGCCCCATTATACAAATTGTTCCAGCACCCCTAGGAATCAGATTTTAGTTTCAGTTTAGTTATTTAAATTTTGATATTTCTTTGAGTCTGCAAAGGGCCAGAGTTTGGAGTCCATGCTCCCTCATAAGAATTCTACTAATTTTGTGTTTCCAACTGGGCTGGAAATACTGTAAGCGCAGTCTTACTTACCGCATTTTGGCATTTACAGATCCAGCCCTAGCCAGAGCCTAAAAATGCACAAAAGGTTGAAATTTGAAAAATAATGGTAGGTAGGTACTGTGACAAAGCTCTGTCCTTGCCTTCGTGGGTCCCACGTTTCCTGGCGGATTTCGCTAGCCTCAGAGGCTCGCTGTGATCCTCCACATAACCCTTCTTTCTCTAGAGACAAGGGTCACAGTCTACTGAGCCATTTTCATCATAAGCCAGCAAGGGTGGTGAGGAGAAGTTATCCTTTCTTGCACAGTCTCTGTTGTCTCCCTGTCTTAGTGATTAATCAGGGGGCAAAGGTGGCGGGGGGGAGTCCGGGCCCACCCTCTACTCCGGGCTCCAGCCCAGGGACCCTAATAGTATCAGCTATGGTAGCTGACCTTTTAGAAAGATGACATGTACAATTCCCTGGGCTACTTCCGCCACAGCAGCCCTCACTTCCTCAAGCTCCACTTCACCCTTACCTCAGGGCCTCCTTCCTTGTGCCTGATATGGTGTGTACTACTCAGCCTCTCCAACAGCGCAACTTCCTCCCACAGCTCCTGACATGCACACCCACCTGACTGACTGGGAGGCTTTTAACTAGTTTCAGCCAGCCCCTGATTGGCTCCAGGTGTCCCAATCAACCGAGCATTCTCCCTACCTTCTGGAAAGTTCTTAATTGGCCCCAGGTGTCTTAATTGACCTGGAGCAGCTTCCATTTCACTTAACCTGGTACCAGGGATTTGTTTAGCCTGGAGCTAATATATCAATCTCCCACTACTTTTCTATAGCCATCTGGCCTTGCCCCGTCACAGTACGTTAAACAAACGAATGAGATGAACACAAGAAAATAATGAAATGAAACTGGTCACTGGGAAAGGCAGTGGTCCCAGTGAATCAGCTGTCTAAACCTTGCTGGGTTGTTTGTTAAGGCATCATAGCAGCTAAGAGTTCTAAAGACACATTTAAAAGAGGACACTGAGTTGCCTTTGCAAATCATTACCAGGAACTCGTTCCATGCATAAGAGGTAGCATGGGAGAATGTGTAAAGGTGTTTGAAAATTTTAAAAGTGGACAATCAAAATTGGCACCTGGTATTTTTTTGACTCTTGAGCGTATGTATTCCAGTAAAACTTCAATTCAATCTTTAAATACTCAGCAGAATATTATCAAACACGAAGACTGATTAAAAATAGAGACCTGGAGATTTCTGTAAACCCATAATTCTAATGGTTACCCTAGGATTAGAAGACAGGGTTAAATTCTGCTTTCAGGTACAGAAGTGTGTTCGGAATTACATTGAATTTACATTTCTATACCTGAGAGCGCAATTTTAGCCCAGATAAATTTTAATTTTCTTATGCCTTCAAGGTACATGTATCATTCTGTTGTGCAGATCTGTTCTGTGGCCTAGACAGCCACTCTGACCAAGGGATTATTAATTATGGCGTTAGCATGACAACCCTCGAAGATGTCTTCCTGAAGCTGGAGAGTGAAGCAGCACTTGATCAAGAAGGTAAAATACTGAGTCCAAACATGCAGTTTTCAGCCAGGGAAAATTATTTTTAAATTAATCGTATGCTCTTTTTCTGCTAAATGTGAATCCTTACCTTTTTGGGCATCCTCAAAGATAGAAATGACTAGCAAAATTGCTTTGAATAGTTAACTATATTTTTAAACATGGCTAAAAAACAACTGGAAATCCAAACATATAGAACACAGAAAGAGGACTTTTTTTTTACTCCTGACTTGCTATCAAATATTAAATGGATGACAAGGTAAGTGCTTATGTTTCAGAGTAGCAGCCGTGTTAGTCTGTATCTGCAAAATGAAAAGGAGTCCTTGTGGCACCTTAGAGACTAACAGTAAACTAATACATTTGTTAGTCTCTAAGGTGCCACAAGTACTCCTTTTCTTTTTGTAAGTGCTTTTGTAATTATTTCATAAGATACAACAACAAAGAGGCAGGCATTCTTTTAGAAAAGTCTGTAGCATAGGCTTCATTCTGCAACTTATTTTGCAAAGTTCTCCTGAATTGTCCAGGGAAGAATGTGTACCAGTGCTCCAATTTTTAGATTGGATTGGATTTCTTAAAATCCATACCTTAAAAACAGAGACAAAGCAGATTGCTCCCTAAGACAGAGATGCAGAATTCAACCCACTTTGTTCTCGTCAGGCTCTTTGCAGACTCCCTGCTGAGAAGCCAGATGCCGCACTTCCCTGCAGAGCCCCCTTAGCCTGCAAGCAGGACCAAGAAATCCTTAGAACTTGAAGTGGTAGCTTGTGATTCTAACACAGTTTTCAATATACCACAGTTTTTCTATTTTTTTAAAGTGATCTCTGCAAAAACCACGAGGAGTTCTTGCGGTCCCTTAGAGACTAACTCATTTATTTGAGCATAAGCTTTCATGGGCTAAAGCCCACTTACGGCTACCACTCTGAAACCTGCTAAAGATCCGACGAAGTGGGTATTCACCCACAAAAGCTTATGTTCCAATACGTCTGTTAGTCTATAAGGTGCCACAGGACTCTTTCCTGCTGAAGATTAAATCCCAAACTTTGGATTTTGTTTCAGTTCATAGAACTAAGGACTGTATCAAACATTGATTTTTTTTTTTAAATTTCAGAAAATGTATTTATTGTTTCAGTCTTTCACTTAAGAATAGTTTATTGTTCTTATACTTTAACTGTGTCTAATAAAATTGGTGATGGGCTTAAAACTTTATGCACTTAGAGCCTGATCCTGCTCCCTGTGAAGTCAGTGGTGCAGAATCAGGCATGTGGGACAATATGCTAACCAAAGCACAGTGTCTACTTGTTCTTAGTGACTCTGAGCCTCAAATACAACTGGTTACGTACACTTTGTGTCTGAGTATTATAAATGTCTCTAGTCTTCTATTTGTTTATTTTTAATTAATACAGTGAATCCAGGTGCTATTCCACAGAATGCTCCTAACTCCTAAGAATTCTATTTTATGAAAACACAGGTTTCCATGAATGATGAACATTTCCTTTTGGAGGGTTCTCCGTGGTGGCTTAGGGGTCTATTTATACCTGCAACATGAAAACATTTAAAGATTTAAACATGAAAAATTCTACTTAACACTTTAACCTTCAGATGTCCTTTACTAAAGTGTATAATTATGGAAAAGAAGCCTTATGAGTGGAAAACTGGAAGAGATCTCTGGATACAGAACTGTGGATGAGAGATGGATTTTCTGTACATCCCTTCAAGGTCCTAGAGTGTTTTCTATTACTTAATACTCCCCAAAGAGCCCATCTTAACTGAGATATCTTCCCTTGTAGCAAACTAGAAGATAGTTATGTTCAGCCTGCCATGTAGTACTTGTCAGTAGTTGATAATTTTGTGTATTCTTGTCCCTGCCAGTGTTTCTGTTTTTATTATATGTAAAAAAACATTGTCAAGGAGTTATGCTGAGCTATGTACTTTAAAAACTCTTTGTAGATTATGGTGTTTTCAGTGAGGAGCAGGCAGAAGAGGAAAGAGATGCCTTCTCTGCTGATGAAATGGAACAAGGTCTCCTGTCACTCTCAGACATAGGAAAGGCGACTGTAAGTGGCACAGCCCTCTGGAGACAGCAAGTCTGTGCCATGGCAAGAGTTCGCTTTTTAAAGCTAAAGCATGAAGATAAAACCCTTAGGTTCATGTAAGTGCCAGTGTTTCTGACTTGTTTAGGTGAAATCAGTCTGTGGGAGGATGTTCATAGCACAGCAATCTGCAGAGTGGGCTAGGATGGAACTTCAGGGATCCACTTCCCTCTCACCTTGAATGTTCCTGGACCATTGGAAATAATTCAATCACAACAGTGTTTGCTTGTAAATCACATATTTGCTCTAAATGATTCGTGACATAGAAAGCTGATCATCCCAGTGTTCTGGAGAAATGCCTACCTTGCCAATTCCAGCTACACAAAAGCTTCCCTAACTACGCATCCCCATCCCATTATTAATTTATTACCGGGAGTTTCTTGCACTGAACGATGTACATAATTAAATTAGTCATATGATTATTGGCACTGGTTATAAATCCCATGTTCTTTCTTTAAAAATTTTTTTTTAAATATCTTGATTTTTTGTGGGGGGTGGGAAAACTTCAAAACTAAAAATCAAAATTTTCATTTCATCTTGGTATTTTAAAAAAAGAAAATGTTAAAAAATATTAAATTTTTGTGTTTTCTCCTTTCACATTTTTTCCCTTCCCCATATTGTCTATGAACGCAATAGAATGAATAATGTCTGTTTGTTCTTTCAACTTTTTATTGTTTCTCATTAATTCCCCCCTAATCGGTACATTTTCAAAACTTCTCCAACTCTGGAAAAACTCTGTAACTTTTCCAAAGTTTTAAGGAAGTTGTGAAAAGTTAGAATTGAAAAAAAGAAAAAGGAAAAAGGAAAAACCCTAGACATTCATTCTGTTGCATTCAATAGCAGAAATGGGGAAAAGGATAAGTAAAAGGAAAATACAAAAAATCCAAAATTTAGAATCTTTTTGACTTTCTAAAAGGAAACTAAATAAAATCTTTTAATTTAATTTTGTATAGAAATGTCCTGTCAAAGACCAAAAAAATTAAACAACATTTTTCTGTGAAGAAAAATTGTTTTGAATTAAACTCTTTTCCGGCAGAAAATCTTACTGTAAAAAAAATTTCAAGCAGCTGCTTGGTTATTATGGTTAGAACTGTCTGGATCTCTTACCCTTCTCGTCCCCCACCGACCCAGGAAGTTGGAGGAGCACCTTCCATCTGGTGCCTTCTGAGGCGGGGATGGGCCAGTGGGGACCTGTGTTTGAGCAGCGGTCACCGGAATCCCAGCTTCCTTCCCTACATCCCCTGTAGAGGCCGTCTGCTTCTGAGGTTCCCACTGCTGCGTATGCTGCTGCTGCTTTGGCAGTGGTGTCAGCCCGGCATTAGACGAGAATGTTCATGTTCAGTTGTTGTTTTTTGCATACTACCATAATTTCCCTGAGGAACACAAGCAATAGAAGGGAAATGGTGATTTATGAAAGTTTATATCTCTGCCAAACCTGAATGGAATTTCATGGGTCAAAGAAAACGCACCTCTCTAACCCTGGAGCTTTCTTCCTGCTGAATTTTAAAGGCCTGACTTACACAATGGGGGTGTTACACATTCCCAAAATAAAGTGGCAAGAATCTTTTTTTCTCAATACAATCGAAATATATGGGTTGCTACTAGCTCCCCCTACAATAATGCAACTTGCAAAATGTCTTCTCTCCAAACTCATTTGTGATCTGTTCTTCTATCTAGATTACTGCTGTGTGGACTTTTTATGCTACCGTTAGCTATCCAATTTATCATAATTCACTTATGGAAACAATTCAATTCTTGGGAGCTGTCCTCTGGTCTGTATTTTTTTCCTCCTGGAAAACAATCTCACAAGGAAGTCACAAGCCTTCTAGTCTTCAATGAAACAGGTGAGGGGGGAAAAACAGAACAGCAAGGTTGGTCTTTTTCTACACCACTGCTGTTAGCCTTGCAAGGAAATTTGACGGGGGAAGAGGGGGGCGGGAATATTGGCAGAGCAGATGTCATAGAGGGCAATACAGGGCTCAACAAGGAGAGCAACCCAAGAAGCAGAGAAGGACAGGGTGATCTGGAGGTGGTGGCAAAAAGCTTATGTTTGATGTGAGGCTGAATGACAAGCCAGAGAAAGGATCTGAGGAGAAGAATGACATTGTCAGATCACCTGGAAGGCAAATAACTTTTGTGGTTTCGTTTTGTATTGAACGAATGAGGGCAACGTGTGTTTCGGCCACCTGAGAGAAGGATGCTGCAGTATGCTGTGTATTTATACCTGCCTACTGTATTTTCCACTCCATGCATCTGATGAAGTGGGTTTTAGCCCATGAAAGTTTATGCTCAAAAAGATTTGTTAGTCTCTAAGGTGCCACGAGGACTCCTTGTTCTTCTTGCTTAAGTTGTGAGGAGAAGGAGCCATGGAGCACAGAGAGTTTGAGAAGGAAGGGGTTGTGAACACTGTGGTAATGAAAGCAAGGAAGTGGGAAGGAATGGAATAAATAAAGCAGATGGACGTGAGATGGGAGACTGCGTTCAGTGATGGGAGAGGTGGTGTTAGAGAGAGAGACACAGACAAGGTAGCAAAGAAGAAGAATCATAGGCATGATAGCAAGAGAGCAGAAATTAATAGTAGTAAAACAGCTGAAATACAGAAGAATTAGGGCAGTAAACTAATTAAACATGCTGAGAATCAGCAGAGTAGTGAGTCAATTCATAATGCAAAAATTTGGAAGCAGCAAATTAACTAACTGTGGAGAAAATGCAATGGATTATTACACAAATGGTGTATGAATTCTATAGAATTTACTTTATTATAATTTCTCTGGTCCTGTTTGGCAGGTGGGGACTTTTTACCAAAGACCCGAGGAGAACTTTTATTGTTTAAAAAACAAAACAAAAAACAACAACTTCAAAGATTGCGATTTCTCTGCTGTTGCTTCATACTAGGTTCAAGTATTCAGGACTTCATCCATGCCCTGGAGACTCAGAACATAATGCTGGAAATAGCAAAAGGGAAAAATATCACAGAGAAGCTAATACATAATGGGGCTATACAAGTATCCTGTGAGCACCAGGTAGTGTGTGTCTCCTTTTTTCTTTAATAATTAACCAAGATGCCAATGTGGGTTCTGTGGAACTTGTCTGAATGAAGCTCCTGATGGATAAGCGCCAACGACATGAAGATCAAACATAAGCCAAAGTGAAATTCACAAAATTGTAAAATAAACAAACACATCAAAATTTAATTCAAATATGGCCAGATTGTAGCCCACCTGCATCCAGGAGAAAAGGGGCTTGGGGTTCCATGGAATCACTTCCAGTATATGGGGGTGTCAGGCTTTTCAAAGCTGTTTTGTCCCCTTTCTTGAATTTGCACTTGGACAGGGCAGAGCTACACAGGTGCACTGGGAAGTATACACTGCACCAGGGACAGGCAGATCACAGCACACGCCCTCCGCAAAGTAGTGGGGAGATCAGAAAGAAGACTGTGGTCCTAGTATTCACAATCCCTCTTCAGGGCAGCTCCAGGGTCGGGTCAGCAACACACTGCTCCTTACACTGGGCAAATCACAGACTGATGATCTAGACCATCTCATATTAAATAATAAGCAATAATCTTATGTGGGTAAGCAAATGGGCTTATATTTAGCCAGGAAAGGCCTGATTTTGAGCTGGGTCAGGTCACACGCTTCATTTTTGTGGTTGCAGTTTTACGCTCTCAGTGAATTGTGGATGCATTTTATTGAGCTGCAAAACCAGGAGCTGTCTCTGGAACTTGCCCTAAAAATGGAACAGCATTTTACTGTAAATGCAAAACAATCTGATGCTATATGACTGTGACAGATATTGCAAATTCATGAAATATCTTTTGTGAAATGTGGCTTTAACTTTATAAATATTGTCTGTATCTTTCACCCCGTCCTTGGAAGCATGAAAACTTCAGAGGCTGTTGTATTGAGATGAGCCATATGATAAGGACAGGAGAATATTTAGAGGCCTTTGTGTCAAGGCATGCTAGATGTATTTGTGCATTCCTGGCTCGCTGGGCACGATTTCCTGGAGGATCTGGAATCACTCAGGCTGTGTCTACATAGGGATAAAAAAAGTCAGCTGACTCAGGCTTGCAGGACCTGGGCTCCGGGGCTTTAAAATTGCTGTGTAGATATTCAGGCTCTGGAGCCCTATGAGAGTGGAGGGTCCCAGAGTTCAGGCTCCAGCCCAAGCCCAAACGTCTACACAGAGAATTTTAGCCCCTCAGCCCAAGTCAGCTGACACAGGCCAGCCATGGTCATGCCCGGGGTCTTTCATCCCTGTGTAGATGTACTCTAAGAGGTGATTCGTGAAAAATACCAACACTGGTTATGCAGATACCCAGCCTTAGTAGCCCTCTCAGGGAAAGGGGCAGTGACAGTTGTTATCTGATTTAAGAGACCCAGGAAACACAGAGGCTCGGGGCATAAAGGGCCACCCTGAACTGACAAAGAGGACAACAAATTGACCTTTTGTCCAGTGGAGATGCTAAACCCTGTGCGAGGATTGGAAGGACTAGAATCTGCCAAGGTCTTCATGGGAGTCAGATGCAGATTTACAGTAAAACACAGGGTGCCCTGGCATGGGGCCCCCCCAACTGTGGTGGCAGAAGCTTGGTCCTGCCGGCTCTTGGGGCTCCTGCTGCAGGCTCTGCCCCCACCATCAGCCAAGCTTCACCTCCCCACCTCCTCCCCCAAGCGTGCCATGTTCCTGCCCCTCCCCCTCTCCCTCCCTCCCAGCGCTTTCCCCGCCACCAAACAGCTGTTTGCCGGCGCTCAAGTCGCTCTGGGAGGGAGAGGAGCAGTGCCGCAGCGCGCTCAGGGGAGGAGGTGGAGAAGAAGCAGGGGCAGGGCCTTGGGGAAGGGGGTGGAATTGGGGCAGGGCGGAGCAAAGGCGTGACCTCCGCACTCCCCCTACACATACCCTCCCAGCCCCTTGCCTTGAGCTGCTCAGGGAGCACCCCCACAACCCCAGCTCTGACTCCTGCACCCCTCCACATCCCCACCCCCACCCTGAGCACCAAACGGGAGCTCCTGCACCCTGACCCACATTCACACCTGCACCCCTCACACCAAATGGGAGCTGCCCCAGGTAAGCGCTCCACACCCCAACCTCCTGCCCCAACCCTGAGCCGCCACCTGCATCCTAACTCCTGGCCAGACCCTGCACCCCAACCCCCAGCCCGCTCCTGCACCCTAACTCCCTCCCAGACCCTGCACCCCCCAGCCCTGAGCCCCCCCACCCCCTAAGTCCTGGCCAGACCCCACACCCAAACATTTTTTAACATTTTTTTTATAAAACGCGCTTATCCAAAGCGCTTTACCATCGTTAGTTAACGGTACGAACAATCTTTGGAAAGGTCATTAAGTGGTCGGCTGAGACACTCAGCGGTTTTTCAAGTGGTCTGTGGAAAAATAAGTTAGACTACAAAAACTATCAAGGTAATTCTCTTTATTTTCATTTACTTCCTATTACTTATAGGAGAAGGAGGAAGAAAAAAAGAATGAAAAACAGGGGTGTAGGGGGAGAGATCAGAGCGAATGTTCTTTTTCTTGGCTGGGTCCCAAGCAGGGGCCCCAAAAATGAAGCTGAGCACAGGGCCCCACTAACTCTAAATCTGCCACTGTTAGGAGTGGTATAATGGTGTGCAGTGGTAAGCTTGCATAATTTATTGTCTTCATGGGACTACAATGAGGGACATTTCACTGGTCTGAGTCTGTTTGTCCAAAACTATGCTAAGTAAGCCTGACTTCAACTCAACCACATTTACTAATCTCCTCTAGATACAGGCTAACACCTCTTGGCTCAATTTTAGCAGGTCAAGTTGTAGCCTAGACTCCTGCCTACATAAATGCAAAACTAATTCACGCATTCCTAGATTCATCTCGCAGTAAAGTAGCCTGTGAGTGAGAATGTAAACTGATGAATAATTTTCCTGATTCCCCCTCCATTAGAAAACACCTTTGAGCTTTTGTCTTGTCTTGCTTTTCTTCAGAGCTACAGGTTTACAGTTATGTGCAGCATAGAAACAATCAACTGCTTTCCAGTGCTTGTGAACATCATCAGCAATGCATTGCTGCGAACCTTAAATTCCACAGCACAAATTCGAATCTGGAGTCATCCATTTTTTCCTGTAAGTGTCATAACTTCACTGCCAGAAATGCTTGTAATACATATGGTTGGGAAAGAGGTATCTAATTTCTCAATATGTGATCAGGTTTTTTATTAGGAAGCAATTTTGTTTTATCTCTTTTTATGTATAGGTCCAAATTCATCACTAGTATAATTATAAACACTTTTTTTTTTTAGCAGAGTTGGGCCCGCATATACTAGTGGAGACTTTGGCTCATATCCTTTTGTTGTAAAAAAGAGAACTCTGCACCATAGCCTGTGTGTAGGAGAACCTTCTTCGGGGGTTCATTGGCCCTCCCTAGTCATGAGTCTTGAACTTCCCTTCTGGCAGCCTCCCCCTAATCATTGGGTCTCTGGTGCGGGGTAGGAGGGGAGTATGGGAGAGGAGGGGCTATTGGAGGGGGAGGAGAGGTTATGGGAGGAGGCATGAGGACACAGGGGACCTCCTTGTAGCCTGGTGTTTCAGACACTCAGCTGGGTGGTTGGAAAGCCAAGTTCAAATCCCTATCCAACATCAAGCAGACGGGGGAATTGAACCAGCTCTCCCGCATCGCAGATGAGTGCCTTAACCACTGGACTAAAAGTGATAAGGGGGTACCTCCTCCAAAATTTTATGACTCTAGACCTTTTAAAATGCCTGGAAACAAAACATATCAAGTGGAATGAAATGTGTCCCTCAACCTGAAACAGACTTTTTTGAATTTGTTGAAATCTTTCAGAATTTTCAGGTTTGATTTGACCTAAACCAATTTTTTCCCCAAATTTTTCTGAACTGCCAGCAAACAAAAAAAAAACCCCAACTATTTGCCGAACTTTAGCTGTGATACCCAGACTAATACAATGCAGATGTTTTCTTCAGATGTTTTCTGATTTTTTTTCGCCCCCCCAGGAGAATCATCAAGGATTATGGAATTATTTTATTGATATCTATCTTTTTTTTTTGCTGTTTTTAATTCCTGGTTTCCCACCTCACTTTGCAATGAACAGCATACAAGATTATAAGGTAAAATCCTTGAATTTTATTAGACATTATGTAGGGGGAGGCCTGGATAGATCTCAGTTTCAGTACTGCATTTGGTTTGGGCTGTCACATTCTTACAAGGACATAGCTTGGAGAGTTCAGAGGAGAGAAATCAAAATACTAAAAGGTTTTGAAATTAACCACTCTGAGAAACAGCTAAAAGACCAAGGCATGATCTATCTAGAGAAATAAAACTGAGAGCAGAGGCAGAGTGATAGCTGTGTACAAATATGTAACAGGTCAAAGACAGGTACTCTCATGACGGAAGAAGGCAGGTTTAATAGAATCAAATTGCAATTATAAAAAGGGGGGGGTTGTTCTTTATTTTCCAGAAATATACAAACTTATTCTCTCATTTCTCCATCTTCTTCTTCTCCTCTGATGTACAGGACATTGCAGGCAGATCAGATGGACTTTCAGTGTTTCTCAAACGCGGCCACCAGGGGCTTTTCTTGTGGCCAGAGCCTCCTGGGCTGTGATTGGAGGAGAGGAGGCAAAGCAGTGGCCACTCCCCCTCCCTGTTGCTCCTGGATGCCCTGTCTTGGTCTTGGTTGCTGAGGCCAGCAGCAGGAATGCCCCCTTCTGGAGTCCCCTGGTGCACACTGCTGTAGGAGCAGGCAGCCGATGAGTTCCCTACTTTCCCATGTGCGGTGGGGCTCAGGCTTTGGGCTTCAGCCCTGGGGTGGGAGGGCAGGCTCTGGCCGTGGGGCATCGGGCTCCAGCCCCCTGCTGCCTCCCCCAACCCCTCACCCCCATTTCCCCTGGCCCCCGCTGCCTCCCCTGACCCTCCATCCAGGGCTTAATTTGTCCCCAGGCTTGCCTGGGCTGAGTAAGTCTGCTGTGAAAAGTGATACCTGTATGTTTGTTCATATCACTTTTCACAACAGACTTAACTAGCTAGCAATAAATATATTACAATGATTTGGACGTGTCTATGGGCATATTTATTTGCTTTGCCTAAAGCTAATTAAGTATTTTAGGAAAAAATGTGAGAGTGGCCACCAGCAAGAGTTGGGGGCCACACTCTGAGGCCACAAAAAAAATTGTCCTGAGAACGCCTGGCCTAGGTGATGGACTCAGAGGTGATTATCTACCACTATGAAGGAATGTGTGTTCTGAAGTCTTTCACTGAATGCAATAGAGTTGTATCAGGGATCTATCTAGCTACCTAGTTACACAATGACTTCCATCATGATAGTGTCTGGGAGCCTCCCAAATATATAAACATGACAATAACAGTGTCTCTTTCTCTTCCTCCCACTCTCCCCTCAATCTTCCCAGCCTGTAGGGGAAATAGCATGATTAATGTATAGCTTTCTGTTGATGAGTGAAGAATACACTGAAGGAATATTAAATCTGCCCGCATGATACCCTGATGTATCCCTTTATCCATCTACTCTATTGTCCTGTTATACACAGCATGCTCATCTAAACTGACATGAGAAACATCCCTGGATTTGCTTTAATGAATGCAGACAATCATAGAAAGACTCTTTGTTCTGGAGCTACCTTGATAACATTTTTAGACACTGGTTAATGAAGAATAAAAAATGAAAACCAGTATTTCAGGGTACGCTATTAAGATATTTCCACTGCCATCGGGACAAGAAGCAAGGAGACAGGAAAAAGAAGCAACTAAAGAAGGAAGGAAGAAACAAATGGGGTGGGAGAGAGAGAAGCGGGGAAAACAGACATGTGGACAGTGAAGAGGAGGAGGAGAAGAAGAGAGTGGCAATAGCTAGAGACAGGGTTTCAGAGTAACAGCCGTGTTAGTCTGTATTCTCTAAGGTGCCACGAGTACTCCTTTTCTAATAGCTAGAGAGAGTGAGAAAGGGGAAAGTCCTGTGATAACTCTACAGAGGAAGAAGAAATGGAGATTTGTTTGTACCTTTATTTCCCTGAGCCAGTTTGGAACATAAAGGCAACTAACTGGAAGGACTGTTGTTGTTTTTAAAAACTCTACAATACAACCTCTCTTTTTCCTTTCCTTTCCTAGATAAAAGCTCATTCCCAGCTGCGGGTCTCTGGGCTCTTCCCTTCAGCCTACTGGTGTGGGCAGGCTCTGGTGGATATTCCCCTGTACTTGATTCTTCTCTTCTCAATGTTTGGAGTTATCTTTGCATTGAGTTACAGAATTTCTAAGAGTGCCGGTGAAGCTCTTGCCCTGGTAAATCTGATTATTTAGATCGCTGAAAAATAATTCACCTTTGAAAACAAGAGAGGGACATCCAGAAGATAAAGTTTACCCCTCTCTCTACACCAGGGAAGGGGAGCAATTAAGCCGGTCAGCTCCTGGCTTCAGAATTCATTTAAATTGTAATCATTTATGCCAGTTCGCTCTTCAAGTGTCTGCACCCATAGATCAGAGCAAGGCAAAGGGGCCATTTTTTTGCTGGGCATTCATATGGAAAGATTAAAATTTGATCCGTGGCAAAACGTTGCCGTTTCTGCCAGCAAGAATTCTGAATTTGCCCCAGACGCAGAAAATGGATTTCTCACAGTGAAATGAGATTCCTATTTGTGAAAAAGGTCTTTTGTATTTTCTCTTGTTCTCTCCTCCCCCACCTAGTAAAAAGAAAAATGCAAGATGAGCCTAGAAGAGATTTCCCAACGAGTTCCTATTATGTACAAGTGTTCCCAGAGTTGATGCCTCTGGGAGTTGTAGTCAGCATTGCAATTTCAATTCTAGGGAAACTGTCTGATTCTGTTTTAAGTTACACAGGTGCAAACCCAGAGTAAGCTCGCTGATTTTAGGGGTGAAATTCTGGACACAACCAGGTCTGAGAGCAGAACTATATCCAGGGCAGCAGGTTTTCCCCCCTAGCAATAATAATCAAAGCAAGGAGGAACATAATACGTCCCCAACAAGTAAATGGTCACAGGTTGCTTGTTAAACAGTTCAGATAGCACTATCACATTCGCAGGTGCTTAAATCTTTGTGCTGTTTGAGAGGAAAGATGGTCTAGTGGTTAGGACACTAGCCTTGCAGATGGAAAACCTGCATTCAGTTTCCTGCTCTGCCACAGACATCCTTGTGATCTTGGGAAAGTCACTCAGTCTCTCTGCGCCTCAGCTCCCCCTCTGTGCACCGGGGATAAGAGCATTGCCCTGCCTCACAGGGGTGTGGTGAGGATAAATATATTACAGACTGTGAAGTGCTTTGAGGTCCACGGATGAAAAGGGCTATGTAAGAGCTAGGCATTTTTATTATTTGTTGCTCTATTTTCTCTTCTTCACTGCATTGTGTCTGAGTTTCCCCTTCTGTAAAATGGAGATAATAAATCTTAGCCTCCTTATAAAAGTACTTTGCACTTAATTGGAGGGTTTTTTTATCCCTTAATCCTCAGTATTATTGTCATTTAAATTGAACTAAAGTGGTGCATATAGGTTTTATTTGTTCATACCAGTTCACTTACCCCTAATAAGAGCTTTCCTCTCTATAGTTTACCGGTATTACTGGCTATGGAATTTCTATGATCCTGTTCGTATATTTAATTGCCTTCACATTTCGAAAGCGATGCAACAGCTGTGATTTTTGGTCGTTTATCCTCATAGCGGTAAGCAAATGGCTAGATTATGTACCGCATGCTATAAAGTTTATGAAACTGTATTTCAAGCTTTTGAGCGTTCAGGTGATGATATAGAAGTGGAAACACCCTGTGCAGCTCCAGGAAATAGAAAATGACAGTCATCTTATAACAGGGACAGCTCTGTACCTTTAACTATGATGCATTATTCACATCATTTTCTTCTTTAATATCCTCTCCAATCCTTTCTAGTTTCAAGTGGTTTGTGGTCCCCTACCCAGAATTCCCAACTGTCTCTTGCTCCATGTTTTTTTGTGGTTGAAAACTGATTCCCTCCCCCTCCCCCACCCAATATTTTGCACAGGGTGAAATCTCATAAGCAAAATCTTTGTGTGTGTGTGTGTGTGTGTGTTTTCCAAATGGAAATACAAAGTATTGTTGTTGTGACCACCTTTGTCTGTTAGAAAATCTCTCTTCGTCCAGATCTTGTAAACCACAATCCAAATAACAGCAACAAAAATCCCCCACAGAGTTGGCCTTGGGGAAACTGTACCACGCAGGATCCTAACTGACTATTTCAGAGGCTCGGAGCTGCCTCATGAACAGATTTCTTTCCTGAATAGGGCTGGCTCAAAATTCTCCGCCTAAACTGCTTTTTGATGGAAAGTTGGTGCTTTTTGTGTGAAAAGGGTCTGCTTTACAGGGAAAACTTCTATTTTTTGTAGCAGATAATGACCGACACATTTCATAAGAGACAATTTTATATCTTGAATTAAGCCTGAAAATCAAAAAAGCTTTGGTTAAAACCTGAAATATTTTGATTCTGAAATGCTGCTGCGATGCCTCATACTTCCATTCTCCTTATGGTCCAGGCTCCCTGGTCAGACTTCAGCTCCTATGATGCACCATGGCCATGTGAGCCACCTCCCCTAGCCGAGAGGGGAGACCTCGCTGTATGATGGGAGATGTAGTCTGACCAGGGAGCCCAATCTATAGACGAGAATGGGAGCGCACCTGAACTATGACTCCCAGGCGGCATTTCAGAATCAGAATATTTTTAATTTTTTTGCTGAAAACTTGAAACTTTCCCCAGAGCAGGGGGGGGGAAAAAATTCTGACCAAATCTAGACTTGAGACATCCTTCTATGGTTGGTCTGCAGACTACTGAGTTGTAGCAGAATACACCTCAACTCTTTTGGTGCCTCTTGCAACCTAAATAAACTTTCCAGAGACACCCTTGTAAGGATTTCGTGCACTGCCAAGGCTAGACGTGAGGTGCAAAGGCTCTAGAGAAGATCTTTGGTTTGTACATCCTGCAGTTCTGGATCTAAAAAGGTTCAAACATCATGTCATTTTTCTACAAGGTTGGGAAAAGGATCCCCAAGTGATGTTGTTGTTTACAGATATCTGCATAGTCACTCTGAACTCTCTAAAAGCCTCATGGTAAAAATAAATAAATAAATACATCAGCAAACTAAGATGTTCACTGCCTCCATGCTAATTATGCTGCAACTTAATGGAAGGGTCTTTCCCAGTATTTTATCTACCAGAATATGCCAATGTATGCAGTGCTGCCAACGCCTTTGATTTTTATTGGAAGTTTCATAATATTTGGTGTTTTCTTAAAGTCCCAGCTCCTGGAGTCATGTGATCACATGAGACTGTTTGTTTTAATTCAAAATAAATGTGTAACACTCACTGTTGTGGAGAAAAGGTTGAAGTGTGACACAGACACACCCCAAGCTCAAAAAACAGAATGCAAATAACAAGAATCCAATTTTTAAAAAGTTCTTGATTATCTTTTAGGACCTGACTCATGATTTTGGAATGTGTAGGATTAGCAATATGGCTTCTGACAAATAGGTATTGGGGGGTAAAAACTAAGGATGCTCTAGAGGGCAGTGGAGTGACAGAAATGTTCTTTTCTCCCAAACACCAACTCTAACCCATTACCCTGAGTCCTTCCCATCAACCTTTCTCATATTTGTGTTTTGTATTTAGTATTCAGCATCTAATAAGTAAGTTGTGTGGTATTTACCATATAACCCAAAATGTAGTGTCATCCAATTCTTGGCAACAGTGAGCAAAGATTATTTTTTTTTATCTAGTATAAGTTACTTTCTTGCATCTTCTTAGGTAACGCTGCTTATCTTCATTATTGATACCATCATGCGGATCGCTTCCATAGAGACAATTTTCCATTATTTCTTGTCCATTTTGATTCCTGTGTATCCATTAATAGATGTTGTGATCCGGTCTCAGAAGGTAAACTATTGTACTATGTCACGAAGAAACTGGATGCATAACTGGCTAAGTTTTTTAGAAAAACAAAACAAACCTCATGGTTTCTCCATGGGAAGCTGGCAGTAACACCCTGGCAAAGAGCTTTGTGGTTTCTCTAAGGCAGAGATTCTCAAACTGTGGTCCACGAGCTCCATTCAGGTGGTCCACGGATAGTTCCCTCTAAGGTGCATGCCTGGGCAGCCGCACACAAGAGAATGAAGGGCCACCAACCTAATTAGTGAAGCCGCGTAGGTGTGGCTCTGCTAATTAGCTGCCTGGACCCTGGAGAAGATGCACATTTAAAGTGAGGTGGTGCCCTTGCGGGAAATAGGGGATAGGTGGGAGGAGGCAGCAGGGTGAGAAGAGGGTGTGGGGGAAATTTGTGTGGCGGCCAGAGAAAGAGGTGACTTTCCCCAGGTCCAGGGCTGTGGCTGCAGGGGAGAGACAGCCCTCCTTCCCAGCCTCAGCGATGTGGCTGCTGTGGTGAGGGAGATACTCCCCTCCTTCCCAGCCCCAGCTCGGGGGCTGCCGCGGTGGGGGAGAGAGGGCACATCCATCACATCAGAAAGGTACTGATATTAAAATGAGTTGTGTGCTTTTATATGTAGAACAAAAAACGTTAATTATTATTAAGGGTTTTTTTGATATAGCGCTTTTACCCAAAGTGCTGTACAATAGTTAGCTAATGGTACAAACAACATTTGGAAAGATCATTAAGTAGTCTGCCGACACCCTCAGCAATTTTCAAGTGGTTCGCGGGAAAAAAAAAAGTTTGAGAACCACTGCTCTTAGGGGTTGGATTTTGAAAATTGCTTTGTGCAATCCTTATTGTTCCTACTTCTCCCCAGAGGTGCTAGGGAGATAAAATTCTTGCATCTGACAGAGCTATTAGTCTTGGAGAGAAGAGTCTGAAGATATCTGTATTTGAGGGTGTAACTATTTCCTAGTATTAGGACACCCAGATTCCAGCATCTATATTTGCCCTTTGCTAATGTAAGAATTTTGAGTAAAATGACAAGAAATGTTCACATACTTCTGAAATATTTACTGACTTGTGTTTTCATTCTTTTAAAACTAGATAGTATTATTTTAAAGCTTTATGTATTTTTTTTTCCACGCACAGATTTTTTTAGAATACGAGGCTTTCAGTTTTACTGGCAATTGGAGCGACATATTCGTATCTGTCTTTGCAGTAAGAAACAATTTGAATATTGCATTATTATTTTGCAGAGGACACACATTCTAATGTGGTGACTATATATTGCATTTGTATAATTCCCTGCAGCTAGCAAAACATACATAATGTGACAGATGTTTCACGGTCATATCTGTTGGACTGAGATGGAGAGTTTTCCAGTGTAGCCTAATGTTCATTGGCAGGAGAAGTTAGTCCATAAACCCAGGACTTCATCTGTCACCTTATTAGAGAAGGCTGGACTGTTTGAGGCTTTTTACCTATAAGAAAGTGGGACAAGAATATCAGACTCATTCCATACAGAATAGAACTTTGCCTGGATTTGAGGAGGCAGTTGACAGCACCCAATTACTCAGAAATAATAATAGTGCTCGCCTGAAACAGGCGAGGGAAAACAAAATAAGCCCCAGATCATGCAGTGAGCTCAGCCTTACCTTTCGCCTTTGTGCTTATGCGTTAACATGTGATTTCTCTGCTAGTGTAATCTGTCATTACCTGTCATTTTATGCATTAGTATTAGTTAATACAAATATGAACTGCTTATACAATTTTACATGCTGTAGACTCCAACAGAGTCCATAAAATTCAACCCAAGTCTGAAGACTACGTCTACATGGACTAGACTCTTATATGGGGGAAAATGTAGTAAATGGTAATATTTTGTTCCATTATTACCACCAGTTGTGCTCCAGCGGTGGCAGCCATGGTGAGAAAGCTAGTTGAGACAAGGTGCCAGTAATTACTAACATTATACCCCCATGTTGTCTAGGCCTGCTCTGAGTTGAGTTCAATGTCATGAAGGCTAAAACACTGGCAACTGACCTATGCCAGTTCCACCACCATTGCTACCAGTAATGGGAAGCATTAGAGGAGAAAACCTAGGATACGCACAGCTAAATAACAGGAAGATAATACTTTAATATGGACTATTAAAACTGAAACATTTTCATTTAATTGTTCTTTAGATCATATCAGACGTAGCCTTATAGTTGGGGCCCTGCCAGCCCCAGGGCAAGAGGGTTTTATTTTGGCATTTATACATGAAGATTTGGGAGATGCTCAGATTACGTGCAAGTGGGGACAGAGAAGTACCTATGATGGATCCATAAGAGGAATAAAGAAGTGAGGCAGATCAGGCTGCCAGAGTGATCAAGATGGGATAAATACCCACCTAGATTAAGTAAGAGGCAGACACAGGGAGAATTGAATTAAACTCTTCTATTATCTCTCACATTAGAATCTTAATAAAGTGAACCTAACATTCCCCTAACGTTAAGTTAACATTAAATAGCCAGTTAGCAGCTCAGGAGGTAACTAGTTCATGAGGAGAAGCCAATCCCTCTTTTAAGGCACTTTACCTAAACTGTAATTAAAATATATCAAATACAACGTTGCTATTTTCATTCATACAACGCTGACTATTTCTTCTTTTTTTCAGCCTTACCTCCACTGTGCAGTTTTCCTTTTTCTTCTTCGATGGCTGGAGGTGAAATATGGAAGAGCAGTTATGAGAGAGGATCCGATTTTTAGGTTTGTGCCCACACATGCCCTTCCATGAGCACGTGTGTGCCCCACACAGCAACCACGCTCACTCTTTTCTTGACAATACATTTTTCCACAGAAAAAGTTGATATTTTCAATTTTTCACAAAACATTTAGCAACTTTGATTTTTTTAAAAATCCATGCATAGTTTCCATAGAGTTCCACATGATACATTCTCCCCTCCCAAGTATTCTTGCTAGAAAAATGGGAAATCACAATGTTGTTGTTTATTTGTATTGTCATGCCTGCAAGTCGCAGTCATGGACCATGTACTAGGCACAATACAAACACAAAACAAAAATATAGTCCCTGCCCCAAGGAGAAATGGTGTTAAGTTTGCAAAGCCACATATTCAAAGGTTAGGAAAATCCAGTAAATAGATTGCAGGTGCACTTTGATACCATCTTTATCTACAGGATCATGTACTATTTGTTCTTAACAAACCCTGCCTCATACAGGGCACAGAATGGACAGTGAATAAGACAAAGGACTATAGGAAGAGAGAGGTTGTTCTCTTGTATTTCAGCCATTGGTCTGGGACACACAAGTGCTGGGTTCTATTCCTGGCTCCTCCACAGACATACTATATGACTGATGTTGGTCAAGGCTGTCATAATCCATATGCAACAAGAGGGCTGAATTAAGTTTGTATGGGCAACCTTAATTCTGGTATTTCTTAACTTTTTGTGTGCTTGACTTTCCAAATAGCAAATAATAAAAAGCAGAAGTGTTGAACCAAACAGCCATTCGGTCTTGCTCTACTCATAATACATCAATTGTGAACTAGGACAAAGGATATAATGCTGAGTTTGACTCCTTTGATCGGTAGAATTCCCCCGAGGAAAGAGATCAACCATCAAAATCCTGAAGAACCAGAAGAAGAAGATGAGGATGTGCAAGCTGAAAGGGCAAGAGTTAGGGAAGCAATAGCTTCTGAAAATCAGGAAGAGGTAAAACTTCAAGTTGCCCTTTTCTGTCTGTCTCTTTACTCTTCCTAAATTACCCACTGGGGAAAAAATAAACATCAATATGGAAATCCAGTGTTTCTCCCCTTATATTTTTCTACTGTAAGTAGAAATTGGCTTTCCAAGTGGCATTAACAGATATCATCAGAACTGAGAATACAATTTTTAAATAGAATGTAATTGTCTTTTGTTCTCGGGCAATCTAAAATGAGTGATCTTTGGAATAAGGATTGTGACCTCTTCTCTTTCAATGTCAAGCACGTTTCTTTTTTTTTAGTTTAACTAATAATTAATAATACAGCCTGCATAATAGCTAACCTGAATGGGCAGGAAAGATGGCCCAGTGGAAAGGGCATTAGCCTGGGACACAGAAACCAGTTCAGTTTCCTGCTGTGACACAGACTTCCTCTGTGACCTTAACTGTAAAATGGAGAGAACAGTACTTTCCTATAAAACAGTAAAGTGGTGCTGTGTGTAAAGTGTGAGGCACATGGATACTATGGTAATGGTAGCCATATAGTTACCTAAAATAGTAAAAAGCTATATGGGATTAACATGACTGTCTAGTAGATTTCACCACTGTCGAACTTTTATCTCCCCTCTTAGCAATGAAAATTCAACACATTTCAGCAGCAACAAAATAGTCAAAGGAAGTGTTCTGAATAAAACCTGTATACAGCAAGACACACACAACAGTGAGAACAACCAGACTGTCTTTGATAGTGGGAGGGATTTGTTCTTTATAAATTCTCTCTCATTTCCCTCCTTTCCTAGAAACCAATTATCATTGTCAACGATCTGCGCAAGGAATATAAAGACAAGAAAGCCAGTTCGGTTTTTAAGAAAAGGAAGAAAGTGGCCACTAAAAATGTCTCTTTTTGTGTGAAAAAAGGTTAGAACCCAGGAGTATTTTACTATAATAATTTTGATGGTTGTCTGATTTGAAGGTTACATATGTAGACCACTCACTCACTGGAACGTCTCAGTTCTAGACAGCCCTCATGGAATTTTTAATGAATGTTATTTGATCACAGGTATGAGCAAAAGATTTCTCGTTTGTTTGTTTGTTCTTTCGTGGTGAATATGCCTGACATTCTGTCCGGAAGGGCGAGTCTTACTAAAAATTGATGCATATTCATTCTAGGAGAGATATTCGGACTATTAGGACCCAACGGAGCTGGTAAAAGCACAACCATCAATATGATTACCGGAGAGAGAACACTGACTGCTGGGCAGGTAGGTGAAACGGGTTAGACTTTAAAATACAGGTCGGAGTGAAAAACCCACTGCTCATCCTAAACAATACATTAACGGAAACAAAGGCTACTTCTTCAACTGCGGGGGCGGGGGGTGACTTGCAATTCGTGTAAACATACCCACACTAGCTGTATTCTAGCTAGCTTGTGAAAAATAGCAGAGAGAACAACGTCACATGCTTCAGCACAGGCTGCCCAAATAAGTATGTACCCCGGGGAGGAAAGGGGGTATCAGTCAGCTTGTGCAGTCTACACTGAAGTCCAGTTCTATTTTTAGCTAGCTAGCCTGAGTACAGTTAGTGGGGGGTACATCTCCACAAGCTGCAAGTCTCACCCAGGCTCTGATGTAGCTGTAGAATCATAGAATATTAGGGTTGGAAGAGACCTCAGGAGGTCATCTCGTCCAACCCCCTGCTCAAAGCAGGACCCAAAAGGATGTTTGGAATCTAGCCCGTAGCCTAGCACGTCATGCTCTGAAAATCGTTAATGAAAATTATCATCAGTCATTGTGACTGACATAAAAACATGTCACTTGCAATAATGAACAAAACGACATTAACACTATTTATGTAGACCAACCAATGCCAGAACACTTGAAATGAAAGCATGCGCTCCATCCATACCCCCAATTATATTTGCCTCAAAATAAATTAAAAGTAAATCATTTCAGGAATGAATCTTGGACTTTCGCTAATGCTGGAAATGGTCTTGTAAGGCTTTTTATTGGCATTTCTCACGGGTCGTTCATGTAACAGTACCTAGAACAAACATCTACAGCCATAGACCCTATCGAGCAGGAAAATGACCTACAACCTGTACTCCATGAAACTACTCAGATAAGCAAAGGTTGCAGATCAGTCCCTTGCTCAGTAATTCTCCCTTCATAAAGCCTGAAAAGCCCATAATCGCCCTATAATTTTAACCCTTCACATTTATGGATCACAAGATTACACAAGTGCAGAATAAGAGATTGTTTGTTCAGGTGCTGACGAAGGGGAAAGGTGCCGCTGCCTCTCAACTGCAAGAGAGCACCACTGGCTTTCTAGGTCACTGCCCTCAGGAGAGCCCTCTCTGGCCAAACCTTACTGTGCAACAACATCTGGAGGTTTATGCAGCTGTGAAAGGGATGAGGAAAGAAGATGCTGCTGTTACGATCAAACGGTATGTAGTAAAAGGCGTCAAGTTTTCCATTCATGTTTCATATCTTAGAACTATAAAGCAGAGAGAAAGTAGAATTTTGCTGAAAACCAGACGCTCCACGGTCAAACTGCCCAAGTGTCTTCCTCTGGTGATTTAGCCAAGAAAATAAGCCACCCAGATTTTCTCATTTAGAATAAGTTAGAATTAAAATTAGTGTGTGTTAAATGCTGGATGTATCTGTGTCTAAACTTTAGATTGTAATGTCTGGTGCCAAAAAGTGAAATTAGGGCGATAATCAATTCTGTACTGTCCACTCTAGGTAAGATGAAGAGGGTTTATAATAGATTGTTGTTATTAATATTGCTAATAATATGATTCTTATGATTAAGAGAGAGATTCTATCCTGTTAGGAACAGCTTGTTTGAAAAGCTTCTCTTGTTTAGTTTCTGATGATTTTATTGCTTAAAATAAAAAATTAGCACACTTTCCAGAAAAATTTTGGACAGGGGGAAGTAGAACCGAAGGATTCTTGAGATTATGAAAAGACTTCAGAACGTGAGTTTTGGAAAGATTCGCGGTCTTCAGTGGGTCAGCTTCATTGCGTGAAAATACACAGTCAGATAAGTTTATGGGCATCTAAGAAAACTGAAACACAGTGACAGCAGTATCCATTTTTTTCAGCATCATAGTATAGATCCACAAGAATTCTCCTGTGTAAAAGGGGAAGTAAGCATTTCCTGGGGTTACACATGCCTTTTGCTTAGGAGAAAAGAATAAATGCAAAAAAAAAAAAGAGTCATTTTGCGGAAAGAAACAATGCACCTCCAAAACAAATCCTCTTTAGTGGGTACCATCAGGAAAATAACTAAGAAGAATGCTAAAACAGAGTGGCCAGAGTTTCCCCAGTAGTGATGGAGAAAGAGGAAATGGACCCCTCCATTACCAGAGGGGGCAGAGCATTGTGTCATTCTGAGGAGCTGTCAGGGAAGGGCAAACCTCTGGGGGTTCTGCTGAGAAGCCCAAATAATAGGGAATTGCTGGTTGCAGAGGGGGCATCAAGAAGATGTGTATCCCAAGCAAATTCTATCAGGAGTCCCTACTGAGAAATGAAAACTAACCTCTCCTCTTAGCTCCCCTGTACTCTCTGTGGAAGAGACTTCCTCCCAGGGCCCAGCCGCCCCCAGAAACTGGAGGAACCGAGTCCATTCTTACCCGAGACTGACAGCACAATGGAAAAAGTGTTGAGTTGGGGAAAAAAACCAAATGTTCATTTTACTTCCTTTCTTTCTCCTTCCTCACAGGATAGCAAAGGCTCTAGAAATTCAAGATCATGTCAACAAAGTGACTAGGAAATTATCTGCTGGGATAACTCGAAAGGTGAGCATTTGCATTTTTCTTGGATCAAACCCTGGGACGAATTTTGCTCCTTGTTCTTCAGTGTTGAAACTGGAATAACGCCACTAAGCTAGTGGAGTCCTTTTTGCATTTGCATTGATATAAATGAGTGCAGAATCCAACCCTTCATGTTCTAAAATGAATTTTTGTTTCAAATGTACAGTAGTAAAATCTCTGTTTGGGTGTAAACATATTGTAGTTATGGCTGGTAAATTTATCTCCAGAAAATAGCTGGCATATTTCTGAAACGTCCATAGTGTGAATGAAAAATTGTATTGGTAAAGAGAGGGGCTAGTTCTGTTTCCAGTTACATGGATGAGATTCTCATTGCTTCCCCTGTGACGGTGGGGCCCAAACACACATTTTGTGCTGTCTCACTTCAAAGGGAGTTACGTCCATGTAACATAGTACAGAATATTGCACAGTATGTTTCTCAGATTGTTCAACTTCTTTAAATCACAAGCATATATGTGTGGAGGGAGGAAATGAAGTCCAAGCCACTCATCTTTCGAAGGTTGACATATTTCTGGTTGGCTCTGAATTAGAGGATTTCAGAGTCCTGCATAGAAATGAATCTTATGCATAATTTTTTTTAAAGAAAATGAGTTAATTGCTCTCATTTACACCTGGGCACCACCACTGGCTTTAGTGAAGTAGGCCAGGGAGACAGAACTTAGCTCCCAAAGTCTTTTCTTCATTTTAGGTGTGTTTTGCACTGAGCATGCTGGGTAATCCGACAGTTCTGCTTCTGGATGAACCATCAACTGGAATGGACCCTAAAGGGCAAAGTCACATGTGGTGAGTAATGCCTGAACCAATTACTAGGCCTGTTTTTAAGATCAGAACTAAAACATTTCGCGATGGGAATTAGGCTTTGGACAGCCAAGCAGATTAGTACCCTTGATGAGTCGCATTCCTTCACAGTTGCATGGGAGGTTGGGTCGGCAGATATACACTCTGTGCCTTCTCTCTCGCCGTCTGCGTTAGCAGTGCAGGGACAGCTGCAACTTAGACTCTAGAATTAATGGTACTCTGTGTTAGTGTCATTGAGAATTCTGGGGGCGGGGGGGGAGTTCACATCCCAACCATTTGCAATCTGCAAAAATCAGTTGAGGCTTCAGTTTCAGTTCAGCGGTTGGAGCAAAATATAGGCTGGTATTTATTTTTCTCTGAGCGGGTTCATCCCATCCCTTCTTAGCACCACTGTCCACTTGAATCATAGAATCATAGAATGTCAGGGTTGGAAGGGACCTCAGGTGGTCATCTAGTCCAACCCCCTGCTCAAAGCAGGACCAATCCCCAACTAAATCTTGACCCCAACTTGACAGCTGCCTCCTCTGAAACGACACTATCCTAATTCTCACTGGCCAAAGTGAAACACGTTTCAGCTAAAGCAGGTACAAAAAAAGAACTTAACAGTCCCTCCCCACTAAATCAGCACTGTAGCAAACCTTATTTCAGAGCAATCCCTCAATGGATTTTGGTCAAATGGGAAGTTCAAAGTACTTTCATGTAGACGTCAATGTAAAGTTGTTTTTAGGTTTTAATTACATTTCCTTTATCATTTTGAGGGGGAAATACAATAGAAAAACTTGTTTGGCTCTTCTTCTGAAATAATTTTTCTTTTTCTTTCCAGGAAAGCAATTCGGGCTGCACTGAAGAACAAGGAACAAGGAGCCATCCTCACAACCCATTACATGGAAGAGGCTGAGGCAGTGTGCGATCGAGTGGCCATCATGGTGTGTGGAAAGCTCCGGTAGGCTGTAACATAGATCGGTCAATAGCAGGATGGACACTGTAGAAGTTCTCAGGGAACAGGCAGATGTTATGGAGCCAACCTCATTCATTACACCCACCAGGACTTAAATTCTCATAGAGTATTTCCTGGAGCGCCCCCCCTCCCCCTCACTACCACACTCCCCACCCCCAACAAGCTATAAAAACAACAGGAGGGGTGAGAATATTTACCAGAGCTCTGTTCTGGACAGCTCCGGCTGAATTTAATCCCTGACATCCACTAAAAGGAGAGGGTCATGGAAGCAAGACTCTTTGTCCACTACTAAGTATTTCCCACTGTGTTGCTTTCTTTGTCTCCAGGTGCATTGGTGCTGTTCAGTACCTGAAAAGCAAGTTTGGCAAAGGTTACTTACTGGAAATTAAAGTGAAAGACCCAGCACAGGTTGATTGCCTCCATATGGAGATTCTGAAGATCTTCCCGCATGCAGATCGTCAGGAACGGTAACTGTAAAATACATCAGGGTCCTGAACCCCTGCAGAGTTATAATATATCATTCCCACTGCTGAAGTTTGGCAGCAAATGTCACAGCTTGAACAAAGATCTCTCACTGGGAGAGATTAATGGGTTACAGTCCCTAGCTAGCAAGTTGATTAGAGTCTGTCGTTGTGTCTGGGCCATGCAATAAGATACGGAAGCTTCTTGTGCTTTCTCCTTCCCTTCTGGCCCCCACACCGGAGCCAGACAGAATTTGACTCAAAGTGGTGTCTACGAGCTAGACACAGGACAATGGATGCAATTTCTTTTCTCCCTCAGGGTTTCTTCTTTGCTGGTTTACAAGATACCAATGCAAGATGCACTGCCTTTGTCCCAGACGTTCTCCAAGCTAGAGGCAGGTACGAGAGAAACTATCAGCAAAAGGTTAGGATCACTCGAAAAGGACATGTAAAGATGAAACATGCTTTTTTAACTGTATCTTCATTTCTCCACAGCCAAACGAACCTTCAGCCTCGAGGAGTACAGCTTTTCTTTGAACACTTTGGAGCAGGCATGGGATTTCAAAGTTATACGCAACTCCTTGTAAAGGAATTGTAAAGGGAACAAAGAAGGCAGCACAGCACAATGATCAAATTTTGGAAGGGGAAAAAAAAGGACGTTTACTGGAGAAAGATTCATTTTCAAGATTCTAAAGGGAATAATTGTAGCAGTGAGAGTCAGATGGTGGCCCAGCCTGCAGAGCCATGAAAGGGAGTAAAAGGGCAAAGGTTGCCTTCCTGTTCCCTTGCACTGGTACCCACACCGTAGGTAGCTGCATAGTGAGCAAAACGTCCTCTGCAAGCCACCGATCCCGCTAAGGGCTGGTCAGCACAGCTATGTTGGTGCACTAAGGGATAGCAGATATAAGGCTGGTGCAGGGGTACCTCCACCTGCTGGAGCAGGGAGAAACAGGCAGACAGATCATGACTGAGTCACAGTCTGCTTTGTGAGCTGCTCATGGAGCAGCACGCCAATGCCTGGCTCAATGCACAGGGCATGAGGCAACGCCATAACTCACTCCTGTGTGACTGAATTAAAAGGGCAAACACCCCTCTGTGAAACATTGCCTTGCAGTTTCTGTAGGGCATCATGGTGTGAACAGTCCCCGTAAAGAGCCATCATTAAATTCCAACTTCACAGAGTTTGGCTTGAAATCTGTTTACAGAAACAAACATAGAAGTGAATCAAAATAAATATACAGTCTTAGAGAGGACGATGGTCTTTTCCTAGTGTTGCTCCTGACCTTTGATGAGCTGGTGAACTGGAAATTAGCGAGCACTTGCTGCTCTGAAGAGAGCTGTATCAGCAGAAAACCTGTTCTCTGTGATGGTCATCTTTTGGGCAGTTGCAAACCCATGTGTTGCCTTCATAAAAATAGTAACAAATATTTAATGTATTTGTTATCAGTGACAGGGAATAACCAGACTTTTGTTGTTGTCATACATTTCAGGTGTTCTTAGAACTCTCCCGTGAGCAAGAAATGGATAATTTTGATATGGCTTTGGAAGGAACTTTTGAGTGGAAAAGACTTCAGCAGGAAGACCTTTAAAAATGTTCCATTATATTTTAATCAGTATGGATGTGTGTGATTTAATAATGCACATATATGCTATCGTTTCCACACACTTATCAGCACAATAAAAATTGAGGCCTGTAGCTTTGCAGCTTCTGTACTTTGGAGAAGGGAATAATTTTTCCTAAATTAGCCCCTCTTTTGAGAAAAGGATATTTTTAAAGGTGAAGCCATTGGGGTACTCAAGGTGAATTGCTCTGCATACAATAGGTGTTAGAGAAAGTACAGGCCTGCAGCTGTGAAACAAGTCAGTGAACTTGACAGATGGGTTGGGCTGGTTGATATGGATGTGGACGCATGCTTTGAAGTGAACAGTTAACTAAATATGGATCTGCCTTTTTAGCCAGAGTTTTATTCTGTAGTTAAAAAACATCTTCAGTCTCCGCCATCCAAATGAGGCTCTGGGTCAGATCTTCAGCTCATGCAAAGCCGCACAGAGCTGTTAATTGAGCGGTGCCCATTTATTCCCACTAAGATTCTGCCTGCCTCGTTTACAGATGTTATATAAACCATGCAGCAAGTGTACAGTGCTTTACATGGTATAACACAAACAGTAAAACTTTGAACTTGGAAGTAATTGTTTGGTGGGAGTGCTGCAGCACAAGTGTGAATGGGGATGACGTGTGCATCCGAGCAAGGCTAGTCATGACGCAGAATCCGACTCCTCACACTCAAACCCTTTGCAGTGCCTCTCCCTTAGTCTGAAGAGAACAGGGTAGGAATGAGGGCTAAAGCCTCACAAATCCCCTGAGAGGTAAGTATTAGCCCTATGGAGGTTAATGAGGCAAAGAAAGGGTAAGTGACTTGGCCAAGGTCGCAGGGTGAGTTAGTGGCAAAGCAGTGACTGGAGCTCAAGTTCCTGTCTCCATTCCTGTGCACTTTCCTCTGAAGGGAAGGGAATAACTGAGAAACACAGTCATCTAGTGCACAGAAAAAAAGGTCAGTTTATATATAGTGCATCTGTTTTCTTTCTATCTTTAATTATAAAATCTAAGCCCTTATAGGGTCATTTATTACGTTTGCCTCATCAGAGAAGAAGCCTGTACGAAGTTGAGCCTTCAGTCATAGGTGGGTGACTTCAAACACACGACAGTTTAGTCAGTGGAGTAACTAGAAATGAGTCCGCGTCCACAAGAAGATACTTACGCTCTGTTTGCTTACAATATATCACTATCACGAGTCAAACTTGCTGCTTATTGGAGTCTGAACCAGCATCATATAGGTAGAAAACGTCCTGTTTGTTTCATGGGAACAATTTATTATCGCCCACTTGTTCATTTGCAACAGTTATAAGTATGTAGCAGCCTGCAGATTTAACTGGCTTTTCTTACCACTCTGTGGATTGAAACATAAAGAAAAGGTGCTGAAACCGCTTATAAAATTCATCCTTTTCCCTAAGTGTTTAAGATAATTTGCTGCATAAATCATCCCAGAACCATCCACCCCTCGCGTTGACTTTGCTGTGTACTATTCTGTTGGCTCTGTTATATAACAATATATTTTATCAGCTTGTGCTTTTAGGTAGGGTTCAGTGACTCTTAACTGTTTAGTGCATTACAATTGTACAGCGCTGCATACCTCTACAGCTTGGTGAGAATACTACCTGCGTAGTCAATACTTCATTATCTTTAAAGGTAGAAAGACATTTAGGCCCAGATTTTTAAGAGCGCTTAGGGGTTTCAGCACTCAGCACTGCAGCACCTAACTAATTTAGGAGCCCATCAGTGGTTTTAAATTCCTCTGTGCCTAAGTCCCTTCTGAAAATAAGATTTAGGCTCCTAAATTAGTTAGGCGTTGCAATTCTGAGTACTGCAACACCTAAATACCTTTTAAAAATCTGGGCTTTCAGTTCTACTTTGTGGGAGCTCTACAATTCAGACAGTTGGGGCACTTCCCCCCACTCAGAAAAAGGAGAAGATAAAATGATGTTTTAAATCTCTTAATATAAGAGATTACCTTTTCCGGATGGTGGGTTCATTCAGGTCAGCAGTTCTGGAGCACCAGACTGTGTAGTGAAGATGGGCATATTCTAATAGTGGGCTCCAGGGCCCCAATCCCGCGGGGTTCTGAAAGAATCCCGAGAGTTGCTTTGTGCGTTCCACTTCCACTGGAATCATAGAAGATCAGGGTTGGAAGGGACCTCAGGAGGTCATCTAGTCCAACCCCTTGCTCAAAGCAGGACCAATCCCCAACTAAATCATACCAGCCAGGGCTTTGTCAAGCCTGACCTTAAAAACCCTCAAAGGAAGGAGATTCCACCACCTCCCTAGGTAATGCATTCCAGTGCTTCACCACCCTCCTAGTGAAAAAGTTTTTCCTAATATCCAACCTAAACCTCCCCCACTGCAACTTGAGACCATTACTCCTCGTTCTGTCATCTGCTACCACTGAGAACAGTCTTTCAGGTAGTTGAAACCAGCTGTCAAATCCCCCCTCATTCTTCTGCAGACTAAACAATCCCAGTTCCCTCAGCCGCGCCTCATGAGTCATGTGTTCCAGTCCCCTAATCATTTTTGTTGCCCTCCGCTGGATGCTTCCAATTTTTCCACATCCTTCTTGAAGCGTGAGGCCCAAAACTGGACACAATACTCCAGATGAGGCCTCACCAATGTCGAATAGAGGGGAATAATCATATCCCTCGATCTGTTGGCAATGCCCCTACTTATACAGCCCAAAATGCAATTGGCCTTCTTGGCAACAAGGGCACACTGCTGACTCATATCCAGCTTCTTGTTCACTGTAACCCCTAGGTCCTTTTCTGCAGAACTGCTGCCTAGCCATTCGGTCCCTAGTATGTAGCGGTGCATGGGGTTCTTCCGTCCTAAGTGCAAGATTCTGCACTTGTCCTTGTTGAACCTCATCAGATTTCTTTTGGTCCAATCCTCTAATTTGTCTAGGGCCCTCTGTATCCTATCCCTACCCTCCAGCGTATCTACCATTCCTCCCAGTTTAGTGTCATCTTCAAACTTGCTGAGGGTTCAATCCACGCCATCCTCCAGATCATTAATGAAGATATTGAACAAAACCAGCCCCAGGACCGACCCTTGGGGCACTCCACTTGATACCGGCTGCCAACTAGACATGAAGCCATTGATCACTACCCGTTGAGCCTGACAATCTAGCCAGCTTTTTATCCACCTTATAGTCCATTCATCCAGCTCATACTTCTTTAACTTGCTGACAAGAATACTGTGGGGGACCGTGTCAAAAGCTTTGCTAAAGTCAAGGAATAACACGCCCACTGCTTCCCCCTCACAGAGCCAGTTATCTAGTCATAGAAGGCAATTAGATTATTCAGGCATGACTTGCCCTTGGTGAATCCATGCTAACTGTTCCCGATCACTTTCCTCTCCTCTAAGTGCTCCAGAATTGATTCCTTGAGGACCTGCTCCATGATTTTTCCAGGGACTGAGGTGAGGCTGAAGGGCCTGTAGTTGCCAGGATCCTCCTTCTTCCCTTTTTTAAAGATGGGCATTACATTAGCCTTTTTCCAGTCGTCCGGGACTTCCCCCGATCGCCATGAGTTTTCAAAGATAATGGCCAATGGCTCTGCAATCACATCTGCCAACTCCTTTAACTCTCTCGGATGCAGCACATCCGGCCCCATGGACTTGTGCTCATCCAGCTTTTCTAAATAGTCCCGAACCACTTCTTTCTCCACAGAGGGCTGGTCACCTCCTCCCCATGCTGTGCTGCCCATTGCAGTAGTCTGGGAGCTGACCTTGTTTGTGAAGACAGAGGCAAAAAAAGCATTGAGTACATTAACTATTTCCACATCCTCTGTCACTAGGTTGCCTCCCTCATTCGGTAAGAGGCCCATACTTTCCTTGACTTTCTTCTTGTTGCTAACATACCCAAAGAAACCCTTCTTATTACTCTTAACATCTCTTGCTAATTGCAACTCCAAGTGTGATTTGGCCTTCCTGATTTCACTCCTGCATGCCTGAGCAATATTTTTATACTCCTCCCTGGTCATTTGTCCAATCTTCCACTTCTTGTAAGCTTATTTTTTGTGTTTAAGATCACTGGATGTATTGGGCTGAGCTACAGTATTGTTAGGGTCAGACAAAAGATTTTTATTCTGCCATATTAAAGGCAACGGGCCTGAGTCTCTGGCCAACTTCATTCCCTTTGCACCTTCCTTGTGGTGCAAAAGCAATGCAATTTGGCCCCAATGTTCCTGCTAATAGGTGCAAAGCTGGCATAGGAGGCTCTGTGAAGGAAGAGTGGCTAGAGCTCTGCTTGACTAAATAAAGCCCCTTGGGGACCATTGCTAGATGGTGAGAGTTAGAACAGCCCCCAGGCTGTTCTAACATGCACTCAGGCTGAAGCTGGGGGAAGAGAATTGGGGAATCACAACCTGCTGCCTGATGGCACCCCCAACAAGCACACTTTGCGTGGCTCAGTGGACACTAGCACGACAGAGAACCTGCCCCCAATATTTCAATGTTCTCTGCTTCCTGTCCATCAAGCAAAACGTTTAGACATATTTACCCAAAATGTATTTATGTTTAGCTACATTTTATTTCTGTACTCTGCCAATTAAAGTCCGATTTTGTTGAAACCAGAGGTACATTATAAGTTTCCAAATGTATCCTGTCGCAATACTTTCCAAAAACACACTTCTCAGTTTGGAAGTAAACAAGGCATTTTACCCCTGTAAAGGAGTTTGCTCAATGCAGTAGCGCCTCCTCGTGGTCAGATGTGGTGTAGCGGCTGTCTCCCCATAATCACCACCACCAGCCCCACCTCAGCTGGGCTTCATTCAATTAAGCTTGGCTTTCTCTCTCTCTCTCTCAGGTGTTGCCAGGTATGCTATTTGGCCTCTCAGGCCCACATTAACCACTTCGAGGCCTGTGTGGGATACATCCCTAGTTGCCAGGCCTGAAGACTCAACCTGTGCTGTGAAATTCAAGCTGTGCTCTTTCTAGCTAATCTGCAGAAAAGGACCTGGGGATGACAGTGGACGAGAAGCTGGAGATGAGTCAGCAGTTTGCCCTTGTTGCCAAGAAGGCCAAAGGCATATTGGGCTGTTTTAGTAGGAGCATTGCCAGCAGATCAAGCAAAGTGATTATTCCCCTCTATTCAGCACCGGTGAGGCCACACCTGGAGTACTGCGTCCAGTTTTGGTCCCCCACTACAGAAGGGATGTGGACAAATTGGAGAGAGTCCAGCAGAAGAGAACAAAAATGATTAGGGGGCTGGGGCACATGACTTACAAGGAGAAACTGTGGGAACTGGGGTTATTTAATCTGTAGAAGAGAAGAGTGAGGGGGGATTTGATAGCAGCCTTCAACTACCTGAAGGGGGGTTCCAAAGAGGATGGATCTAGACTGTTCTCAGTGGTAGCAGATGACAGAACAAGGAACAATGGTCTCAAGTTGCAGTGGGGGAGGTCTAGGTTGGATATTAGGAAACACTATTTCACTGGGAGGGTGGTAAAGCACTAGAATGCGTTACCTTGGGAGGTGGTGGAATCTCCATCCATGGAGGTTTTTAAGGACTGGCTTGACAAAGCTTTAGCCCAGTGAGCCAGCTTACCTGTATTCTATTCATTGCTTTGTTGTTCTGCTTTACTATATTTAGTAATAATGCAAGGAACCTACAGGCTTTTATCCTGTAAGATTTGGCTTCAGTGGATAGTATGAGGCTTGAGGCCTACAATCTTTGGTATAAATAAACTTAAGCAACTCATAAATTATAGGGAACTAAAAGTAGCATGCAAGAGGGGAAATTTTGTCCCGGATACTGACTTCAGCCACCCACAGAACATAGCTGACACCAGCATTCGGAAGGTTTCAGACAGAACCCCTGACCGCAAAGGAGCCATGACAGAAAATTGACATGTATGCTAATAGGGTAACGTCATACATATCCTAACCTATAGAAAACGGACAGCTTAAGGGAAGGAAATACAAATAAAGACCTCTATTGAATATGCATTGGACATGGCAGCGTCAGTGTAACCTACTATAAAAGTAACATCCCACAGGCAGCAGATAGGTTGTAGAGATGTAGACCTTGGGAGGGGCCAGAATGATGGCCACTGGGGAAGATGAGGACGATGACGGTGATGAGAAAGATAATGGTTAAGTATGTAAGATAATGGTTAAGTAGGTTAAGAAAGATACAGGTGTAAGTATGGATGTCCAAATGTACTTTCTGTATTTATCTCTATCTGCCTTGTTAAATTTAAGTGTGTGTATAATCTTTGCTAAATTATTAATAAATTATATATTTGTAAATATATATAGAGAGAGTTCCTACGCTGTGAGTGTTGCATCTGTGCACATTGGGGTTCCCAAATTATATTTTACAATAATCTTACTGGGCCTGATCTTGGGACATGAACCTGTTAATCCTTAAGTTACAATTATATATACCCAACTTTGGGTCAGGCTACTAAGCCCTGGCTGGGATGATTTAGTTGGTGTTGGTCCTGCTTTGAACAGGGGATTGGACTAGATGACCTCCTGAGGTCTCTTCCAACCCTAATCTTCTATGATTCTATGACAAAGATTCCACAGGCCACGTTCTGTCATCAATGATGCCACTGCAAACCCCACTGTTGTCTTATTTTTCCCTTGGTTATACTTGCATGCAACACCCCTGGGCAGTTAATCCAACCACATCCTCATTTATTTCAGTGGGTTCCTCTTTCAGGAGTGCTGTGCAGATAGTGTGGTAGGATCGTGACTTAAATCACCAAACCCGTTTTTGCTGTCTGAGGAAGAATAGAACCCATCTCACTTGCACCTAGCTGTGTTGGCTCTGCTATGCTAACGGGAGTGTTAAAATGGATTTTTGTCTCTATGGCGGCTTGAGCAGCTGAAAAATTGAATAACTTGTAGAAACAATGAAAAATGGCTAACTTCATGGAATAATAGCTGCAAAAAGTCCTACAGAGCCAGCTCTGCTTCTCCTTAAAGGAAACAGCTGTGACTCTGAATAGACATGGGGGAAAACTGTTGAATTAGTTTGCTGGGTAGAAGTGCATATTAGTACAACCTGACCTGAGCCACAGAGACCATTAGCTGGTCCAGTCGCGGATGTGTACCTTGGGGACTAACTGACCTCAGGGGAGACAGGAACAGACATAGGTAATTGGTTGAGTTCAACTCTCCTGCGAACCACAGTAATTGTGCTTTCTCTCTGCACACAGTACCACAGAAGATATAATAAGGATCAGAGTGGGCAGGGATAGCCTCTGAAAAAGGGGGACATCCCTGGCAGGGGCACATTGGAGGAGGGAGGGGGCATGGCTGGGGCATTCCTATAGCCCAAGATATTCCTGGAGGCCACAATAACTTATTGTGGCAGTTGCCAACTAAGTGCAAGCTAGGACAATTTTCCAGACTGCTCTAACCTATGCCAGGGACAGGTACAGCCCCCAGAAGCCCTCAGTTTGGAGCAGGAGCAAAGGTGGCATAAAGGCACCTCTTCACACTCTTCCCTCCCCCCCCCCCCCCCCTCCCTCTAGTTTCTTTACTGAACTCAGCTCTGGCCCTGGGATGAATTCAACCCTCAATATTCCCCTCCCCCACAACAAGGTTTTCTATTTGCATAGGGCCCAATCCTGCAAGCTTCTGAGTTCTGTCAAACAGCACTGAATTCAGCTGGAGCTGAGGTCACTTAGCATTCCCAAAGAAGTGCTCAGCATCTCACAGGATCAAGCTCATATTTACTTGTTGCTTTCTCAGACCAGATTTTTGGGCTTTGACCTTTGTCCATCTTTCGTTTAAGCTGAAAGGTGCAGAGGCAAAGTTCTAAGAAATTTTAGACTGTAACTTTCCTGGGAGTGCTCTCCCTTGCTAAGCTTGTTTGCAGTATCATGAGTATAGCCGCAGTACTGCTAGCTAGGAGAACTGGTAGTAAGGGAAGGGGAGGGAGAAAACAATTGAGAAATACGGGGAAATGGTCACATGAACAGAGCATTTTGGCAGCATGACAGTTAAAAGGACGCTGTTCCCTTTCAGTGACTATTCTGAATAACTAGTTCATCCAGCTGGCATCAAAACCACTGTGCAGGGAAACAAGGAGAGTGTTTCACTATCTTCGCAGACTTTTCCAAGTGTCCCAGCTTCCTTTCTCCGAAGGCTTTTGTGAAGGTGAGTTTATTTCTGCCTGTCTGATTCTATGCTGTCTGAGCTCCTATCATTCTATTAGTGCTCTTCCCTCTATACAGTCTTTAGTGCTTACTGACACTGCAAATGATTTTGCTCAGGCACGTCTTGTTTGATGTACAGCTGGTTGGGAAATTTTTGACCAAACGGTTTTTCATCAGAAAATGCCAATTTGTTGAAACTGGAACTTTTCATAGAGGTGTACCAGTGTTGACTTTAAAACTTTTGTTGGGAAAGGTTCCTCGGGTCCAGGATGGAATTTCTGGGCAAAACCAGAGAGAGTTGCACACCAGACCAGCCAATAGCCTGGTGGTTAGGGATTCACATGGGCCATGGGAGACCCAGGTTCCAATTTGAGCCCTGATGAATAGTTATACAAAGTAAAATAGCTTCAACAGGAAAGCTTGAGAGAGACCCACTCCAGAATAGCCACTGTCTTGGTGGTCAGGACAGTCACCTGGGATGTCAGAGAATGGCCAAGTAGGTACTTGAACCTGGGTCTCGACCTCCCTGTGGACTGCCCTAATCACCAATCGATTGGCTATGTGGAGGTGGGTGGTCTCTCTTTTTTCATGAAAATCTTTGAAAGGTTTTGGTTTCTTCCTGAGTCAAAACAGGAAAAAAATTAAAATTCTGAAAAGTTTTGTGGGACACGACAATTGTTAACCCGTCCAAGTCTAGTCTGAAGTTCTGCTGGTAGCCTGACATTCGCAGATGGCTCCTCTCAGGAGTCAGTTTTGATTCTTGAAGCTGGGTTTCCCCGATCAGCTGTATGTGCTGCAAAGTGCTGAGTGAGGCTGAGCAACACTGTTGTTTGTTGGAAAATCAGACTTTCAGCTAAACAATTTTTCCACAAAAACTTCACAAACGGCTGTCTGCGAAAAAGGTCAACTTTGTGCTAAACTCTCAAATACCCAAAATTTTTAATTTGGATATGCCACTGTGATGCCTTCTGGGAGCTGAAGTTTGAGTGCCCCATGTCCCCGTTTTCCTCTATGGAGTGGGTTCCCCAACTGGACTAACATCTCCCAGGATGCACCAGGGCCAGGAACTCCCACAAAGCACCATCACAGCTCTCCACAAGGGGGGGCCTATGGTGCTTTGTGAAGATGTAGCCTTAAGGAGCCTGGCCCACAGAGGAGAAGGAGGCCATGAGGCACCTAAATGGCAACTCCCTTGAGGCACTGCGGTAGCATTTCCAAATGGAAATGTTCAGTTTTCAGCTGAAATGTTGCTGATGTTGATTTTTCACTGCAAACTTGAAACTTTTTTTGAGGGTGGGCAGTGCAAATTTCCAACCAGCTCTAGTGCGGAGTGTACCTCCTGAGGTATGCTGAATTCAGTGGAAGTGTAAGGTGCCCCTTACATTTACCCCCCGCATTTCCACCCAGGTTGGGAGGTAAAATTCTGCAGATAAACTTTCGAACTCTGGGGCTTTCGAACCCACTGCATATCTGTGGCTGATAAGTACCTCCCTCCTGTCCACCAAAACCACAGCCTCTTCTGTGAGAGGTCTCCTTTAGTATGTTCCTTTTTCACCAAGAACCCAAGATGAGTGAGTTTTCAGATACCCTGTTTTCTAAGGAGGGTTTCCTCTTTCCAGGACAGTCTATGCTGGAATTCTCCAGAACAACATTCCAAGGCCACAACTGGCCTAATTGAAGCAAGTTTTTATTAAGGCTAGAGAGAGAGAGATACATAATATAAACAAACTAAGTTGTTTATAAGTCGTAGCTAGTCTGAAAATTCACAAGACACAACTTAGCTAGGTTCACTTTAGCTGCCTTTTGATTTCTTTGACATCACTAGATGGTCATCGGAGCAGATAGGTACCCCAAATAAAGATGTTTACAGAGCTATCCTCACTGTTTTGTGTGTATTAAAGTTATTCATTTCTATGTCCTTTGTCCTGGATAAACGAGTTTAGGGGGTTCCCTAGACCCAGATCTTGAAAGGTATTTAGGCTCCATTGGAAATGAACGGAAGTTAGGAACCTAAATACCTTTGAGGATCTGGGTCCTAGTCACTTATATGATGCAAAGGTTTATTGGAACTTACAGCCACATCATAGTAGGCTTTCAGCCCAATGTGTACATTTTCCATCTGCTCTGGGCATTTGTCCTAAAGGAAGGTGGTGGTAATTCTAAAGCATTTAACTCATGTAAAGAGATGGAGGGTGTGTTTTCCCTTTATCATCTTATCATGAATTTTACTCCATGTTAATTATAACTTATGGGCACATTCCCAGTAATCTCTCTCAAGTCCTTAACAGCAAATAGCAGATCAATGCACCGACTCTCCCTCACATACATTTTAAAAAAAAAGGACAATCCACTAAATAGTCTTGTTTCGTATAAGTGTTTGGCATTACAGCTGAAAATAAGATGAGCTAATGCCTGCCACCAGGAGTAAAGGGGATATGAGTTTCCCTTTGAGACATATGGATGACAGACACATGAAATGAAATCCAGATGCTCCAAAAGACCCATCACAGATGACCTGCCCCCTCCCACACACCACACAAAGTGCTCCATTCAGTTGCACTAATAGAAAAAAAAACCTCTCAATCTCTCTCACCCCATTCCAGAAATGCTTCCTAGATGTCAGCGAGAGATCAGTGTGTGTCAACAAACCGGGGCTCTGCTATTAAAGCATATACTGGTGAAATGGAGGAAGAAAAAGCAGAGTTTACAGGCAAGTCAGAAGAGCTGGGGTTTGTTCTGAGGTTGGGGCTGGGCTTCACCGGAGAACTTGTACAACAGGCAGCAGTCACAGAGCCAGACTGCACCAGCCAAAGAGGACAGGTCAGAGGCAGAACAAAGCCCCACCTTCCCATCTGTAGCAAGCAATGAGGGGAAAGTATCCTTATGTGTAGTGCAATGGTGAAGCTACAGCTGCACACCAGGAACTTCTAGGAAGCTTTGTGCTCCCCTCAAACACTGGTTTCAGTGGGAGTCAGGTGCCTAAATACCTTTGACGATCTGGATCTGAAGCTCTGCACGACCTGTGACATGGTCCAGTGCCATGAAGGCAGAGTCCAGCTCTCACTCTTCAGTTGCTATTGATACTCTCAGTGCTCTTTGCATTTCATTGACCATTTGGCTTGTCTCATTACCAGGCTGTTCTCTGCTTAAAAAGAAAAACGTCTGTGAATTTAATGCTCAAGAAAGTGTGCAAGACTGAGAAAACCCAAAATGGACTCTCTGGCAGAGATGGAGCCCCAAACCTTTGACATCCCATCTAGGGTGACCAGATGTCCCATTTTATATGGACAGTCCCGGTTTGGGGGGCTTTTTCTTATATAGGCACCTATTACCTCCCCACCCTCTGTCCCGATTTTTCACACTTGCCCTCTGCTCACCCTACTCCCATCCCTCTGTGTAGGATTGGATCTGTATGTCATTTCTACTCAACAGAAGCTGAACAGAAAAAAATGGCATAGTATTATAAAAAGTTACATCCTTGGCATCATTAAATTGGCTAACTGAGGTTGTGGCTGGGAGGGTATCAGGTATAACTGTATGGGTCAACGCTTACTCATCAATTGTTCCAAAAGTGCTTAAGCAAAGTCAGAAATTGCCATTCTAAATGCTCTCACTTCTTGACAGGATGAAGGCCCTTGAGCTTTGACTGCATGCTTCACAGCACAGCCAAGGGGCAGAGTTTGCATAACAAATATGCAAGTATGTAAGGTCATTCAGTTAGGAGCTGCTCTCCCAAAGTGTATACCAAAACCCTACAATGGGATAAGCTCCTTCTACAGGGCAGTATGGTTGCTGGTCAGGTGATTTGCAGATGTGCTACCAACTTCTAATTTGCTTCAATTTTTTTTCTCCTTAGGAATTGGTCCTCTCACTGCTGATTCCCCTCATACTGTATCTGGATATAATTGGTGGTTGGTATAGGCGATACCCGGCAACACCTTCAGCTGACTTTGGGCGTGCAGATAAGTTTAATTCTCGCAGTTATGGAATTCAGTATACACCAGTGACGCATACTACCAGGCAAATAATGCAGCATGTGGCTTCTGATTCCTTTTTGAAGAGTGCGTTCTCTCCTAACTTTATTACACTGTTGTTGTTTACATTTCCTGTATTTCAGGAGACTTTTTATTAAAAGGTGTATTTTGCTTGTACTAAATATTCGTTAGATATTAATCTCTAATGCCAGAGGAGGCTAGTGCCAGTCCACGTGTGTGATGTGAATGAATGTCCTGGGGCAGAGTCTCTCTTATGGCCATATGCCACTCAGTGCAGAAGAGAGGATGTGGGCGACGCTAAGGTGCCAGTTATGGCTCTCCAGTTCTGATGGCCAGTCTGCACTGCGGTTGGCCTGGTGTTTGGTTTATTAAGAGCAGCCTTGGGGCTGCTTTAACTTACTCCATTGGCCTCGGGATCTCTACATTCATTTTTCATTATGTTTTTTTTTTTCTTCTGGCTCTCTCTGCTTCTGTTTTTTAGCCGTTGCTACATATTTGTTTTTCACTCCTCTCTTGAATGAAATGCTGTCTTAACATTCAAGTTAAAGTTCCTGACTCACGATTTTGAAGTCCACTTAACATTAGACAAAGTGACTCTGTTCTTCCCTAGTTTTGATGGTTTATTTTGCTTGTCATAAAAGTGACAGTCATCTGATGTTTTGGTAGACAATAGTTGTAAACATGCACATTTATTTTTCTTATATTTCACAGATGTACATATTGTTGGAGAGAACACTGGAGAACAAACAGAGCTGGAAAACACTACTCTGGCATTCTATGAATTTATAGAAGTTAAATTTAATGACGCTTTCTCTTATGAGTTAGCTTCCCATTGGCATTCTGAATTCCATTTGCAAAGGGACAATATGGATCATCATTCAGGTGATTTTTCCCGTTTAACACAAATAATTGTGAATTTTAATAATTTTAATCTTTCAATTTAATCACAAATTATAACGGTCAAAGTGAGATTAAAATGTATGTAGGTATAAAATTAGTGTTCAAACAACTATTTTCTAATATTGATTCTTGTATATGGGATATCTGTCTACTTGGAATGGATTGTTGGGTGACTCTAGGCATTCACAGAAGTAGATAACTTGGTCAAAGTATACTTCCACTTTTCATATTCCACTCAGTATACTCAGGAATAGATCTGTCTGGGACTCAGAATTCTGTTCCATGGAAAATTCTGATATTTAAAAAACAAAAAAAATTTCTCCATTGGAATGAAAAGCTGAAATTTCAAAATTTCTCAGAAAACCGAATTTGGGCAGGGGGATTGTTTTGGCTCATTTGAAATGTTTTGTTTCTGTTTAAACTTTTAAAAATATTTTATTTTTTTATTTTATTTCAGAATTAGAGTTTAATTTTTTTAAATTTATAATTGAAAAGAAAATAATTGGTGTTATAATTGAAAATTGGCCTTCTAACTGGTAATTGGTTTGCTCATTTGGTAACTGATGTTCTAACTAGTAACAGGTTTGCTTCTGGGTTTGGTAAATAAGTATTGTAATTGGCATAATATAAAATAAATAACATATTTAGAAACAAGAAGTTGTTTCAAAATAAAACACCAATAAGGACCTTATTGAAGCACTTTCTTCCTGAATGAAATTTCATCAGAAAATGACACATTTTCCCCCACAATGTTGACGTTGACAAATTGACATTTTCTGGCTGAAAAACATTCCCCTGGAAAATTTTCGGCCAGGAACTGCCTCACAAACCCAGAGTTCCGTAAGCCCCAGTGGTGCAAGCATGGTGGTATGGTCCTGCCCCCGCCCTTCCACACAGCTGCGTCTCCTGAGTCCTCCTGCCTGGGGTCTGTACAGCAGAAGTCTCTGGTGCAGCAGGAGGAGGACAGAGCCCCGCCACCGGTAAGGTGGGAAGGATGTGGATCATGGGGAAGGGACAGGGACAGCACGGGGGCCCCGGACTGGGCACAAGTCACCTGGGGGATCACATGGAGAGGTCACATGTCCCCCCCCTTGTGTCCCTTCCCATGAGTGCAGCATACCAGCAAGAAATGATTTCTACTTGCACCACTGGTTAAGTCCTGTGGAATTCTCATGGGACAACGGGATTGCCTTAGACTTTGGTCTGGCAGAGGGCTTTTCCTCTCTCCCATACCTCCTGCTTTCCTCCCCGCCCTCCGTTCAGCCCTGGCAGCCTGCACTCTAATGAACATTAGTGACGAGGCATTTTGTGAAGGAGGCAGGTGCACCTTTATCCACCAGCATTTACAGCCTCTCTTCCTCTGGCAGGGAGCAAACCCCCCAACCCTGCCATTCTGGAAGTCAACAGGATCTCTCACATCCCTGAATGCTGTGATCTTTCCTGACCCCTTTGATGAGCTAGCACCCAGTGCTTTGGGAGCCTATGGGCGCCAGTGCCCAGAATTTCCAGAGTGCTCAGCATCCATTGTTTCCCAGAGTGACTGCTGTGTGTTGAGCTCCTCTGAAAACATGGCCTCAGACTTTGTGACCATCCAAAGCCTTGTTCCTTGGGGAAAGCGTTTTCAAAGTCTACTGGCTCTGTGGAAACAGGTAGAATCTGTGGGGCAAACAGGCAGACTCTATTTAAAGGGATATGCCTTGCCATTGTGAGCCTTGTTTTTCTTATCCGCTCCAGTGGCCTTCCTTGTAACAATCAGTTCAAAGACCTTGCAGTTCTATCCTCACAGAACAACACTACAACTTCTGACCTTCTAACTGATTTTTTTTTCCTCTTTACCACTTAGATCTGGGTAGTATTCTACTTTTGTTCCATCCCATTCATCCCCACCCTAAAGATATGCTATGGCTTCCTCCCTTCGTCTTTCAAGCCACTAAATACAATCTGTCTGGAATAAAGCTTTTCAGGAAAAGAGATGCACCTGGTTAATTTCTTATGCCCAGAAGAAGCCAGGCTTCCAAATTTCTGCAGCAGCCATCTCCAAAACAAACATTCCCAGAAAATGCACTGAATGTAAGCCAATGTCTACTCTCTGGGCCCTACAGCAGCATATAGCTACGGTGTCTTAGCTTATGCTGCAGTAACCCTGTAGTGTAGATGCAGCCTACAGAAAGGGAAGGTTTTTTTCAGTCACTCCACCTCCCCAGCCAAAGGTAGGTAGGTTGACAAGAGCATTCTTCCATTGACCTAGCTGCGTCTATGTCAAAGGTTAGGTCAGCATAACTATGGTGCTTAGCAGTGTGGATTTTTCATGGGCTGTAGTGCCCGGAGTGTAGATATGGCCTGGGACCTGCCTGTCCTGGGTATTGGAAGAGTACAGTGCTAACTTCATGTCCTGGTCATTTTCAAATGGGTGACTCTGGCCCTCCTAACTGAACCATATATTTTCAAGTTGTTAGTGCTTTTCTGCCCATTGTACGGGTGCTTTGGTAGTGTGTACCTACCGCACTAGCTATTGCACTAAAACTGCCCGAAATCATTGTGTAATGACCACTGAACACCCGTGATATGGAAATGACTCTCAGGCACTATTGGCCTCCAGTGAAACCCACCAAAGTCGATAGGAATTTTTGCCATTAACTTCAGCAGGGTCAGGATTTCAGCCACAGACTACAGTCTAATTGGGGGACCTACAGGTGATAGGCTCCACTTCCCTAATCCTCTGTGTCATGTACCCCCCCCTCCCCGCCCCCACACACACAATACTATTTGCTTTTTAAAAAAATCTTTCCTCTAGGCAGCTGCTCTGGCTCCATATTTTATGACGACATCACTTGTGCTGTTAGTCAACAGTGGACTTCAGGATTTGTTTCCCTGCAAGCAAACATTGACGCTGCTATCATTCAAGTAAGTAGAGCCGGAAGCTTGAAAGTCAGTTCATTTTAGCCAGATTATTAGTATTGGACCTAACCAAAGAATATCTCTGACCAAATACTTTACATGTAGATGGAGCTTTTTAGAGAAATTAGATGTATTCACAACAGCGGGGCTTGATGAAATTCACTCTCAGGTTCTTAAGGAAACAACTGAAGCAGTCTCAGAACCACTAGCAATTATCTTTGAGAATTCATGAAGGGCAGGTGAGGGTCCAGAGGACTGGAGAAGGGCAAGCAAAGTACATACCTTTAAAAAGTGAACAAAGAGGACCCAGGGAATTATAGACCTATCAGCCTCATTTTGATATCTGGAAAGATACTGGAACTAATTATTAAACAATCGGTGTGTAAGCACCAAGAGGATCATAGGGTCACAAGTAATAACCAGCATGGATCTATCAAGAACAAATCATGCCAAAGCAACCTCTTTCCCTTCTTTGACAGCATTACAGGCCTAGTGGATAGGGGGAAGCAGTAGATGTGATATATCTTGATTTTAACGAGGCTTTTGACACAGTCTCACATGACATTTGCCTAAGAAAACTAGGGAAATATAGCCTAGATGAAATCACTCTAAGGTGTGTAAATAACTGGTTGAAAAACTGCAGCAAGAGAGATTTAAGTTAGATAACAGGAAAAACTTTCTAACTACTGAGTACTTCTAAGCACTGGAATAGGGTTACCAAGAGAGGTGTGAAATCTATGTCAGTGGAGGTTTTTAAGAACAGGTTAGATAAACACTTGTCAGGGATGGTCTAAATATATTTAATCCATTCTCAACATGGGGGGATGTACTAGATAACCTTCTGAGTTCCCTTCCAGCCCTATTTTTTTTCTGTTTCTTTCCATGCAAAAATACTGAGCACACCAAATAGGGTGTCCATAAGTCTACCATAATTTGGTTCAAGTGCTGAATTGCACAAATGCTGTGAAAGGAAGGAGGGCCCGTGGTTAAGGCACAAGTCTGGGGTGCTGGAGACCAGGTGTGATTCCCATCTCCGCCACAAGCTTCCTGTGTAACCTTGGACAAGTCAGTTAGCCTCACTGTGACTAAGTTCCCCATCTGTAAAATGGAATTAATAGCACTTCTCTACCTCACATATATTAAAAGACTTTGAGGAGCTCAGATACTACCATGATGGGAGGACCTAAAATAAACAGATCATTTCTTAGAGCAGTATGGTGAGCTGGTGGAAAGTGCTTGCATTTGCACCCCAGCTGCAGTAGTTAAATATTCATTGTATTTATCTAGCACTCTACATTGTAAACCCAGTGTACAAGCCATTAATTCTTATAACACCCCCATGAGGATCATTATCCCCTTAGTTGTTGAGGGAGACAGAGATTTGGTGGTATAGCCAGAATTAAAACCCATGACTGCCTGTTTCCTAAACCTGCGCACATTCCTCCAGACCCCACTGCCTTCCAGCAGTTACAGTCTGACTGTCGAAGTCGTCATGTCTCTAGTGGTGCACAGTCAACGTTGACTCTTACTCTACCTGTTGGAAGGGTGTCACCTGCTCCCTTGCCAGTATGCCGCGCATGAGGCCATGAATCCGCCTCAGCTCAACAAAGGCACGCGACAGAGCAAGCCACCCTCCACTGCATTCTTGCACGCTAGCATTTGCAGCCAAAGTACGGCACCCTGGCATCTTCTCCAAATCTAGTGTAGCTGCACGGAGGGAGGCATAACTGGACTATCTTTGTGTGCGGCACCCTGTTCATAATACCTAGCGTTTATACGGCACTTTTCATCAGGAGATCTTAAAGCATTTTACAGAGGAGGTCACTCTCGCTAGCCCCATTTTACAGATGGGGAAACTGAGAGATGAAGTGACTTCCCCAAGTTTACCAAGCAGGCTGAATCACAGTCTAATGTTCTGTCTGTCCACCAGGCCACACTGTCTCCACATTAAAGCAACTCACTGCTGGAAATAACGCCCTGAACGCCGCCCTTCCAAGAAAACCATCCCGCCGCTACCACCAGTGCTCCAGCGAGTGAACATCACTCCTCTTGTGTCAAAATGAGAGTTTAACACTTTGTGGAAAAAAAAAATGCCTGCCATACAGATACACCCTGTGCCATAAGGCTAGAGTGAAAATGTTTGCTGCTTTGGAAAACAGCGAGAAACATGGGGGTTTTCTTGCTGGTGATTGGAATGTTTTCCACGTGGTGCCTATCATCCTCTTTACAGCTGCAGCTTCAGAGTCTGGAGTGCAGGTGTGAGCTCAGGCATAAGTGAGTGTTTGTGTAGAGAGTGAATTAGGTTGCCCTTTTCTCATCTTTCCTTAATTCCGATGGAGAAGTTTACAGTGAGAGCGCTCAAATCCAGCTCCCACAGCCAAGAATCATTGACAAAATGTCCCTAAAAATCTGGGATCTTGTCAAATTAAACTAATTGGTTACTTGTTTTGTATTTTAGGTTGCATCAAACCACTCAGTAATGGAAGAGCTACAATCAGTCACTGCTGTACAGATGAGGATACCTCCCTTTCGTGTTGCAGAAGGCATTAACTATGACATGTTGGTTGTCTGCACTGCAGTGGCATTCTCTCCACTCATATACTTTATGTCACTCAATGTGGCAAAAGAAAGGAGGAAGTTTAAGGAGCTGATGAAGATGATGGCGCTCCAGGATTTAGCCTTCTGGTGTGTGAAATGCCCACTTAACTATGTATGGCAGATAAATCAACTGGTGAATTAATATCTCACCGATGCAGCCATGCGTTTAAAGTAAACTGTAAGAAGCTGGGAAATTCTGCTGGGTGAGCAAGATGTGTCCTCTCCATTTGCAAAACCTGAGAACGTAAATTAAGCCCAGGTGTAATCCATGTTGCCAAAGGAAGCTGCTAAATATAAGCAGTGCATCAGAATTACCAGTCAGCTGCACAATGTATGAGAGTCAATGGAAGTAGCCAAAGCAAATTGAGAGCCTTTAGTTTGTCATGACATAGTTGAATGGCTGCTTGTTTTTCTCTGCTTTATGTGAAAGGTGTAGATCTTGCATTGTAATCGGTGGAGGCAAAGCAGTCCTTCCACAGATCATAATGCAGAACTGAGCCTTAAATACAAGGACAAGGGGCCAAACTGTCTTTCAGAGGAATTCCATTAGAATGGGTCCAAAAAGAAAATTCAGGGACTCTTTCCTCCTCTTATACCCCCTCCTAACCCCTCTCACATTTTCCCTACATTCAAATGTTCAGGATTCAAAACATTTCAACGTGTTCTAACTTGATCACTGAAGCCAATATGTGTCCATTATAGTCAGTAATAGTGCAGACTGATTTCGTTTTGCTACTGAAAGGTATTTGTGGTACCGCTCTGTGACGGGGTGTATGGATCTTTCAGTGCCCCCTTCTGCGAGCCCCGAGGCATTACTGTTCTCTAACCCAGGAGTGTCCAATAGAGGAGACCCCACTGAGCTAGACAATGGCCTGGTAATGTCCAGCCAGGGTTCAGTGCCTGTTCAGGGTAGACCCTCCCAGCTGGGAGCTAATTATACACAGACTCACCGTAGTATTTAGGCTCAGCACCTTATAGGGAGGACGGGTTATGCCCATAAGTAAGGTCCTTATCGCAGATCCCGCAATATTAGGCTTCCATGGCAATTTTGATTTTAATTCGCTAACTTTGCACAGTCCACAATTTTGCATAATTTTGAATATGCAAGCAGTACTGCACTAACATTCAATGCCTGTAAAATGTAAAGGGCTAAAGTGATTGGACTCGATTTCTATAGCAATAGTGTTAAGATTTTTTGTCTTCTGAATTTCATATTGTACCAGTCACTTTTTTTTAATTAATGTAATGTAGTTGCAGCAAAATGTCTGGTTATCAGAAATAATTAGCAGGCAATGACCTAACACGTGAGTGTTTATATTGTTCCAGGACATTTTTCTTGAACACATAGGACTTCTCTGGCTTTTCCAAATTACGTTATTACTTTTCCATGGTTTTCCAAGTCTTGTCCGCAACTCAACTGCAATTATTTGAAGACCTTCCTGCAATTTAAATAGGGCCTTACCCATAAAAGAGTGAGCAATACAGGTACACACAGTGACCCCAGATCAGGACAGGAGTTCTGAGGAAATATAGTGTATAGCTGCTCCTTGTGTATTTTGGAGCTTTCTACTTGAAAAACAGCCTGGGAAGGAATACCTAAAGATTTCTGCCAAGTTCGTGTCAAACCCTGCTCTAAATCCCAACATGAAGATGGTGATTTGTGCTCAAGTCTGAGCCTCCAGCAAATTTTCTCTCTTGCCTCTCTGTCCTTGGCCCTTCCATGAGTGCCTGGTTATATTTTTATAGCCGTTTGTTTAGGAAGCATGAGCAATTTTATCAATCTTTACTGTACAAAACCCAGAAATGCAAGAGTAGCCATTAGGAAAATGAACTTCATGCTTTTTGCTTAGAGAAACATTGTGCAACAATTTTTAAATTGATGTCTAAAATAAATGCATGTTTACGGGAAAGCATCCAGCTTTAAAAGAAATTAAGGTAAATCTGAAATCTGTTGACTTCAATGGAGCCAGTTTTTTACCCTGTAAATTCTGGGAGAAATGTGGAAACTTCTTGGTCAGGAAGAATAGCCACAGTCAGAATGAACATTTTTCCCAGGATGTCTTCCCTGTTTTAAAATCTTCCTATCATTATCCCAGATAAAATTCTGATCAGTAAACAGAGGAAGATGGAAGCTGATGGATGCACAATGATTCATGTCCGTTCAAGTTGTGTATTTCACATTCTCCCCATCTGATGGGCAAACTAGAGATCATATATTGCCCATATTCTTGGGGCTTTAAGTCTTAACTGTCTCCTATCACATTTAAAAATCAGTTCTTTGTGTTTATAAGTTGTCCATCTGAGCTTGGTATATGGCCATGGCAATAGCCTAGGACTTGGGAAACATGGGTTAGATTCTCTACTCTGCCGCAGACTGTTTGTATGACCTTGCTTAAGCTGGGTAGCCTCTGTGCCTCAGTTCCCCATCTGTGAAATGGGGATAACTGCACTGCTCTACCTCACATAGGTGTTTTGAGGACAAATATATTAAAGAGAAACATAATTCATTTATTTATTTTTAATTGCATAAAAATATTTCTATTTCTATCATGGCATGAAACTCCCCTTTTTATTAAAACCTAAATTGAAAGCAAATGGTAAGTTGGCAGTATCTCTGTAAAACATTATGGTGACATGTTTTGTCAAAGAAATATCAATGATTGTATCAAAGTACAGGCTTCCCTTCCCCGTCCCCGCTTTTTAACAGATTACTGCATGACCTCACATCCATACATAAACCAGAAAAGTAATGCAATGTCTTTTGATTTTAGGTTCTCCTGGGGTTTGCTGTATGCAGGCTATATTTTAATTGTGGCAATTCTACTGACACTTATCATGAAATCTGATGAATTTATATACCACACCAGCCATTCTGTGATGTTCTTCCTCTTTTACCTCTATGGCATCTCTTTGGTAAGTTATATGTTTCAGAAGAAACATAGCTGTTTCCATCTCTGGACTTATAATAAGTCTGGATTTAAGCATCCTTGGTATTGCAACACGCAAAATTTTTTGAGCTGCAGGGGAGAGAGGATTTGGCCTGGAGGATTCAGACAGCCTTCATACAGATCCTAAATAGAGTCATGTTTTCAGTCCACTCCAGGACAAAACTTGCTGGGCTCAGTTCATTTTCTCAATTCATTTTCAACTGCAGATTAACATTCCTCTCACAATTCAGTGCAAGCTTAGCCAAGACCAAAGAGGACAGGAATTTACTTCCGCAGTCCAGAGAATGATTGAGCGACCCTGGTTTGGGATCTCTCCACTCAACTAGACTTCATTTACATTAATTAAGTAATGCTAAGGAGAATTCTGTTCTGCAGTATTAGCTTCTTTGCTATGGTCTCTTGGATTTTAGGTTTATTTTTATGATCCAGTTAAACAAAAAGTGTTTTAAAGGCCTTGAGCCAAGTTCAGACCTATACAAAGATGCTAATCCAAGTGTAATGTTTGGAAGCTGTGAGGCATGGTTTGGCCTGTATATGTTGGATAGACTCAAGCTATCAAGCCATTGAAGGACCAAGATCATTAAAGCGCTGCTTCAGAGAAGGCAGGCTGCCAATCACCTAAAACAAGTGTTGTTTCAGTCATTTCTATCACTGACAGTTTGAACCTTAAAAAGCTCATTAGTTCTTCAGACTAAAAATACTGGCCAATTAATGAAGAGGGCAGGATACTTCCAAATTCGGAAGCATTCAGGGTCAAGGCAACCCTGACATAAGATAAGGCCTTTAAAACATCCCCCAGAGCTGGTTGTTACCTCATAATTGTAGCTTTTCCTACACTTGTTCAGTAAAGTTCTCATAGATGGAAAACATCATTAGTCTCAATAACTCTTTTATGTTGGCCCATCCTTCTGAGCACCTTGTCACTAGGGGTTATATTAGAGTAATGAAACACCAACAGTCTTACAACTGTAGTGCTGTACGATGATATTGTGATTCTCTGAGAAATTGATGCTAACAAACCCTTGGTCTCTTTCAGATGTCACTTGCTTTCTTGCTAAACTCTTTGTTGAAGAAACCTAAGCTCACTGGCACAGTTGGGTTCCTCTTCACCCTGTCCTTTGGAAGTCTTGGCCTTGCTGTATTGTATAACCATGTTCCTGAACCTTTGGAATGGGCTTTAGGTCTCTTCAGTCCTTTTGCTTTCGCGGCTGGATTTGTGCGGGTATGATGCAGAATAATTTCCTCCTCAAGCATCGTTCATTTAGGGAAGGATGAACATTTTATCTTTTAAGACTTTTGGGTTCATTGACTCTTCAGAAATGCAGTCAGTGAAGGAAAGTTGATGATGACACCCATTTCCTGGTGAAAGGGTTTGAGTCCTTCAAATCTAGTAATAGAACCTCAAGCGCATTGGCTTCACCTAACCTGCCACATAAAATTTCAACATCTTCTGGCCTTCATGGCCCTGAATAATTTAATTGTTGTGTCTACCCTTTGGTTCTTATCCCTATTTGCCCTTATCCTCTCTATTCCATCCAACCCACACAATTAAGCAACCCCTTATTGTACTTCCCCACAGGCTTCTTCTACATAGCCAACTGCTCTAACATCCATTCGTATTCTTTCCTCTGTAAATGTCTGCATTATTTCAGATTGTACATTTAGAAGACGCTGTGAAAGGGGTGGATTTTTCTGACTTTTTGGAAGACTCCTTCCCAATGTTGGCAGTTTTTTCCCTGTTGGCTTTTGATGCTCTTCTCTATTTGATGCTAGCCATCTACTTTGACAAAGTTTTGCCTGGTAAGTATGAGTCTGATTGCAATTTAAATTAATTTAAATGGTTTCATTGCTTTCCCCTTCTCTTGAACTATCTCCTGTAAATAACGTGGTTTGACTGTATTGTAGCCTACTAGACTGGGACTCAGAGGGATACCTGGGTTCTGTTTCCTCCCAGCCATTGGCTGGCTGGGTGACCTTGGGCTAGTCATTAACCTATCTGTGCCTCCCATCTGTAAAATGGGGATAATTGTACTTGCCTTTTTTGTAAATTGCTTAGAGAGCTACTGATAGAAACTGCTATATAATAGTTAGGTGTTGTTATTATATCCAGAATCTATTTTCTCATTCTGCTCAAGCTCAGATTGATTTATTTACTGTTTTCTAAGCACATTTAACGCACGGGAGTATGACACATTTGAGGACAAAGTCCTCTCCCACAAAACTAACACAGCACAGGAGTGTTAATGCAAGTTCCCCTTCCTTGCCTTGCCAAGGTGCTTCAATAATATTCCAGAAGGGCTACCTGTAGGGAAGACAGATTATTCATTCCATGTTCTATCTCTATCCCTGGCCTCCTGACTTGTTGACATTGCTAGAATGGGTTCCATTTGCTATGGTGATGGCACAAATGGCAATTTGGTGCCTAATTCTCTTTTTAGTTCAATGGTGCAAAACTGTCATTGGTACCCTAGAAAATGCCCCCCATCCCCCGCAGCAGCTTTATCTCAATATTTCACTGAATAAAATGTTCCATTTTATTTTGGTTTAATAATTAGATAAATATGGGATGCACCATTCCCGTTTGTTCTTCCTGAAGCCATCTTATTGGTTTAAAAAAAGAAAAAATTTTGTCAACAATGATATCCTAGACCATGAAGAATACAGTGACCAGGTCTTTAATGATCATGTTGAGCAAGTGCCTCCAGAATTTCGTGGGAAAGAGGCCATCAGGTATGGGCAATAAGAGTGTGTTTGTTTGGTTTCTACAGTGTTAAGGCTTATATGAGTCCAATCGCTAGAGAAATGTAAAGACTTGGATTTCTATTTAATCTTCCCCATAAAGTACCCTGGACCTGATTCTCCAGGAGGTCTGTGCTGAGCTGAGAAGTAGAAGACTACTGCAGGAACCCCCTGCAGTACCTGCCTACTATTAGCCCAACCTAGAAGCAGAGCTTTGGGAAGCGCCTAGCCCTTCGATTCCAATGTTAATTCAAACCTGTCTGCTTCTTTTTCAGTATCAACAATATTAAAAAAACCTATAAAGGGAAGGACAAGACAGTGAATGCTTTAAGAGGTAAGGAGGGAAGCCTCTGAAAGTGAAGGTACCTGTGGGTATTTTTTCCAAGCACCAAGCTACCCATGCGTCCATTTATCCCGGGCCATCCCATTTTAGTCCCTGTGTGGCACCTAGATACCAAGGTGATGGACACCGTTTATAAATACAAAAATGAGATTCAACAAGGATATTGATAGCTATTAATAATTATACATGAAAAAGGAACTTTTTGGGCTCAGGTACCCAGTTTGTTGCCCATACAGATGTGGGTACTATTTAGGCCATTCCATTCTCTGGGCACTTATCCCACAAATCTGAACGCTCAATATAATATACAGGATGCCCATCAACATCCACAAACCGCCCAGCTCTCCTCAGAAGGGTGAAAAAAATCGGTGGGCTCTCCTGCATAATGGAAAAGGTTAACAAATCCTAGCTCCGGCCCGCCAGGATGGGGAAGTTTCCAAATCAAGGCCCCTCATGCAGAAATCCCTGAGCAGCTCATTCCTGTTTACATTAGACATGCTCCATCTTAAGCAACTTTGCCAATGTCTAGTGTGGTAATATTAGCTAGATCAATTACCTAGTTACCTGTAGTACCTGAAGCTTGGGAAATTTTTAATCCTAATTCCAAGCCCTTCTCTGGTTTAAACTTCCTTTGCTTTACCTTATTACCAATACCATTTTTTTTATATTAGGTTTATTGCTTAATGTCTATGAAGGTCAGATCACTGCATTACTTGGTCACAGTGGAGCTGGAAAAAGTACGCTACTGAACATCCTTAGTGGACTTTGCCCACCTTCAGAAGGTAAAATGGTCGAATGACAAGCTGAAGGGAAGGTTACCAAAGTGTGATTTCCCCTACCTACACACACCTTCTGGCTGTCTGAAGGAATGAACAGTTTATGGTTACATGTGGGAAGGCACAATAGAAATGTGTGATTATGAGTACATGAGAATGCCCATGTGCTGTCAGTGAGCTGAAAATGAATGTCACTTAACTAAGGAGCTCCTTGAACCTTCCTCTGAAGCATCTGATACCGGCTACTGTCAGAGATAGAACATTACAGTAGATAGACCGCTGATCTAAAATGGTAGGACAATTCCTTTACTCCTACATATCCATAGCAGGGAAGGAGGTGTGATGTCCCAGATTGAGGTGTCATTGAGGTTTCAGAACAAACTGATGAACTAAACAGTAATAAGTCACCAGGACCAGATGGTATTCACCCAAGAGTTCTGAAGGAACTCAAATGTGAAACCGCAGAACTACTAACAGTAGTCTGTAACCCAGTGATTCTCCAACTTTTGTACTGGTGACCACTTTCAAATAGCAAGCGTATGAGTGCAACCCCTCTTATAAATTAAAAACACTTTTTATATCTTTAACACCATTATAAATGCTGGATGCAAAGCGGGGTTTGGGGGGAGGCTGACAGCTCGTGACCCCCCATGCAATAACCTTGCAACCCCCTGGGGGGTCCCAACCCCCAGTTTGAGAACCCCTGCTGTAACCAATCATTTAAATCACTTTCTGTACCAAATGACTGGAGGATAGCTAACGTGACACCAATTTTTAAAAAGGGCTCCAAAGGTGATCCCGGCAATTACAGGCCAGTAAGCATGACTTCAGTACCGGGCAAACTGGTTGAAACTATAGTAAAGAACAAAATTGTCAGACACATTGATGACATAATTTGTTGGGGAAGAGTCAACATGTTCTTTGTAAAGGGAAATCATGCCTCACCAATCTACTAGAATTCTTTGAGGGGGTCAACAAGCACATGGACAAGGGGGATGCAGTGGATATAGTAAACTTAGATTTTCAGAAAGCCTTTGACAAGGTCCCTCACCAAAGGCTCTTAAGCAAAGTAAGAGGGAAGGTGCTCTCATGGATTGGTAACTGGTTAAAAGACGGGAAACAAAGCGTAGGAATAAATGGTCAGTTTTCAGAATGGAGAGTGGTAAATAGTGGTGTCCCCCAGGGGTCTGAACTGGGACCAGTCCAAGTCAACATATCCACAAATGATCTGGAAAAAGGGGTAAAACGTGAGGTGGCAAAATTTGCAGATGATACAAAACTACTCAAGATAGTGAAGTCTCAGGCAGACTGCAAAGAACTATAAAAGAATCTCTCAAAACTAGGTGACTGGTCAACAAAATGGCAGATGACATTCAATGTTGATAAATGCAAAATAATGCACACTGGAAAACATAATCCCAACTATACATATAAAATGATGGGGTCTGAATTAGCTGTTACCACTCAAGAAAGAGATCTTGGAGTCGCTGTGGATAGATCTCTGAAAACATCCACTAAATGTACAGTGGCAGTCAAAAAAGCGAACAGAATCATTAAGAAAGGGATATACTGTATAATAAGACAGAAAATGTCATATTGCCTCTATATAAATCCATGGTTTGCCCACATCTTAAATACTCTGTGCAGATGTGGTTACCCCATCTCAAAAAGGATATATTGGAATTGGAAAAGGTTCAGAAAAGGGCAACAAAAATTATTAGGGGTATGGAATGGCTGCCATATGAAGAGAGATTGATAAGACTGGGACTTTTCAGCTTGGAAAAGAGACGACTAAGGGGGGATATGATAGAGGTCTATAAAATCATGACTGGTGTGGAGAAAGAAAATAAGGAAGTGTTATTTACTCCTTCTCATAACACAAGAACTAGGTGTCACCAAATGAAATTAATAGGCAGCAGGTTTAAAACAAACAAAAGGAAGTATTTCTTCACACAACGCACAGTCAACCTGTGGAACTCCTTGCCAGAGGATGTTGTGTGAAGGCCAAGACTATAACAGGGTTCAAAAAAGAACTAGATAAACTAATGGAGGATAGGTCCATCAATGGCTATTAGCCAGGATAGGCAGGGATGGTGTCCCTACCCTCTGTTTGCGAGAAGGTGGGAATGGGCGACAGGGGATGGATCACTTGATTACCTGTTCTGTTCATTACCTCTGGGGCACCTGGCATTGGCCACTGTCGGAAGACAGGATACTGGGCTAGATGGACCTTTGGTCTGACCCAGTATGGCTGTTCTTATGTTTCCACACCCTGCTAACTTGTTCTCCTCTATTTTCTCCTTCTTTTTGTGTTCTTCAAGCACAAAAGCTTTTATACCGTGTATTAAGTCCAATTTCCTCTCCTCCCTTCCCAGAGACTCTCCTTATTTCAAGCAGATGAAGAACGGGATGGGTGAATTGATTAGAATAAAATAAGAGTTGACCCAAACTTTCTCCCAAAATTTCATCTGTTTCCTAAAGTTTGAAAATATTTGGTTAGCGTTTGTATGTATGTATATTTTTCCTTTTATTTTTGCACAGCCTTATATTACCAAAAGAAAGCAAAATGTTTGCACTGTCTGTGAATCTGGCACGCTATACAAAATATCCGGCAAATGATTTCTCATGTTGGTAACATTTTAATCGATTTATTTATTTAGTTTCTTAAAGCAAGATCATGTAAGAAAATTTCATTGGGTAAATTAGGTTAATGCTTTTGTGGGATACATACTACTGGGTTACATCTACTGTGGAAGGAACACAGTGCAAATATCCAGAGTTTTCTTTCATCCAGGTTATAAGGATAGATACTTTTGCTCATATTTCAATATCAATGTCTGACATACCATGCATTCTAACAGCATGTTATGCTTTCTGTTACTCATGTTTACTTTTGCAGGCTCTGCCATGATATTTAAATACAAAGTATCTGAAATGGAGGACTTGGAAGAAATTAGGAAAATAATTGGAGTTTGCCCACAATTTAACATTCAATTTGAAGTTTTAACAGTGAAAGAAAATCTAAGGATTTTTGCTAAAATTAAAGGGATTCAGCCAAAAGAAGTTGAACAAGAGGTAAGTATGTTTCATATGGAAGATGACTGGTGAGAAACCTTGCCTTTGACTAGACTTAAAGGGCCAAATTTTCACACTGGTCTCTAACTTTGTATGCACAATTTTATAAGTGCAATCGTAGAAGTGCCCAAATGACCACATTTACACGTACAAATAGCATTGGCACGTCAGTACACACAAATTCCATTTGTTCTTGCAAATTATTATTTGTTTGCATTAGGACCTGTAAGTGATCCTGTAAGCGAGCTCAGGGCCCCATTGTGCTAATGAAAGAGACAACCTTGACCCTGTCCCAAAGAGCTTACAATCTAAATAGACAAGACAGAGACACGCTGGGAGAGGACACAGTGAGGTTAAGTGACTTGCCTAAGTTTACATAGTAGGTGGGTGGCAGTGTTGGCAATAAAATCCCGGTCTTCTCACTTCCAGTCCAGTGCCATACCTACTAATCCATCCTATCTCCCCAGGGCTGTCAGCACAAGGTAAGAGGCCTGGTTTGTACATTTATCCAAAAGGATCTGAAAGGCCACATAGTAACTCTGAGCAGGAGTCCTGGAAGCTTGGTAGTAGTCAGGGGGGCCACAAGGCCCTGTCCCACTCCATGGCCCTATCCCCTGCTCCTCCTCTTCCCCCCGAAGCCCTATTCCCCGGCCAGGCTGGAAGCCGGAGCCGAGCAGTGGTAAGAGCTACCAAGGGAGCCCAGGCTTCTGTGGGGGATCCCAGACCTTCCACCTGCCCTGGACAGGGGGTTGGGGTGCCTGAGGGTAGCCTCTGGTCCACATCCACACCGCCCAGGGCAGGTGGAAGGTCCGGGACTCGCCATAGCGGCCTGAGCTCCCTGAGCGGTTCTTACCACAGCCCAGAGGAGGAGCAAGGGCAGGGCCACAGAGAGGGGCTGGGGCTCATGGTGACCGGGGGGGCTAAGACCCACCTCGGCCCCCCCCCACTGGGAAGAAACTGGCACCATGGGCAGGGGCTGTGCTTCGTTGTGGGGGAGCTGGTCACCTTATCAGCGCCCCCTCCGTGAAGCACAGCCCCTGCCGGTGCCACTCCATACAACCTGAGGCTTGCAGTTTGGGGAGGGTGGGGGCAACACAGCCCCCTGCCTCCCAAACTACGCCCATGTTAAAAAGTGGGAGGGCCATTGCCCCTGCCTCCCCAGTTCTGGCACTCCTGACTGAGAAGATATGAATCATCATATTACATCCTTCCCATTGTTAATGAAAGTAATTTATTAGTGTGACCTTTCAAATGTTCTCTTATTTCTGTTGTGGGGATAAAATGCCTTTGTTTCCTTTTTTTTCAAGGCAGGAGTGCATTATTTGGAAATGTAGGGTTATTCTCAGGGACCAAAAGATCCATGGGGTATGTCTACACTTCAAAGACAAACCCGCTGTGCCGAGCCTCAAAGCCCGGGTCAGTTGACTTGGCCTTGCAGGGCTAAAAATAGCAGTGTGAATGTTCCCATTTGGGTTGGAGCCCAGGCTCTGAAACCCAATGACAGGGGAGGATCTTGGAGCCCAGGCTCCAGCCCTAGCAGAAATGTCTACATTGCTATTTTTAGCCCTGCAGCCCGAGCCCTGCTCGCCTGAGTCAACTGACCCAGGATCTAAGACTTGGTGCTGTGGGTTTTCCTTTGCAGTGTAGACATATCCCGGAAAGTTATATTAGGTTAGTTTGCATGTTGTCTGGAGAGCATGGAGGCTATCAAATGCACTATGCACCTGCATTATGTTCTATCCTGAGCTACAGGGCTGTCCCTAGGATTTATGGGGCACTATGCAGTATTATTAAAGTGGTACCCCGATGCCTGACGGCATCCCAGGCTCACATGTGTATTTTAGATAAGCACGGTCTTCTGAAGGATTTGGTTAAAAAAACATATGTCTGAAGATCCAAGCATTTAAAGCGAAAGATGAATACTCAAATTGTGCATCTAAAAATCTATGCAAGGATTTTTTAGAGATGTGATTTTATAATCTTCAGCAACACACTAATAAAATATTTGTAAAGCAAATTTTAAATGAAGGTCCTGTAGACTAACATGGTCTGAGTAAATATTACAGTTATGCACAACTGTTTTTGTCAGTAACTTCATAAACTGATGGTATATACCTGGGGGTTGGCAAATGCCTGTTAAACGGCTTCGTTACCACTCGAATAGCTCTTTAACAGTTTCAGTGTTGTGCTAATAGGTCTGGCAGGCTGGACATTTTTTCACTTTTAAGTACTAGATCCCCACCGAGCTGTGGTGGGAGCCTGCAGGAAGGGTCAGAACAGGTGGAGGTGGGAGGGTGGACACTAAGATCCCGGGGTGCCCCAAATTTTCGGATGCCCTAATCCGTGCTGCATATGCCTAAGGATGTCCCGGCTGAGCCAAGTCTGGTGCTTTATGGTGATGCCTGTGAGGGACAAGTGTCTGACACCATCCAGCCATCATGTTTGAGGTCTTCCATGGGGCGGTCTTTTACATTCTGCTTTCATGGATCAAAATCAAAGATGATTCTTGCAGGGAAGTTAGTTAGGCATTCAGAGCAGATACCTGTACCACCCATATCTTAGAGACAATTGGGTGATTATTTGAGAGAGTGTGGAGGGACCTGGAAATCCAGAATTCTCTCATTGTGCAATCCTCATACTTCCAGCTCTGAAACTGATTACTCCACTACCAGATGTTCCCTTTTCTACTGACTCTGTTACAGTCATTGGCCAAGCAGATACAGTCCAAAGATTCAAACTATATTGTTTGGCTTTCAGCAGTAAGCAAACAGTAACTGTTTGCATATTTGGTTTAGCTACAATAGCAAGCAGGAAACTAGTTAGTGAAATCATTGAACATTTTGTTCATGTGTCCATGAACTTCCCACAGTAAATTTAAACCCCAGGATAATTCTACAATGAGTTTCAAAGAGGGTTTCAGTGTCCTATGTAACTGGTTTTGTTTCCAAAATAAATCTTTGTCGTTGCTGTGTATCTGTTTGTTAAATAAGACCAAATGAAAAATGTAATTGAGCATTACATGAACGTGTGTCATGTTAGCGAATTGAAACAATCCCAAACTACAAATTCCTCAATGGTGGTGGAAGTTTCCGATAGCCACACTTGTTCCGTTTTTCATTAGTTAGAGTTGTTTCATGGTCTTGACAACGATTAACAATAATAATGAATCTGCATTTCTGTAGCATTTTCACACAAGTACTTTACAGAGCTTAGGGAGTATTACCATACACAGCAATTTTGCAGTTGAGGAAACTGAGGCAGAGAGCTGTTAAGTGATTGGCCCTGCATCAAATCCGATAGCAGAACCAGTAATAGAATCCAGGTCTCTGAACTCCCAGCCTTTCCCTCTAACCAAGGAGTCATTATCGATACTTGATGTGGCACTTTGCAGAGTCCTTTGTGTCCCACCGAACTAGGTCCCTCTTAAAACCTGACCTCCTTTCTCCAGTTCCACTCATCATACTACAGATCCACCTGGCCTCTACACTAGAACATGCTGCCCTACAGTTAACATGCCTTTAACAGGAAGCATGTTCAGGCCCATGAGTAAGGCAAGAATCCATGCATTAGGTAGGGCCGGGGATTGAGCAGCTGTGGAGATTGTTCACAAGTCCCTGCTAAGCACAGAATCCTAGAAATGTAAGACTGAAATGGACCTGCAAGGCACTGAGGCAGGGCTAAATATTATCTAGACAATGCCAGACAAGTGTTTGCCTAGCCCGTTCTTAAAAAAGTCCAGCAAGGGAAATTCCACAACCTCCCGAAGTAATTTGTTCCAGTGCTTAACTATCCTTACAGTTAAGAAGTTTTCCCTAATGTTTAACCTAAATCTCTCTTGCTGCAATTTAAGCACATTACTTCTTGTCCTATCCTCAGTAGTTAAGGAGAACAATTTATCACACTCCTCTTTATGACAGCCTTTTAAGTACTTGAAGACTATTATGTCCCCCCTTACTCTTCTCTTCTCCAGCCTAAACAAACCCATTTTTTTCAATCTTTCCTTGTAGGTCATATTTTTTTAGACCCTTAATCATTTTTGTTGCTCTCCTCTGAACTTTCTCCAGTTTGTCCACATCTTTCCTGAAGTGTGGTGCTGGAAACTGGTCATAATACTCCACTTGTGGCCTTATCAGTGCTGAGTAGAGTGGAAGAATTACTTCTGGTGCCTTGCTGACAACACTCCTGCTAATACATCCCAGAATGATGTTTGCTTGTTTTGCAGCAGTATTACATTATTGACTCCTATTTAGTTTGTGATCCACTATAACCTGGAAAATCTGTTCTGCAGAACTCCTTCCTATGCAGTCATTCCCCCATTTTGTATTTGTGCAATTGATTATTCCTTCCTAAGTGTAGTACTTTGCATTTGTTCTTATTGAATTTCACCTATTTCAGACCATTTCTCCAGTTTGCCAAGATCATTTGGAATTCTAATCCTGCTCTTCAAAGCGCTTGCCACCCGTCCCAGCTTGGTATCAGCCGCAAACTTTATAAGCTTACTCTCCATGCCATTATCCACATCATATATGAAGATAATGAAAATAAAACGTTTATTCACAAAGTTCTGTTTAAACCAAAGTAACACCAGCCTGCAAAGTTCTTGGCCCTGTTCCATTCCTGCTGCTCGGCCATGTGTAAACTTCAAGCCGACACTAAAAACCCAAACTAATGTTTTAGACAAGGCCACTTTTATGTCTCAGAGCTCTCAGTCATAGTCTCTTGTCAGCAGACCCCTCACTCTGCCTCCCATGAGAGTACCCCAGCCCCTTTTAAATATACTGAGCTGAGCTTTGTTCAGCTCCCCATGATTGCTTCAGTGCAAGGAGGCATTTCCAGCAGAGACTATGAAACCTCTGCTGGGACTGAACCCACTCCCCAACCGCCGCCCACCCCCGCAAAATAACCACACCAATGTCAGGCTCAGCCAGTCTCCAATGATATGGGGACACAGAATGACTATACACTGTACCTGTATCTTTTCACACAGGAATGGCTATTTTCTTACAAAGTTCCCAGATACCACTTCTAGATGTGCCATTATTTAGTCATTATACCAAATACTGCCAGCCCCAAGTGTTCAAAAACATGTCAGAACCCACCCACCCCCAGAATGACGAGATTGGCTTAAAAGTCATCAGATTTTAAAAATAATAATAAAGATTGTGTTCTTTAATTTTGCTTTACTTTTTGAAAAAAATGAAAGCTGAGATTCTCGTGAAATAATCTGATTTCAGCAGCTGGGGCTTTAAGACAAACACTGCATATTGTGAGACCTGCAATACAATCTCAAGAACTGGCCACACTGGAAATTGTATCCCAGAATGACTGCATGGAGCTCAGCAAGCATTTCGGGGTGTAACACTGGTTTCACAGTCAATTATTGACACCCAGTAATTATTTGTAACCCAGTTCCTGTGCTGCTCCTGTGTCCAAAGTGCTGTTTGGGAAACAACAAATAGCTCTGAGGAAAATCTTAAATGACTAGCTTGAAACCAGGATGTTCTCTGTTCCCTAGATCCAAAAAGTTTTGACTATGTTGAAAATAAAAGACATCCAGGACTGCCAAGCTAGCAGCTTAAGCAGTGGACAGAAAAGAAAGCTCACGCTTGGAATTGCCATTTTAGGAGACCCCCAGGTAAGATTAACATCAAACTGTTGGTAGGACACCCTGCTGACAAGAAGGCAGATAGGCTGGTGAAAGTCGCCAGAAGCTGCTGATTTAGTTTGAAGAGCTGTGCTTTTCATAATGCTATTTATTATCCATTTGTTATGTGTATTGTCTTATGCAAGAACCTGGTCACCAGCCATTGGAACCTGGTCACCAGCCATCTCTGTCTGTGTACCTGTCACGAGTTGCACCACTCACCGCGAGTCTGGTGCCACCTCTTGGTCACTCTGGGGATTAGCTCTTGAGGTTGCCACTCCTTTGCATGCTGTCACACTGTCTCTGCAGCAATTCTCTCATTCCCGGAACCCCGCAGCACCCGTTTTGTGACTCAGCCCTCCCGCTAGGTTACTCAACGTTCCCCCCTTTTGGGGTACAGTCCTTCAATTCTCTGTCACTCCCACAGAGACCCAGGTAGTCTTCCTGTTCACTGCACCGCTGATCTATGCCACGCCCTCGGTGGCTGGGAGGGGAACCTGGGCCTGCCCTTTACTCTGGCTTCCAATCCAGGGACTCTCAATCCAGAAGATCTGGGCTTTCTTCTCCCAGCCCTCACTGCTCCTTCCCTGGAGTGCTTCCTATCACTCCTGGTTCCCTTCCTTGCTCTGGGTACTAGCTCCAAACCCTCCTTCCCCTTCCCAGGGAGTGACTGCCCTTTCCCAGCAGCAGCCTCTGTCTTTGCCAGTTTCCTGCCTTTATAGGGTCCACCTGTTCCGGCCCAGCTGAACCTGCTTGCGACCAATTCGCCGCTCCCTGACTCTTCCTCCAGGTGCAGCCTCTGGAGTTAATAGGCCTGCCTGGCCACCTGAACCCCTTCCAGTCCTGTGTGGGTGGTACCATCACGGTACCAAACACTCACTGTGCCACGCCCCGTACAGATTGGTGAGGCTTCTGGTCTCTCCAGAGGATGCTACGCCATAGGCCACTGAGAATCATTTTTGCCCTGGCCTAGCCAGTTGTGCTAGCCAAGCCTGTACACACGCAGCATAGGACAGCATTCAGGAACAGGTGCAGGCTTGTTAAGCCTTTCTCTGTGACTCTCACTGTAGCTGTGGCTCTGACCTCAAATGCAATTTCAGTTTCAGCTCAGGCTGACCGTGAACAGTGCAAGCTGAACCCCACACCAGTGGAGTGTTTTGGGGTTCAGAGCCTCAGTCCGATCTAGGGTGACCGGTCATGGGTATTAAAGTGTGCATGCCGCCTCTTCTGGTCCAGAGATACTGGTGGCAATTTCATGCCGAGGCCCTGCAGAGGGAACCATGACTGCATGGGCCAGGAGCTCTTGCTTACCCAGGCAAGAACGCACCCAATGAGAGATGAGAGCACTTAGCATCTGTATAAATAGAGCTGTGTCTATCTATTTAATTCTCTTTCCTTCTTTGAATATAATGTTTTCCACAGGAAGTGTTGGATTTAGATGCTTCAGTCCCATTAAAATCCTAAACACTCTGCTAAATGTGCAATCCTAAATGTCAGAATCTGTGTCCCGGTCACAGAGTCTTTCATGTGGCTGGAATGGAATGTTTTATTATTTCCTCCTGGCAGGTTTTGATATTAGATGAGCCAACTGCTGGTTTGGATATCAGTTCCAGATACCATGTATGGAGCCTACTGAAGGAGCATAAAGCTAACAGAGTAACCCTGTTCAGTACCCAGTTAACGGATGAAGCTGATATTATCGCTGGTGAGCACTGGATTGCTCATTCCCCGAGAGATGATGATGATAATAGTAACACAGATGTCATTTTGCTGGCCAGAAATTTTCCAGTGGAACATTGTTCTGTCAGCAAATGCCGACTGGTTGAAAGGAAAACGTATTGCGGAAGTGTGTCAGTTTTGACAAAATTTCATTTAGGAAAAAAATATGGAATGGAACATTTCAATTTTCCAGTTTGAAAGGATTTTTCATTTCAAGTTTTTAAAATTTTACATTATATAATATAAAATGTAAAAAGTAAATATTGGAATGAAACATTTTGATTTTATCCAAATGAAATGTTTCAGTTTACATGAATTTTTTTTTTCAGAATTGCATTTTGGTTTTTCTGTTCATTCCATTTTGGAACAGAAAAAAGTTCAAAATCTAAGAATTTCCCATGAAATGGAAAAGCCATTCCTGCCCTGCTCTCAATGTCATAACTTGTTCTTTCCTGACTGTTGAGAAGGTTAGTCCCTGCTGTCTTTAGTACATCCATTTATTTATAAGACAGACCCAGGTCAGTGAGGTAATATCTTTTACTGGACCAGTTTCTGTTGGTGGAAGGGACAATCTTTCATGCTTCACAGAGCTCTTCCTCAGGTCTTTCACAGGCCTGAAGAAAAGCTCTGTGAAGCTTGAAAATTTATCCCTTCCACCAACAGAAGTTGGTCCAGTAAAAGATATTACCTCACACATCTTGTCTATCTCATGTCCTGGGACCAACACAGCTTACAACAACATTGCAAGCACTTATTTATAGACACTTATGTCTCCCCTCACTCATTTTTTCTCTCTAGTGAGGAACAATCTCCCATTTTAGCTCTATGGTACAAATTATTTTGTTTCTGTTTCTTTAGACCGGAAAGCTTTTATCTCCCATGGGAGGTTAAAGTGTGTTGGCTCTTCTCTCTTTCTGAAGAGAAAATGGGGAATCGGTTATCACTTAAGGTGCAGTATACTGAGCTTGTGTTAAAGGGATCCATTTTGAGTACGTTTTGGTTCTATATTTCTTGTGGGGGGATAATAATCTCTATATTGTCAAAATTAATGTACAGAGTACTGGTGGGCATTAGTTTTGTCATTTGTATATTAAGCATCTTTCTCGGCTATATATTTTATCTGTCTGAGTACTGAACATCTGTTCATTTTAGTCCTCTGTCCAATACCAAAAGGAAAAGATCTTTTCACATATGGGTAAAAAATCAAAAAAACATGCAAAACAGTTTAATAATTCATGTCTAAAATTGACATTGATTAACAATAAAGTACGTAGATAACCAGAGGACATAAGGTTGGCTGGTATTGTCCTCTCCCCATCTTTTGCTCCATTGTTTATTTGAATTGTTACTAAAGGAAACTCTCAATAACCTGAATGGGAACTTTGCTTGCATAAGAGTTGCATAAGGGCCTCAGGATTTGGATAAATCTCTGTCATTTAGCATTATGGGGCCTGGCAAAAACTTTTTTTTTTTTTTTACTCATTTTTTTTCCTATGTTACATTTGACAAATTGTACAAAGTTCTTGATGTAACTGATCAGTTCAGTTATGAGGACTCCATTTGGTGTCCTGTCCAAATATTTCATCCCTTCATTTAAGAGAATAAAATCCCATGTGGCTGAGGACTATGTGCCTGATCCCGAGAGGAGTTTTGCTCTCTCAACCCCAACTTAATTCAGTGATTCCGTTCTGGGGCATATAGTGCAAATTTGGAATAACTGTGTTTTACTTGATATCTTCTAAATACACACAAAGAAAGCCCCTCTACATCTGTGAACTCTGGCAAGCTATTCTCTGTGATAGACTTTCCATATCTGATGTTCCTGTGCTTTTCATGCAACCTTTTATTTCTCTCAGGAATCAAATCAAATTCTCAATTGCAGGTGGCAGAAAGGCAAACCCAGGAGCTGATCCTATAATTAGATGCCACTCCTGCTCCTACATCACATCTAATATGTCAGTAACCTCTGGACTTCTCCATCTGTTTGAGAGAAACAGAACCCTTGATAGTTTAAACAGCTAACATTCCAAATGCCGATTAGGTGTGTGATTAGAAGTCTTGTTACATATATGCTAGTGGACAATTCGTTTCTGAACTTTCTTCAAAAGACTTAACTTTTTCCAACAACTTATTAAGTGGCTGGATGTACATTTCTGGATTTGTTGGATTGTTCCAGGATGAACAGAAGAGGCACTGTTACAAATATTTCCTTTTTCTTTCCTTTCCAGCCTGCACATCAATGACTCTTGTGACTCTGCAAAAATGACATCTCTGGTCAAGCAGCATATTCCCAATGCTAAGTTATCTGGGCAGAGTCATGAAGAACTGATTTACATGCTGCCCCTTGAAAATGTGGATAAGTTCCCTGGTAACTATCACTTTGTAATTTAAGAGTGACTCCTTAGGATGTCATTGTAGCAGAGAAGTTTCAGAACAAGTCTAAAAGACTCCTGGAAGAAAATATCCATACATAAAGCTGTCTGAATTTTGTTTTCTGTTAATGTTTTGCCTTAATTATTTTATGTCAATTGTCTCTTTTTAAGCTGAGCAACCCCATTTTACCATATCTTTTTAAGAGAAAAGATAATGAACAGAAAGGGCTGGAGGAGATGGGTGGTGGTGTGAATAGAGTACTGAAGATCTGGGTTTTATGCCCAGTTTCTGACACCTCTGTTACCTTTGGCAAGTCATAGTTACATGCTATGTTCCTCCATTTCCACATCTGCAGAGTCAAGATATAACAACTTCCTCACAAGGGAGTTGTGAGGCTTAATACAGAGATTCATAGATTCTAAGACAATCAGTGATTATCTTGTCTGACTTCCTGTATAACACAGCAGGAAAACTTCCCTGAAATAATTCCTGTCTGGATTAGAGCATGTGTTTGTAAAGGACTTGGAGATCCTACCATGAAAGGTGTTGTACAAGTTGAAACTATAATTATTATATTTTATTTTATTTTTTGAGTGCACACCTTCCCAGTGAGCATCTGTATCAGGGATTTCAAATCCTGGTTGGTTGGATATCCACTCTCCATAAAATAGCCTGAAGAACTGTTCTCTGTCACTTAACTGTTTAAATGCCTAAATCTAGTCATGATGGAGGCTGAGGTGAATCCATATTTGGCCCAAAGTATTTAGCAGCCACTCTGTTCTTAAAACTTTAAAATATGCAACTATAAGAAAGCAACTGTTAGATATTTTTGTGTTTCAGAACTGTTCTGTGAGCTAGATACTCATGTGTGCCAGGAGATTCTGAGTTATGGCATTTCCATGACAACCCTGGCTGATGTGTTCCTGACACTGGAAGAAGAAGCAGCAATTGATCAAGCAGGTAAGAAAGTCCAATGCTGTCCAAAGTGAAAAGGATGACTCGGTCTTTACAAAGGCAAAATTCTCATTGAAGTGAATGGGAGTTTTGTCTGATAAGAGCAGTGGGATTTGTCCCAGTATCACGGATCAGATAAATCCAAATAAGTAACCTTATGGTATTTTCTGTTCCACTGAAAGCATCCCAGGGCATCTTTCCTGATTTCTGAAACAGTTCTTTTCACATTTTTATAATAACTGCCTGGAATCCTGAATCTTATTCTGGTCATCTCCAATTAGATGGCGGTTCTCAAATTAAACAGAGCACTCCCAAACCTGCCCAAAAAAATTAAACTCACTAGAGCCAGACACACATGCTGATGTGACTCATCAGGGCTTCAACTTAGTAATGGTTTGGTATATCATGTAGGACTAAAAGCTTGAAACTTCAGCCTCTGAGTTGAGTAGTCATTTCCAAACCCAGTATCCAAATATCCATTTCAACGTCCTACTCGCTGATTTGAGAACTCAGATCAGGAGCATAATTTGCTGTAGAGGACAGTAGCACCTCCCCCAAACCTTGGTTTGCCCCCCATCTGAATTTTCATAGTTTGATATGCTCCACCTTTTCCCCCTCCCACAACTTTGCAGGATATAATGTAGAACATTATATGTGGCAATGAGATGCAGATTAAGTCAATTTGTTTGGTAAATCATTCCCCTCCTTCCCCATTTATTTGTAATCTGGGATTGATTCCATATTGCTCTTCAGTGAAGCTAAAAGGAAAGAATTTCTGTGTTCCAAACACGCCAGGATAAGGGGTAAGCTTTAACAGGCCGATTTCTTTGCTCCTAGATTATGGTGTGTTCAGTGAGGAGCAGGCAGAAGAGGAAAGAGACACCTTCTCTCCCGACGAATTGGAACAAAGTCTCCTGTCACTCTCAGACACTGGAAAGGCGACTGTAAGTGGCACAGCCCTCTGGAGACAGCAAGTCTGTGCCCTGGCAAGAATTCGCTTCTTAAAGCTAAAGCATGAGAGTCAAACTATTAGGTCCATGTAAGTGCCAGAGTGTATCTGATCCTATATATGAAAAGCAAAAGCAAACTCAGACTGCATATGTCAAAAAAAAAAACCCTGAAAAAATTTCTCACTGGTATTTATTTTGTCTATCAGCACTCAAAACAACTTGCAGATTAAATAGCGAATTCACTGTAAATAACAAACAACTTTTCAGCTCATGGCACCTTTGCGAAGTGACACCCCTGACTGTAATATTGTTTTTATCTGCCTGTTATTTTCTGTGGCTTTGCTATTCCATGGGAGACTTTCTTACAGCTTTGCCAAATGAAATGTAATTTGGGGACTTGTTTCTTGTATTCACTTGTGATTGGGTATTGTAGTAAGGTCATTGTATCAAGATGTACCAGCCATCTAGGTCCCAAGGAAGCAAGAGAATTACTTGCTGAGTGAGAAAGCTCTAGTTCTCCATATCAGGAATGTGAGAGTTAATCAACACACTCAGGAAATCACTTGGGCCTGTTTGCTGTCTGGAAGCAACTAAACAGAAGTATGAGCCAACAGAAAGGGGTACTTTGAATATGTGAGACAAGCAGAATGTTTCTTCCAGATCATGGAAACCCTGCAAACTTCACTGTAATCTCACTTTGATTTGTGACACTTTACTTAAAGATTTGGGGTTAGGGTTTTGGTTTTTTTCCACACCACCCTCCAGGAAGAGTTTAGAAACTATTTTTAACCTATTAAAAAGTTTTTCAGTTTCCCCTTAAGGGAGAGAGGGTTCAAAACAAAGACTTTCTTGTTGTTTTGGTAGGGCAGCTAAACCAGTCTTCCAAGGAGTTTCAGAGACCATGTGTTTCTCACCTGGAGAAGGAAGTCACCACAGATCCTGTACTCTTCTGCATCTTGCTTTACTTTACTGAGGAACCAGGCCTAAGAGATAGGGACCTCAGGTACAGGAAGGGAAGTGGTCTTCGGGAAGGTAATAAAGGGAAGTGAAAGCTCTTCCTGAGTCTTTGCGCTGGGTCCCAAGACTATGTCTCCCTGGTGCTGGGCAGGTGGGAGCTCTGCTTCCCTCCAAGACACTAACTGACCAAATGCAGAGCAGCCCTGTTGGACTCACACATGTGTTTAAATCGCTACAGTAGATTCACCAGTCTAGTCAGAGGAGAGACTGTGCATGTGGTTTGGCCCATTTGACTTTGGAATTATTTTAATTAGAAATGGGCCAAACCAAAATCATAAATCACAAAACCCCAGATGTGTCTGGATCTGAACTTTGAGGCCTGAGCACTCAATTATATTTAATAATATAATTCTTTATTAAGGCTGCAGCAGGTTCATCCTTTGAAACGGACAATCGCAGTTCTTGAGACTGTATTATTAGAGCTGGTTGAAAAATTTCCTGCTGAACATTTTCCCATCGGAAAATGCCATTTCACCAGAATCGAAACTTTCCATGGGCACCTGTCAAATTGGATGAAATTTTGCTTTGCGGGGCCAAAAAAAAATCAAAATAAAACATTTCAAAATGCTCCGCTCTGACATTTTTGGAATAGAACATTTTACTTTTCTATTTCAGAATGCCCTTTTGTTTTGAAAGTTGATCTGATATTATATTAAAAATAATAAGGAAATCAAAAGGAAACATTTACCCCAAAACAACTTTTTGAAATTTCAAACTTGAACATTTTGTTCCCATTTGGAACAAAAACAAAATTTGAAATCACTGAATTTCCTGTGAAACAGACATTCTGGTTTTCCCCCACCGCTCCACTTATTCTCATCATTGTTTGAGGGAAAGAAGCAGCACCAATGGGATAACATAAGTAGATACCAGGTTCTTAAATGGCAGAGCTAATATAGGAAGAAATGAGTCTGATACCAGGTCTGTGAAGGGTGGTGGTCCGAGCAGAGTGAAAGGCAGCAGCTTCTGGGGTCCTGGCTGCCGGGCGCTGAAGTGGCAGCTAGAAGTGGCTTGACCTGGTGCTGTGTTTTTCTATAATCTGCCCAGGCAGCCACATGGTCCAGTAAAAGTGGGGGTAGCCATATCAGAAGAATTTCTTGTCACCCACCATAGAACTTTTCAGAGTCCCACTCTTTACCTAGGGCTTTGTTGCTTGCCTCTGGACACAGTGCCAAATTCTTACATGTATGCCATCCTCAGCCTCTTCCCCTCCTCTACCTCCTGTCATCCTTGCCCCGGCACCCCTCCCCACCTTCTGCTCTGGTTTTGCTCGCTGTCCCTGCAAGCATGGTTTATGCATGGTGTGCTCATCAGAGCACTCGGTTGCCTGAAGCTTCTCTCTGCCAGGCACACCTCTGGGTTGAAGAAATGATAGGCAGAGACCAGGCGCTGTCTTAAAGGTTTGTGATCATTCCACATCCCTGAGTTGCATGGCTAGCCTTTTAGCTCTAAGAAGCCTGCAGGTTTGTGAAAATCAGTTGGTATGATGCCAAAAACATGGTGATAAGAGAGTATAAGCATCTTATTTTGATTTTCTAGCCAAGTTGGCACCATGGATTAATAAATGGATGTATATTATAACTCATCACCTACTCTTCCATTTTAGATTATTGGTGTGTGGTCTTCTTATACTGCCTTTCCTGATCGCCAAGATAATAAGTGATGGAGAAATTGTTGCCGTTACGATGAAGGTTTCACCTCAGATGTATTTTCTCCAACCTGGACAGCAGCACTACCAAACACGTCACACCAGCTTATTGATCCTCAATGATACAGGTGAGAAAAATGGAATTAATAATGTCAATGTTGGAATCTACAACACAGTACATTGTAAGTGTCCGGTTGATTTTTTTCTTTCAAAGAAACACACGAAACCAGTACAAAGTCGCAAAGTATATTCCTGCACTAAATCCTGGTGCATCTTAATAGTGACTCCCTGAATAATTCATACAAGATCATTTCATTAATTAGTTTAGACCAGAACAACATTTCTTGTTTGCATGCTTTGAAAATGTGAAGGGTTATAATCAGAGTCACTTCTAATCCACTATTAAATGGCTGTTGCATTTGCCATGATATCCATACCTTGCTGCATGAATCATCTCCAGATTTTTTTTTAAAATGATGTTTCTAACCCTCATGGTTCTAAAGTAAACCTTGGAAACCTGAATCAAGTGTAAGCGGATTCTGTATTGGCTTCCTACATCTGCAGAGAGCCTGCGCTCATAACTCTGAAAGGTTTGACTGCCCCTAATCATCTCAATGGAATGTTTAGTTGAAAACTGAAATTGTGGAGACCTGTGAAAAGCAGACTAACTTTAATACCAAAAGAAACAAGATGGGCAGCAACTCTGCTGATTCATTATTCACAATTAATGTTTCCGAATATTTCATTTCATAAAATATTCTGAGATTTCAACTTTTCATTGTGATTTGAGACAAAAAGCAAATTTCAAAATCTCTGAATTTCCATCCTGTAGGAAATTATATTTTTTAACCAGCTTTACTTCTCACCATGCGAACTTCCTGATTACTGTGCGCAGCAAAGTAGTTTTTGCTAAGAAACACCTTCCTATTAAAAGGTCAGACCATGCCCCCTTTCAGAAATCCATCACTTGAAAAATGTTAGAGGTGTAAGGCTAGTGAGATGGAAGAATTTCAAAGAGCTTCTCTCCAGACTTTCAGCTTCCAATAGACCTTATTAACGTGACATTAGAATTTTACTAGGAATGGACCTAAGCCACATAGTTCAGATCTAGATACAGAATTTCTCACAGAATAGGGTGTTTGGATGGGATCTTCAATTTGATTTTATCATTCTTGTGCTTTTACTATAAAAGAGCTGTCTAAATTCTGCTTTCTCTAATTTGTTAGGTTCAGACATTGAGGACTTCATCCGGGCTGTGAAAAGTCAGAATATAATGTTGGAAATAGCTAATGGGAAAAACATCTCAGATGGTCAAGAATACAATGGGGCTATTAAAGTATCACTTGCAGACAAGGTAACTGAGACTAAGTAAATATGACGTTCTGTAAACTTTATAACTAAAAAACCACTGATGGAAGATGTTATGGTTATTTATTATTATTAGAGGTGGATTCAAGAAGCAAACTTTGGATCTAGCCTTTCCTATAGTTTGGAGGCTTGTTTTTACTTTGGCTCATTGTACAGAAATGTGTCTACAATGAAATCCAGATCTAGAGCTTACATCCAAACGTTGGCAGCATCCAGGTCAAGGGGTTGGTTTATGCTCATCTCTAATTTATACGGTATTATGAATGCACATGACAGTTTCTATAATAATACAAAGAAAAAGGTCTCTGCCTCAAAAAATAGATTAAAGAGGGTTTTGTTAGAAGAGCAATTTGAAGAATAATAAATTTTTAAAAATTCTTATTTGGGTTTTAAGCTAGCAAATGGAGCAGGTATCATAAAAGTTTCATGGAGCAAGGTCAGCATACAACAATACTAGAGATATGGGGATTTTTAACTGTAAAATCTGGGCCAAATTCTGTGCTCACTTACACTGATGGAATAAATGGGCCAAAATTTACCCCTCTGCTTTTTTCAATCCAATTTCCTCAGCTAGCTAAAGCCTAGTTTTTAGAGTGAAGACTGACTAATCTTTCATTTCTTCAGCATTTCAGATTTTCAGTGATGTGCCATGCCAAGAGAATCAATTGCTTTCCAGTGCTTATGAACATCATTAGCAATGCATTACTAAGAAACTTAAATTCCACTAGGCATATTCAAGCCACGACTAGGATGTCCCCTATGGTATGTATTTGACATTCTGCCCAAGATTTTCAAAAGTGATTTGTTATTTTGGAAACCTCCATTTTTGGATGCCCAACTTGAGAACTTAAAAAAGCCTGATTTTCAGAGAGTGCTGAGCACTCACCCTCTGAAAATTAGGCCTCTTTAAAGGGTCTCAAGGTGAGCACACAAAAATGGAGGCACCCAGAGCCACCAGTCACTTCTGAAAATCTTGCCACTACGTGTCCCCATGTTCTCTCTTTTATATAATTTGAGGTCCCTTTCACCTGTTCTCTTTTCCAAGCTAAATGACGCTAGCTCTTTCATTCTCTAGTCATGCGTACAATAAGTCCCTTTCAGACATTCTTGTCATCATCTTGTCTTTTTGCTGAATTTTCAGTCTGTGCTGTTATATATTCCTTGAGATGAGGGGACCGAAACTGTACACATCATTCCTTACAAATGCAAATCTGTGTTTTACATGTGATAATACCATTATGTTTTCATAGAAATTAGAGCTAGAAAAGAACTGCTAGATTGTTATCCAGACAGTGTGGGACAAGCCTTTAAGTCAAGCCATTCCCATCTCTACCCCAGCCAGTGCCAAATTGTTTCCACCTGTACATTTTCTAATGATTTGCCAAGTCTGGGGAGATGAATGGCCATTCCATCTCTAGGTACATTAGCCTCTGCTTGGGAAATTTCTGCTGGAGTGTGTGTGGATTCTAGGGCGGAGGGGAGGGTAAATATTTCCCAAGAGATGAGTTCTTCCAGTCCCCTAATCATTTTTGTTCTTCTCTGTATTTGTTTCAATTTGTCTCCATCCCCCTGTATTGTGGCATCCAGGACTGAATGCAACATTGCAGGGTCAGTCTGTAGAGAAGTGGCATTGGCTGTCACCTCTCTGGGTGCCTTACTAAAAGGGGTGCTTTGAGGTTGCATAGACATGATGCCTCTGCAGATGCAACTTCAAGCCAGACCTTTGTAAAGCAAGTAGGATGCTTTTGTTTCTTCGGCTGTATGGTGACATTATTTAAAATCTATTCTGTTATTATTATTTATAGGCATTACGTAAGCACCCATGGCCATTATATGAAAGCATATAGCCATTTTTGCTTACTGTTTTTTAGATATCATCTGAGCACGGAATAAGGTTACTTTGGCATTCCATTCTTTTCATGTCTATTTTAGCTTCTGGTTTGGCACCTCACTTTGCAATGAGCAGCATAGGTGATTACAAGGTAAGAATGGATACTTTGGGTAGGTAAAAGTAAATGTCATATCTGCTGTGTTTCTTGTTTTTAACAATAGATCATCGCTTTTTCACATCTTGTAAAGATCTGCTGAGAAATCCAACCACGTCAGTGTTGTTTCCCAATTGGAAAAATGTGTGTGCGCGTGCTGTTCCTCTGACTTCTCCCATTGGTCCTAATCCTACAAACACTTCATGTGAGTTGTAAGATTGATTTCAGTGAGACTACATATGCAGTCAAAGCTAAGGAAGTGTTTGCAGTATCGGGGCCATACTTTGGATTATCCAAACTCATATCCCCTCCCCTAACAGAATTCTAAACAAGTATTTTTATTTTTTCATATCTATTTTTCCAGAATGTATTTCCCATTCCATCTCGTTCAATGTAATTATTTGACAATTGAGTGAATGCTTTCTCTTTCCTTTCCATTTCCTTTCCTAGATAAAAGCTCACTCCCAGCTGTGGACTTCAGGCATGTTCCCTTCAGCATATTGGTGTGGCCAGGCTCTGGTGGACATTCCTCTCTGCTGTGCTCTTCTCTTCACAATGACTGGGATTATGTTTTTAATTAATTATAAAATTAGTCTGACTCCTGGATTATTAGCCTTACCTATGGTAAATTCCTTTTTAATAAACTATGTGGAAAATTCATCTTCAAGAATAAAATAACGGGGGGAAATTGAGGCCTGACTTTTTAAAAATGTTATCCAAATACTCTAGGCTCTTGCATATCCTTCACCATCCTTGTATCGGAGCGCCTGTTTTCTATTCTGAGCTTTGGGAGGCTTGAAAGATCTGTGTTGAAATCTTCATTGATGGATATAGCAAGTGCTGACCTTAGAGAAAGGTTTAACACCCTAAGAAATCCATGCCACCTCATTTTGTCAGTTGTCAAATTGGCTGTCTTTTTCTGGAGAATCTCAGTAATAGAATTACAGCAAGGGTATTCTACAGGAGCACTGTGCTGTGTCAGGATAGATGGAGGGAGCAATGTGCCCGTCACCTGGCTATGTATGCCTGATTTTACACTGCACATTACCATAAGTTTGTCACTTTTTTTCAGCACCAAATTCAACATACATGTTCAGAAGGGAGAAATAGCTGTCCAGTCTTAGCATGTTATTGGGTTTTCAGTTTGCAAGGAAGAGTTGTTCACTACAGTAGCATCCTTTCCCAGCTCCAAGTCCACTTTGGTTAAGGTTAGGTAGCACAAATGTTCCATCAAAAATGTCTGTGATACCATTTTTATCCTCTAAATTTGTGTTGCATATTGTTTGTGTTGGCATGATGCTCATTCTGATTCTCTCCATTCAGGTTGTGTCTATATTTGGCTATGCAGCATCCATTGTCGTCCTCACTTATGTGATCTCTTTTGCTTTTCGCAAAAAGAAAAGCTACAGTGACCTTTGGGCTTTTATCTTTATATTTGTAAGTACATGAAAGGTTTGAAGGGGGTTATAGTGTCATTGAAGATCAGATTTTATCATAGTGACAATCACAGATGGATCAAGCACAAAAAATTCAGAGGACATAAGTGGGGATTTCATCCTGGAGTTTTGTTCAGCTTCTTATAAAGACAGGCACCAATTTCAAAATTTGGACCTGGATCTTGCTTTCAGATTCAGAGGTTAAGAGGAGCTCCTGCTTCCCACTTGTCCAGCATCTGAGCAGGACATTCCATAACTGCTAAGATACCTGCAGTTGGAGCATGCTCACTGGGGAAACACTCTCAAGCTGATATCTTCAGAGAAGCAAAATAATATATATAATTTTCTCTTAAAGTGGACTAATGGGTGTGTTGCCTTTGGTTTGTTTGTTTTTTTATCATGGCTTTCTAGGTTTCTTTCGTGCTTAATGGAATTTATTATATAATCCATGTGAACTTCATCACGACCATCCTCACTGCATTGATTCCTTTCTATACGTTAGCTGGCTGTATGAGAATAATTGTGAAGGTGCGTGCAGAACATAACAAACTCCAGCATAATATGCTTTTTTCTAGTTTTAATTTGAAAAAGTTGCAACAAAACCTAAAAAAAAACCCAAGGCAGTCAGATGAATTGTTTGTAGCACACTGCCAGGTGCAGTCTGGCTAGATATGTACCATGACCTGAGCCTTGGGTTAAAATTTCAAACCAATGCAATGATTCCTATCAGTAATCGTTACCAAAATTCTCAGCTGTACTGCACTATGAAATGCCACTTTGCATCTACAGAAAACTACCGGCATGACGAAGTATTGATCCAAATAGCCTATGATGGATGCAGTACTGCAGCTATTCACTGAGAAGATGGAACCAAATATGCAGGCCAAATCCTAAGCGGTGCTGAGCATCTTTAATTCCCCTTGACTGCAGTGGGAATTTGCAGATGCTCAGCCTCTCTTCGGAATTGGCTCTGTGGTAGTATTTTGTATCTATGAGCACTCTCCCCATATGTAAGCCCTATGCCAAAGACTGTAGTGGACTGGTGAAAGTGTGGTGCAGAGGAAACAAGGAGATAAAACCAAGGAGGCAGCTGTCTAAGGAACTGCACAGGTTGCTTTCCAAGGGGTCAATATGGAAGTGGAATACGTGAGGGACTGTAATGAGAGGAAGGGAGAGAGCCGAAATCAATCTGGAAGAGGAAGATGAATGGGGAGCAGTCAGGGAGGCAGTAGGTCACATCTACCTAGAGAAGAATGAGGCAGGAGGAGAAGTGAGATTGGAGAAGGGTTAAAAATAGCAGTAGAGGAGAAATCTAGTGGCCCTATGATGGTTCTTTGGAAATGACACGGGGCAAGGGCTGTGGGAAGAGTGCCACCATTAGAGGGCAGCTGCAGATAGAGATGGAGGGAGGTAAAGGAACTGTGGATGGTGGGCGTTCCAGAGAAATCAGGAGAGAGGGTAAGCTGGGGTGGGGGAGAAGTTAGAGGTGAAGAGACTGGCAGAGTGGGTGGAGGGGATGGCAGCGAATGGTGGGGATGAAGGGAAGAGCAAGGGTTGCCGGATGCAAGAAAAAGAAGGCAAAGGAGCAGTGAAAGGTCGGATGAGGGTCTAGTGGGGGTAAGAAAAGGTAGGAGACGGATGTGGAAGGAAGAAGGGAGAACATAAAGGTGGTGGGAGGAAAACAGGAAGCAAGGAGGGCAAGATAGAAGAGAAGATGGAGGATGTGGTGGAAGCGGGAGGCTCAGGGATGCATCACCTTGATCTCTCATTGAGTTATAGGAGTGAGTCCAATCATGCCAAACCAATGAAGTGCTGAGTAATTGTGCGGCCAAATGATAAACTGTAAAGCCCCTTTGAAACAGAGGTCTAGGAAGGTCCCATACACTCTCTCTAACGATACCAAAAGCATTGCGGAGAGCTCATATGTGTTTAAACACAGAGGGATAAATTCAATCTTATCTTACATTCAAAGGATGTAGGCTTTCACTTTTACTCTCCACTGGAAATTGTTGCTGTTTCTAATCTGTAAATTGTTTTATCCTTATGCAGGTGTCGTCAGACCATTTATTTAACCCCTGGGAAGATGATCAAGAAATGATGCTGAGCAAAGGCCACTTGCTTGTTAGCCTGGCAGTAAGAACAAACTTCCATTTCCAAGATGATGTGAAGTTTTCCTGTTTTCAATGCCCTCCTCTTGCTGAATGGAGTTTCGTTGCAGAAAATTTCTCACACTGCTGCTCTGAGATTTAAAAAAAGAAAAGAAAAGATCCTCTGCCCAATCCTGTGATGTGCTGAGCCCTTTCAACCCCCCATTGACTTCAGGGGGAATTGAGAGGGCTCAACATCTCACTGGTAAAGAGGGGCCATCCATTCCAGCTACCTGAGGGGGGGGCAGTACAAGCGTTACCTTCACGGCATTTTTCTCATGTGGGCGTGAGTACCCTTGTGCATCTGCCACTTCCTGAAGGCTCTCTCCACACTCCTGCATCATAGCATCCTCCTCCTTCCTTCTTCCCCCCACTCTCTCAATTTCTCCATCCTTGGTAGAACTGATTTCACCTCCCAAGCGAGGGCCTTAACCACTAAGCTATAATCCATCCTCACACTCTCTCTGGCAAGACAACAGAGTCAATGTCAGAGCCAATATTAGATCTGGGTTGTTCCTGCTCTCAGTCCTGTGCTCCAATTGCTAGGCCATGCCTCTGTCTTTTTTTGCACTCCGTTTATCTTCACATGGGATGCTAAAATCTGAAATTTGAAAAGAAGTATTTGGGTAAAATCCCTGGCTCTGCTGAAGTAAATTGGAGTTTCGCCATTGACATCAATGGATCCAGGCATTTCACCCATTGTCTTTTGCTTATTTTCCAGCCATACCTGCACTGTATTATTTTTATTTTCATTCTGCGATGTCTGGAGTGGAAATACGGAAGAAAAACTACGAGAGAGGATCCAATCTTCAGGTCTGTGCAAAACAGAATCTATACAAATTGAATTGAGCCTTGGGCTGAATAGATCAGGTGTTCATGACACAGGAGCTACATGTGGAAATCTGCCTCTGTACCATATGCTTCAAGAACACTGAGTTTGGTTTCTTTTCTCTGTAGAATTTCTCCAAGGAAAGAGATCTTCCGCCAAAACCCTGAAGAGTCTGAAGGAGAAGATGAAGATGTTCAAGCTGAAAGAATGAGATCCAGCAGCGTGATGACCTGTCAGAACCAGGAAGAGGTAAAAATGAATAAGGAGAATGTGCATCCAACACGAAATCATAGAATCATAGAAATGTAGGACTGGTAGGGACCTCAATAGGTCATCTAGTTTGTGCTCAAGGTAGGATTGTGTAATAACTAGACTATTCCTGACAGGTGTTTGTCTAACCTGTTCTTTAAAACCTCCAATGACAGAGATTCCACAGCCTCCCTAGGCAATCTGTTCCAGTGCTTAACTACCCTGACACTTACGAAGTTCTTCCTAATGTCCAACCTAAATAATGACAATACATTATTTGGGTAGAGGCACGCTGCACATCTCCCCACATTACCCTGCCAATTGCTATCAAACCTGATATCAAATGGAATTAGATGGGTGTTTAATCTCTGGCGCTCCTTCATCTCTCTGTTAAGATTGCCAATATTAAAGCAAAGAGTAATGATTGGCTGTGTGATATAGACACCTGAATACTAGGGACCACGTTCTGATTTCATTTATGCTGGTGGCTCTTTTAAATTTTATAGACTTCTGTAATAAAACGTTTGCTGATGTAGTTGTAAACTACAGCGTAATGCATAGCAGTTAGCCTGACTTTAAATCTGCTTAATCTTCACCAGGCCTTCATTCTGATCTATGAAGGGCACAGTGCAGTTAAATGCTAGCTCTTTATATATTTCATTTTGCAGTAAAATCATCCATTTCTGCATTACGCTTATGCTATGTGAATCTTCCCTGTCTTCACCCTAGAGCCAGAGCACAAGGGAGCTGCTTAATCTTACTCAAGACTTTTTATCCAAAAATACCTCCTGGTCATGGGGAAAACAAAAGCTAAAGAGAGTTTCTCACATATTACCTATTTTCCTCTGGCTGATGTCACTGGCAGGGAGAAGAGATGGTGGCTCCATCCTACTGCCAGACAGGAAGAGCAGGGCAGCCTGTGAATTGGCAGAGTCTGGGCGGTGCCTCAAGATGCTTTGTGCTTAAAGTTGGCCCTGGACACTGGAAAACATTTAACAGGCTCTTGGTGTCACAAGCAGAGCTAGTTGGGAAATGGGATTTTTTGCAGAAAAATTCAACTTTTTGTCAAACAACAGTTTTCATCCAAAAAACAAAAATTATTTGGTTTCCAGTTTTCCAATGAAAAATTGAAAATATTCAAGGAAATCAGACACTTTCTATGAACGTTTTAATTTATCTGAAAGCCCAACTTGCCATCGAAAAGAAGTTTAGATGGAAAATTTTCAACCAGCCGTAGTCACAAGCAGCGCTGCCTGGAAAAGGGGATCCCTTACCAAGAAAAAATTTGCATTTCTGCCAGAAAATCATTCCAGCAGAAAATTCCTGAATGGCGCTCATGACAAGTGATGTCCATAAATGATTTTTCAGTAATAAGGCCACCAACCACAGAAGCCTCAGAAACACCCAACTTTTTCTTACCATGTGCATTTTCAGAGCTGGGTGTTGAGCCATAGATAGCTGCTTCTCAAACTGTGCTTAATAAATCCACAAGTCCACATAGTTAACAATAGTCAACTAGAAATTTTAAAATGTCAGCAGAGGAAGGAAGTGAGGAGGGTTTGTGATACCAAATGAATTCGAAGGAACAGTTTTCTTGATCATCTTTCATTCATTTCTCAGATTGGGCCATATCTGCTACAGCCATATATTTTATCAAAGTGATGGTGGTTTGCTTTTGTTCCATAGAGACCAATCCTTAGCGTCAACAGTCTACGCAAGGAATACAAAGACAAGAAGGCCAGCTCCATTTTTAAGAAAAGGAAGAAAGTCGCCACAAGAAATGTCTCCTTTTGCGTTAAAAAAGGTCAGAACAAACAAGTATATCACTAGAGGTTTTTAAAACAATGTTATGCATTTTGTTTAATAGAATATTTAGAGCTTGTGAAAGTTATTGGATTAACACCACTGGTGACTGAAGTCTTCTATTTATCACAAGCACCAAGCATGACAAATCAAGTAATTTTGGGTAGGGGCTTGTTGCAAGTGTCCTCGCATTATCTGGCTTATTTTTCTCAAACCTAACCTATGGAATTAGATGGGTGTGTAACCTCTGGCGGTCCTCCATCTCTCTGTTAAGATTGCCAATATTTATGGAAATAGTAATGGTTGATTTTGTGATATAGACACCTCAATACTGGAGGCCATATTCTGATTTCATTTATGCTGGGGAGTCTTAAATTTTGTAGACTTCTCCAGACATATGCAGGTGTAACTGTGACTGGAATCTGATCATAGGGATTTGACTGGCCCTATCAGTGGAGTTTACAATGGCCACTGAACAAGCATCAGATGGTAGAGAACTTCAGTCCCTACCAACCCAGGTGGAATTTAAATCAGTGACCCAGGAATGCTTCTCTATCTCATCACCAGTTCAGAGATTTGAGTACATATTTGTACCGCCAGCACAAATGGCAGACCATCAAGTGGATCAGTTTCAGGAAACATAAAAGCCTTCTACACGATATTCCAAACCATTTGCATGAGGCACTAGTCCAGTAGAGAAAAATAGCTGCAACTCTTTGCAAAAATGTTAGATTTCCCTGGTTCTGCCCCCTCTCTTTTGTAGTGACGTACAGTTGCTAGCAGTTCCAGTAGATGGTATTCATCTGTCCATTTTATTCTAGGTGAGGTTTTCGGGCTACTTGGACCCAATGGGGCTGGCAAAAGCACAACTCTAAAGGTGATCATTGGAGACACATCCCTAACTGCTGGACAGGTAGGAGAAACCTGGGAAAGAGGAGAAGGAGAATTGTCTATTCTGAATGCTAACTGAAAGCTGAAAACTCCAGGGTTATATCCTGGTCCTATTGAAATCAATGGCAGCAGATCGATTGACTTCAACAGGTATATCTACACTGCATCTAGAAGCAAGCCTTCCAGCCCACGCCCACAGACTCACGCTTGCGGGACTCAGGCTAGAGCACTAAAAGAAGCCGGGAGGTTGCCTGAGTTCCAGCCTGAGCCGCAACATCAAAATAACATCTACACAGCTATTGTTAGCATGCTAGCATGAGCCCTGATAACACAAGTCTGTAGACCCAGTTGGGAAGCTCGCTTCCAGATGCAATGTACACATACTCAACTGGGCCAGGATTTCACCCTAAGAGTTTGAAACGTACAATAAACAACAATAAGTTTGCAGTAATGACATCAAAGTCGTGCAGCCTTAGTTTCCAAACATTGTCTTACACAGTGGGAAAAGCTTGACTTGTTGGATTTGGGTGCTGCAGCCTAATTGCTACAGTTCTGAGATGTATTCATTTGTGTTTAATCATTTTTGTTGCTCTTCTCTGGACTTTCTCCAATTTGTCCACATCCTGGACCTGAAAATGCAGAACGATCTGAGCCAACAGTGTAACACAGTTGCAAAAAAAGCAAACATCTTTCTGGGATTATTAGCAGGAATGTTGTAAGCAAGACATGCAAAGTAATTTTTCCGATCTACTCCGCGCTGATTAGGGCTCAACTGCAGTATTGTGACCAGTTCTGGGCACCACATTTCAGGAAAGATGTGGACAAATGAGAGAAAGTCCAGAGAAGAGCAACAAAAATGATTAAAGGTCTAGAAAACATGACCTATGAAGGAAGATTGAAAAATTTGGGTTTGTTTAGTCTGAAGAAGAGAAGACTGAGAGGGGACGTAACAGTTTTCAAGTACATAAAAGGTTGGTACAAGGAGGAGGGAGAAAAATTGTTCTCCTTAACCTCTGAGAATAGGACAAGAAGCAGTGGGCTAAAATTGCAGCAAAGGAGATTTAGGTTGGACATTAGGAAAAACTTCCTAACTGTCAGGGTGGTCAAGCACTGGAATAAATTGTCTAGGGAGGTTGTGGAATCTCCATCATTGGAGATTTTTAAGAGCAGGTTGGACAAACACCTGTCAGGAATGGCCTAGATAATACTTAATCCTGCCATGAGTGCAGGGAACTGGATTAGATGACCTCTCGAGGTCCCTTTCATGAACATGGTAAATAATTCCTTCCTATTAGTTTACCCCTAATCTTATAGCCCCCTTCCTTTCACTCCTTCCCCACAGCATTACAAAAAGGAAACTGCATTTTACCTCTTTTCCCTGTCTCCCTTTGACTGTGCTGAAATAGTGGGGCCATATTAGAGCTGAAACCTGCAGAGCCCTCAGCTGGGCCCCTGGTGAGGTCTGCAGGATTCCATGTTGAAGAAGAGTTTTTAAAAACTGTGAAGAAACACTTCTACCTTTGAGCCCAGAATAAACCGATTGTTTGTGCAGGTGGTGATGAAGGGGACAGATGCAGCTGCTTCTCAACCAGAAGAGGACACAACTGACTTCCTAGGGTACTGCCCTCAGGAGAACCCTCTCTGGCCAAATCTTACTGTTCAGGAACATCTGGAGGTTTATGCTGCTGTGAAAGGGATGAGAAAAGAAGATGCTGCTGTTACTATCAAACGGTACAGAAATAAAATGATTCCAGCCTCCATGGCAGGTGGAGGGATGTACATTGTGTTTAATCACCGTTAGCGACCTCTGCGCCCATCTTGTCTAAAGCTGTTTCTGGTTCAGCTTCTTTATCACATTCATGTACCTATGACATAGAAGAAAAGGTGGAGCTCTTTCCCCCCTTGCTCAGGTTAAATGAAATGAAAGCAGGGAATGTTTAAAAAAATCCCTGTAAGGCATTTCATTGGGCACCCAGGGCCCAGCTGGGAAAGCTGGAGTTTGCCTGGTCACTTGTCTTTTGGCCATTGGAATGGGAACTACTAGTGTGAAAAACGGAAAAAATATTTGTGTATTTAGCAAAAAATGGAGGGGTTTTCTAATGACTACACAGGAAAATAAGAATTTCAGGGGGGTTCACATTTTAGAATTTCAAGGTTTTGAAATTTCATAGTGAAAAATCGGGAAGGTGGTTGTTTGTTTTTTTTTAACTAGTATCAGTTTGTTATTGTTGTTATAAATTGTTATTACTATTGTTATTATTTGTACTATAGGAGGGTCCAGGAACCCCAGGAGCAGGGCTTGCTGGTGCTGTAGAGTACGCACAGCACGTATTTTAATTTCCAAGACACACCAAGCGTCTGTGACAAATAGGGGACACAAGAGGAAGGATAGCTGGGTGGGTGGTTTTGAGCCAATTATATTTTAGTAAATAAACATGCTAAAAAGTAAATGGGTGACTGAGAACGTCATTGTTGCTGGAGAAGATTGGGCAGGGAGCCAGAGGATGGAGTGATGATGGTTTGTGAGATCACAAGGGTAGCTGTAGGAATTATTATGGTGTAACAGACAGAGGGGTTCAAGGCTAGGAAGGAGCAGGCCACCCTTCAGGTGGTTCCATAGGGAGAGACATGCCTGATAGGTTCATTTCACTTTTTCTCCCCACCAGGGTAGTGAATGCTCTGAAACTTCAGGAGCATCTTCAAAAACCAGCCAAGAAACTACCGGCAGGAATAAGCAGAAAGGTGTGGATTTTGTTCTCTCCTGTGATTTATGTTCTAAAACCAATCACTTCCTAGTTGCTGTTTCCATCTGGGCCCTCCTGAAGAGTTCAGAAGGAAGACTTCAAGTTGTCTTTTCAGGAAGTTTGGGGATCTTTTTTCCTGCAAATGCTTTTGGCTTTGTGGGTATTAAACCAGTGCTATTGGGTGCCATCTAGAGGACACAAAAGGCAAATATTTTGCACTCTCTGTAAGCAGAGTTGTCGTCTGAGGTTCAAAAAACTGTGGCATCTGGAATGATCCCAAGCCTATAAAACTGGACAGCTGGCAATGTGTACAGATTTCCCAGGAGAGCTATCTCAAAAAAGGGATGATCCTGGGAAAACCTGGACAGGTAGCAACCCTATCTATAAGGCAGGGATAAATCAGCCCTGGCAAGGATGATTCAGTAGTGTCTAGAGAAGGGAATGAACCTTTCCAGGAAGATCCCTCTCAATCATTCTTTATTTTGGAATGGCAAGTGAAAAGGCCTGAGCTGCCTCAAGTGGTATTTTTGTGCATTGCTCTATAGTTGGTGCGTCCCTGCCCTGGATTTTTAATTAAAGACGGACCTGAGCCCAAAACTCTGGATCTGAACTTCTCTAGAGTTCAGGGACATTTGAGATTGAGGTTTTGGATCAGCCCAGTAGAGAGAGAGGGACCATTCATGCAGTTTGGAACTGGATCTGAAGTTCTCCAAAGACCAGGGGTATGAAAAGGAGTGAATTCACACCCTTCTCTGGAACATCTTGGAAAAGGAGAAAGAAATGTTACACATTGTTTCTTTAGCAGACAGCGGGTCACACCTTACTGTGCAGTGTCAGAATCACTGGAGAAGCCTGAGTAGACGGTGAAGATGTCGTGAGTGAGAGAAGCCCCCTCAGCATGTGTCACTGACATGCCTGACCTGTTCATTCCCTGCAGATTCAGTCAAAGCTTGCTTTCTTCATACCAGTTACACTCACCACATGTTGACAGTCCCTCAAAGTGCATGCCACATTATAAAAAAGGGGGTTCCTCCATTAAACCACCTGAGCCATTCTGGCTATGACTATGCTGAGTGAAGGCAGTTACTACCAATGAGACCAGTGCACGCAGTGAAGGTAAAAGCCACTGACTTTGTGATCTCCCTCATCAGGTATGCTTTGCACTGAGCATGCTGGGCAAGCCCATGCTGGTGCTTTTGGACGAACTGTCGACTGGAATGGACCCCATGGGGCAACATCATGTGCGGTGAGTGTGGCTAACTGTCCAGAAGGCAGCATGGAAGCCAGCTGTTCGAATGCCCCTTGGGCTTGTTAGAGAGACAAAGTGGGTGAGGTAATATCTGTGACTGGACCAACCGCTGTTAGTGAGAGGGACCAGCTTTCGAGGCTCAGGGAAGGAGAAGGCCTCATGGAGGTTCATAGCAGAGGAGAGGACCCCCTACTACACTTGTTTTGGGGTGCAGCCTGCACAGCAAGCGGCATGTAGTTTTGGGGGGCATGTCAGGTGTGTGATGTGCCCTGGGAGGATTTGAAGCAGAGCAGCCTTTGTGTTTCCAGCACTCAGGTTTTGCAATGCTGCCTGACCTCTTAGTGAGCCATGCAAGTGAGCGAAGCTATTTTGACAGAATACAGCCCTGTGGTAGCAGGAGAGAGGGTCTGAATTTTCAATCCAGACTTAGTTACTCCTAGGCGGCTCTCTCTGATTCACACTCATAAAATAATCTGACATCCAAAGGGTCCTTGCTTTCAGAACAAACTGTAGGAACCTTTTTGTCGTTATTTCAATCCTTGCGCTGTAGCAGATCATTACTTGTAGGGGGATGAGCAAACCCAACAAGGAGCACTTCAATTCTAAAGGTTTAGGTTCCTTGTTAGTGTGACCTTCTACCCTTCCCCCACCTGGACTCCCACCTGATTTGCCTGTGATCACTCTGAAAATATCAGTGATCGTTTTCTAAGCACAAAATAGACCATACCAGCCTCGGTCTCTTTGCTTTCTCAGATACCCTCAAGCTGCAATTATGTTCCTAGCCCTCCTTCTCTTCTTTCACTGTGTCCTTCCTCTCCCCTCCCCCACCTGTCTTTCCTCTCTGCAAGTCATCCCTAGCTCTCCACCCCAATGGCCTTGAACTTTGAAGGTTCAGTGATCATGCAAGTTCTGCTATTTTGGTTAGCTTATTAGTTTCTCCTTTCATTATTGTAAAAGGGCAGCTGTAGGAGGAAAGTTACATGTCTCTGCCTTTTCTGGAAGTCAGAGCAGCGATGCAGGAAAATACTCACAGGAGTTACACATTGCAAATCAAATGTACTTTTTGGTTGCAGGACAGCTGTTCGTGCTGCATTGAAAAATAAGAAACAAGGAGTCATCTTGACAACCCATTACATACAAGAGGCTGAGTCATTGTGTGACCGAGTGGCCATCATGGTGTCTGGAAAGCTTCGGTAAGCAGCAGCAGACACATTAGAGAAATATAAGGGTATGTCTACACTTACCTCCGGAGCAATCAATCCAGCGGGGGTCGATTTATCGCGTCTAGTGAAGACACGATAAATCGACCGCCGAGCGCTCTCCCGTCGACTCCGGTACTCCCCCGGAGCGAGAAGCATAGGTGGAGTCGATGGGGGAGCGTCAGCAGTCAACCTACTGCAGTGAAGACACCGCGGTGAGTAGATCTAAATACATTGACTTCAGCTACATTATTCACGTAGCTGAAGTTGCGTAACTTAGATCGATTCCCCCCTCCCCTCCTAGCAGTGTAGACCAGGCCTAAGTGTCAAAAATGAATACAGCTTTGGATTAAAAAAAAATTCAGGGACCAGCATTAAATATATATTGTCAAAATTCAGTTGCAAAGCTGTTGTTAAGTGCTTGCACATTGCCAGTTTATTTTGCCAAGAGATACTGCTCCTTCCAAGGAATACTGTTGCTTAAACACAAAGTAAATGTATTCCCTTGGAAGACAGATAGACTTAGGAAGAATCTGAGCTAATATCAATCCTTCCCCTAGAGAACTAATAGAAAAACTAATGAATTCAACCACTTTCTTCACATCATGTGGTTGCAATTATTAAAAGAGAGTAGTGAGAACCATTGATGAGTGTTTCACTTTGTGCTTCTCTCCTCTGCAGCTGTATCGGCTCCATTCAGTACCTGAAAAGCAAGTTTGGCAAAGGTTACTTGCTGGAAATTAAAGTGAAGGCCCCAGAACAAGTTGATCTCATCCATGCAGAGATTACACGAATCTTCCCACTTGCAGCACGTCAGGAACGGTAACTTAAAAGAATGCTGGAGCTTTATTGACAATGCAAATGCTTCTGTGCTGCAGGGGTTACATAGTGGGCTTGGATGCTATTTGAATTTGCGTGCAATCGGCACAACAGTGGGTTAACTTAGAGATCTGAGTTTGTGTGTGAGGTGTATGAATTCCAGCATCCACAAAGCCAGGGGATGATAGGCTGGAGAGGGTAGGACACCAACTGAGCCCATCTACAACACCTCCTGCTCACCAGTCCAGAATATGGCTTCAAAGAGTGGCAATTGGTTGCAACAATAGGCCCAGAAAGATTATTAAAAAGGAAGAGTATTAATTATCATCAGGGCCAGAGGAAACAGTAATGAAGTTAGTACGTCCAATTTAGTATGCACACCTTATGATGGAACATACTTCTTGGGTCACTCATGGAGGGAGAGGGAATACCACACTGAAAGCTGGACAGCACATAAACTTTCGGAAGAAAGACTAACGTTTTGAAAAGGTACATTTAGAAATTGTTCTACCAAACAATTTTGATCAGTTTGGGAATATTTTCCAAGCTGATGTCCATTATTTACTTTTTTCTAACTATCCCATTTAGGGGTTGGACATTCCATACTCGTAAAATAAAAAAGATGATTTCTCCAGGGAACCAACCGTCTTTCTCTTAGTGGGACCCTTGTAAAATCATTCAACGTTTAGAGTCTTCCTCTATGTGACTCCAATGCAAAAAAACCTAGCTTCCTAATATTTCTCTTCTGAATCCACTGATATTAATTTGAATAAGGATGCAAGTTCCATGACAAAGTAATTTTACTATGAGTGGACAAGTGCTTTCAATACCCCAGCTTCTCTTGTATGCATAACCACCCACAAATTATTTTATGATGTTGCGTTAATATCCTAATATATTAGGTGCTATATCGCAACATACAGTCCCAACCCCAAAGAGCTAACAATCTGAATAACAAAAACAGATGAAGGGTAAAGGAAAGGGATATGCCATACAAGCTGAGTAGAAAGGCTGATGACTGGTATGTGTGTTCACAGGAGAGAACCCCATTTCTCATAGTTATATATTTTAAGATCAGAAAGAACCATTATGATCATCTAGAGTGGAATCCTGGACCATTTGAAGTCATTGGCAAAAAATCCCATTGACTTAGGGCTTGTCTACATTACCGCATGGAGTCGATCTAAGATACGCAACTTCAGCTACGCGATTAGCGTAGCTAAAGTTGACGTACTTAGTTCTACTTCCCGCAGTGTCTTCACTGCGGTAAGTCAACAACTGACACTTTCCCGTCGACTCCACTTTCGCTTCTTTTTCTGGTGGAGTACCGGAGTTGACGGGAGAGCGCTCAGTGGTCGATTTATCAAGTCTATACTAGACACGATAAATTGACCCCTGCTGGATCGATCGCTGCCCGCCAATCCGGCGGGTAGTGTAGAGAAGCCCTTAGTCTGAGCTCCTGCATAATATAGGAAATAAAATTCCTACCATTGATTCCTATATCAATCTTGTTACTTCTGGCTGAGCTAGAGCATAACTTTTAGAAAAACATCCAGTCTTGATTTAACGATTTCAGGAGAGGACGACGAATCCATGGCATCACTAGGTAAGTTTTTCCAGTGGTTAATTACCCTCTTCACCACAAGAGTGCACCTTATTTCTACTTAGAATGTGTCTAGCTTCACCTTTCAGCCACCGGAATGTGTTATCATAGGTGCCGGAACTAGGGGTGCGGTGGATGCTGCAGCGCACCCTGGCTTGAAGTGGTTTCCATTATATACAGGGTTTACAGTTTGATTCAATGGCTCTCAGCATCCCCACTATACAAATTGTTCCAGCACCACTGTTATGCTTTTGTCTGCCAGATTAAAGAGCGGTTTGCCATCAGAAATCTTCTCTCGGCGCATGTACGTATAGACTGTGATCCAATCATTGCTTAAACGTTCTGGTCACCTTCTGCACATTTCTTCTCTCAGGTATCCCTCTTTGATGGTCTATAAGATACCAATGGAAAATGTACAGTCTCTGTCCCAGGCTTTTTTCAATTTGGAGGCAGGTAAGAGGGGTGCTGTCAAATGTTGGAATCTCTGTAATACAGCCGCATTTTAAGCTATATATTTTTTCTGTCAAAAAAGCTTGGGCCAGATCCTCTGTGGGTGTAAATAGGCCTAGCTGCATTAAAGTCTCTGGAGCTATGGCAGTTTACACCGAGCTGAGGTTCTGGCCCTGTGAACTACAACTTTGGGGCCTGTTGAGCAGTCCTGTGGATGCTCTAAAATGGCTGCTTCTGACAGTGCAGGAGGGGTGCCTCTGGAAGGCAGGCCTTATTGGAAGGATGTCAGAGCATCAGACATCAGCTCTGATCACCCGACATTATGATAGTCTTCCTAAAAAGACTGATATTCAAAGATGCTAGTTTCTAGAATGGTGAGATCTCTATACTGGTGGTCCACGTGTTACAGGCAGGACACCTGGAGTAAATTTTCAAAAGCACCTAAGTCCCATTGACTTTCAATAACAGTTGGTAGCCTAAGTCCGTCTATCTATGTGTCCCTCTCTCTTTAAAAGGGAACTTAGCTTCCTGGGAAATGTTACCCTTAGCTCTCCCCTCCAAAGGTTTCAGAGTGCCCTCTCCCTGCTTAGTCCATACATACAGGAGAACTTGAGAGTGAATCCTACAGATAGCAAAATTTGGAGGTAAAATCCTGGGTCCACTGAAGACAATGGAAGTTTTGCCATTGACTTCAATGGGGCCAGGATTTCACCCTGAGTGTTTCCAGCAGGACTGATCAAAAAATGTACATCAATTTTTTTTAACAGAAAGTATCTGCTTTCCTCAATTTCTAATTTTTTTTCATCAGAATACCAACACCCCCCACTCACCCACCTAAATAAGGCAGTTTTGGCCTAAAGTTTTACAGATTGGGCTAAAAAGAAATTCACCAAAATGTCAACATTTTCTGCTGAAATATTTTTACCAAAATGTAAAAAGAAATCATTCTCATCTCAGTTTTTTGCAGAGGAAAAATATTTCTGATCGGTTTATTTCCAGTGTAACTTTGCATTGTATATAACAGAATCACAGAAATGTAGGACCAGAAGGGACCTTGACAGGTCACTAGTCCAGTCCCTTGCATTGAGGAAGGACTAAGTATTATCTAGACCAGGCCTGACAGATGTTTGTCTTACCTGTTCTAAAAAACCTCCAATGATCAAGATTCCACAACCTCCCAAGGTAATTTGTTCCAATGCTTAACTACCCTGACAGTTACCTAAATCTCCCTTGTTGCAGTTTAAGCCCATTACTTCTTATCCTGTCCTCAGTGGATAAGGAGAACAATTTATCACCTTCCTCTTTATAACAACTTTTTACGTACTTGAAGACTGATCATTTCCCTCCTCTGTCTTCTCTTCTCCAGACTAAACTAACCCAGCGTTTTCAATTTTTCCTCCTAGGTCATGTTTTCTAGACCTTTAATCATTTTTATTCTCCTCTGGACTTACTCCAGTTTGTCCAGATCTTTACCAAACTAGGGTGCCCAGAACTGGACACAGTACTCCAGCTGAAGCCTAATCAGTGCTGAGTAGTACTATCTTGTGCTCGTTGACTGTCAAGACCTCGTCCAAAATTAAACTGTATTGTGTAACCAGGGCTGGCCATAGATTGTTTTGTAACTCTGTGAGATGTCAGATGTGCAGGGCCCATAAAGGACTTCAGCCACAAACACTGAATTGTGAGCCTCAAGGTTCTGGGCACCACTGGGGAAACTTACAGGAATTTGAGGGGACTTGCAGTGTGGTGAGGAGCACTCATGACTGGCCAAATAGGGAAGCAGCTGTCCCCATCCATTGTTACATACAGTCAGAGATGGTGTCTTTGCAACGTGGATGTCTTCAGGCTATTGAGAGCACTTCTAGACAGTTGCTTGCACAGCTGTGTTCTCTGCATCTGTCTGAGGAGAACTAAACAAAAAGGACTCACCATACATTTGAAGAATCTTTATTTAAAGTCATAAAATATATTTGGGGGAGATTTCTAATGTGTTTTCATTTCTGTCCAGCTAAACGTACCTTCGACCTGGAGGAGTACAGCCTTTCTCAGTCCACTTTGGAACAGGTACAGTGTGCTATTTATAATATTTCTGAGACAGAAGCAAGAAAATATAATGTGTAAAAATGAACATATTTAACCTGGTAACCAACATATTTTAAAGAATGTCCATGTGGGGATCAGTCCAAATAATAATGATCCCTAGCTCTTACTCCACACTTTTCATCAGGACATTTAAAAGTGATTTACAAAGGAGGCCAGCATCATTATTCTCATTTTACAAATGGGGAAACTGAGGCACAGAGCGATGAGGTGATTTGCCCAAGGTCACCCAGCAAACCAGAACCAGGGCCAAAAATTGAAGTCAGGTCTCCTGAGTCCCCATCCAGTGCCCTGTGCACTAGGAACACTGCCTCCTAAATGAGAGGTGTTCTCAATAAGTGGTATAAAGGTTGTCATCTCAGCACTGTCTATGCTGTGTACCTGTCAGAAGCACAGAACAATAATTATTGCAATGCCTTATGATTTGATATGGAATTTCTATTCAGATGCAAATGACACCTATGTACAAGCATTCAAAACCATGGTTATTTCAAAACAGTGGTTATCAGTGAGTTTGCTCAGTTGTAACTGATGTTAGAATTTGGTCCTGTGTTGGTTTTTCTTTGCCACTTAACAGAATTATGTCATCCTCTGATAGCTCACATCTCATTGGGTTAGAGTACAGAAACAATTTCTCATGCCATGTCTCTCTCTTCATTGCAACCTCTTTTTGTGCCTTTTGGATTGTTGGATAAATACATCTAAATCTAAAACAAAATTGTTTGAGCTCTTTGTTTCCAATCCTGGGAATTAATTAGACCCTTCTTTTAACTTTCACATTCCAGGTGTTCTTAGAGCTTTCAAGAGAGCAGGAGAAAGAGGATTTTGATATGAATCTGGATAGTACAGCAGAATGGAAACTCCTTCAGCAGGATGATAACTAAAGCTCTGCACCACAGTCCTATATCTCTGCTACAAACAATATCTGCATGTACAATTACATACTACGTTATATCCAGTACTAACATTGTATTATGGTAATGTCAGGAGAGGAAAGTTCAGCCAGTCATCATGAAAACTATTTTTTGATTAATTACATTTGGCTATGGCTACATTTCCTTTTGGAGCAAAGAATATGTTCTGAGACACATGGGCCAAGGACCAAAAATGGGGTTGGCCGCCAATAACAGAAGATGAGGGAGCTCACGGGCAAAATCAGTCCAATTTCAATACATCTGCAGTTGCAAATACGAGAAAAGCAGAACAGAATCTTAAAAAGCCATCTGCTCAGAAATTTGAACTGAGATCCCTTTTGTCACACAAATCACACAAAACACATTACAGAGTTTTCAGTTAAATACTGGTGGTGAAGTGACGACATGCATAAACCTGTCAGCAGGGATTCATGTATTACAGGGATGAACAAATGTACAGGTGATTGGATATACTGGGCCTGATTTTGCTTTCTTAGTAGATTGATTATGATTTTAGTCCTCTGGCTGCAGCTGAGTTATTTAGATTTGCATCAGTGAGACTGATAATCTCTGTCTCTTTCTGTAAGTGTCCTGAGTTTTTTCACCTTATGGATAGAGGGATCTCTCAACAATGGAGCAACACACTTAACAGTACAGCAATAGTGTCATCTCTCTCGGTGAGACGAAGTGCTTATATGGGACTAGAATGAACAATCTTCTGCCGCGGAGATGTGATTGCTATTAACTGAGTCTGATGCTTTTACACTGTTATCAGCAATTTGCCAGAGTGATCTCATTATTGGAGTATTCTTTATATTATTGGACCTTCAGGTTACTTGCTATGAGACCTGTTAAATATATGAAGAAGAAAAACATTCTCCTCTTGAATGTTAATGGTAGTACTGTTTTGCTGTTCCTTTACGTGCCAAAAGGACATCAGCAGAAGAACAGAGCTGATGTCAGAGAGAGATTCTGTCTCATCAGCATTATTTGTAGGAGACAAAGACAATGACAAAAAAATTAGAAAGCAATGCAATACTACTGGTAGTTCTTGTGTATGAGTCATTGATAAAGTACAAACTCCAACTTCACATGGTTTACAGGTTTAGTGAATAAAATCCTAATAGCTGTATGCATCAACTGGAATTGCTACATGTCAGGGACTTTCTAGATTTCTCACTACTGCTGGAACCTTAAATAGCTGCAACAGCCAGAAACACCATCCTCCATCGGTACCTAGCAACAGCTCCTTTGAATCATGACACACATGTGGCCTCTAAGCTTGACTGTTGCAATGGACTGAACCCGCTAAGCAGAGTGACATTCTGACCCCCAAACCAGTGCGTGCGCTCGAAGTGCGCTGATGGCAGTAACTAATACACCTCAGTCCGCCAAGGGGTGGAGTGTAGGGGCAAGGTTGCGGAAGATTGGCGAGGAGCTAAGGGGTGGACTGAGTATGTGACTGGATGTAAGCGGAGGATGCAGGCAGTTTCAATGAACTTTGTCCGACAGACCCTGCCAAAAGACATTGTAGCATAGCTCAGCATATTTTTGCCTGTAAATAAGTCAGTTTAAGTAATAAGCATAAATCCTATATATAAGAATGTAACCAGCTGTTGACCCCATGTAACTCCGAAATAAGCGCGGAGAATATAGCGCCGCAGAGGACTCCCTGCTGGTGGAGTCCTGCCTGGTCAGCTGTCCCGAACGGCCAGAGTCCCCTGCAGCCCCTCCGCGTGTCCTAGGGGCTCCCCGCGCAGATTGGAGCTTAAGTTTTTCCTTCCTTCAATAAAGCATAGTTTACTATTCTTAGACCTGAGTGTCCTCCTTTCGCTGGTATCCCCCCCCCCCCAGCCCTCGCGGGCAGGCGTCGTGTCATCGCCCAGGTGCTTCAGACGCTAGCTACACACTGAACATGGAATCATACACAAGGACCTCGTATTGGTTTTCAAACCTGCTTCACACATGCTCCTTCTCATTCCGCAATGACTAACTCCCTCAACAGAGAAACACGGTGGGTGAGGAGAGTCAGAGTGAGCTCAAAAGCATGATTTTCTCACCAGCAGAAGTTGGTCTAATAAAAGCTATTACCTCACCCACCTTGTCTCTCGAATATCCTGGGACCAACCTGGCTATAGCACCACTGCATCCCTCAACAGATAAATTCCATGGGGGTGATGGAATTCTCTACATCAGATCGGCATGTGGTTTAAGATACACATTTTTAAGAGAACTACAACTCATGACAACTCGTCTACTTGTCTTCAGTCATCAAGTACTCCTGTTGTGCATTACCCAGCATTAATGCCTAATACCAGCATGTCTAGATGATAGATTCTGGGGGAAAAAATTCATATATTATCTCTCTTGTATATAAAAGAAAATCTGGTATTGATCTGTAATTGTGTATGGCTCACTAAGATGCTAAATGTTCACCTTTCCTCTTTGGACTAGTGATTATATGATATTGAAACAATAGCTGAGATGACAAAATACTCAAAGAAACCTGTTAAAGGTACTCAGACATGGCATGATACAGTAGTTTACTCATTAAATCTCACTAAAGGTAAAGTACCAGATGACAGGATGCTGGATGGAGAAGTGATCTCAATACATACAGGAAAAGTTTTAAAAACCCCAAACATCCATCAGAGAAATAACATCAATTCTAACAATTGAACATGGTTAGAATGTGCTGCTCAGATGCTTGGTTGTGGGAGAAAACATGGGGTTACTTCCCACATCCCACTGGTTCTGATCTCACACAGATCCCACAACCAGCAATGCCTGTGACCTACTGTATTCCGAACAGTGATGAAATGCAGAGTTGAGCTCTTGGGCAGAGAGTAGCAAGGCAAAAAAAACTTTCCCTGTTTAAAAACAAACCAACCAACTACTGCGGGTTTTTTAGGCAGAAAAAATGTAAAAACAAAAACACAGTTTTACTTCAATGGAAGATCATCTTCTTCAGTTAGGCTGGGATTCTCATAAGTGCCTAAGGGAGTTAGCAAAAAAACCGAGGAGTACTTGTGGCACCTTAGAGACTAACAAATATATTTAGTCTCTAGGGTGCCACAAATCCTCCTCGTTTTGTTCTGTTTTTTGCTGATACAGACTCACACAGCTACCACTCTGAAACCTGTCACTAAGGGAGTTAGGTGCCCAGGACCCATTGATTTCCAGTGGTACTTGTGTTTGTGCATCTCTTGGGCACTTTGACAGTCCCACCCTTAAAGCTGAGCCTTGTAGGAAGCCAAACATAAATATTTGGGGTGAAATCCTGGAAATAGTAGTTTTGCCATTGACTTTAGTGAGGCCAGGATTTCATCCATCATTTTAAAGATTTGACACCTTCTCTCACCAAAAGTTTGCCACAAAAGTTTCTCCTATGGGTTTCTCAGCCAGAATACTTTGTAGCAAGTACATGGCTGCCTAGCAAACTGCAGTGTTTCAGCTTCTCCATCCCCCAAGCATTAATTCTTCTTACAAGACGATGGGAGGTTTTGCCAGTGCAAATCTGAGAAGGTGGCTCTCTCGATAGGGAGAACAGCAGCAGTGCTTGTTAGAGTGTCAAGCAAAACCCTTCATTGCAATAACAAGGAATACAAGGAGGCATCCCCTTCAGGTTCCCGTGGTTTGTGATCTCTGGAATTCCTTTAATTGGAAACACTCCTACAAGTTTCCCTAAAACCGTCTCGTCCAAGGGGTCTCAAACTGTGGATTGGGACCCCAAAGTGGGTCACGATCCTGTTTTTTAACGGGGTCACCAGGACTGGCGTTAGACTTGCTGAGGCTCAGGGCCAACGCAGAAGCCCAAGCCCCACCGCCTGGGGCCAAAGCCAAAGTTTGAGAGCTTCAGCCCCGGGCAGTGGGGCTCAGGCTTCGGCTTCAGCCCTGGGCGATGAAGATCAGGTTACAGGCCCCCACCAGGGCAGTGGAGCTTGGGCTTTGTTTCCCTGGGATCGTGCAGTAATTTTTGTTGTCAGAAGTGGGTCACGGTGCAATGAAGTTTGAGAACCTCGGGAAGGGGCCAGACCAGGTGAGTGAGCTAATATTTTTTCATGGAACCAACTTCTGTTGGCGAGACAGACAAGTTTCTGAGCTTACACAGAGTGCTTCGTCACCTGGACCACGTTTCCTGTCGGCATTAACAACCTAACGCAAGTTTCCAGGAGATGGTCTCGCAGTTTGCCAATAAGGTGGCTTTCTGGTATGTCATATGCAGCTGGGAACCTGGAAATAAACAACAGAAATTTGGTTGGGGGATTTGTGGGGGTTTAGTTGTGCCTGAAGCTTTGGGTTTCTAAATTTTTGGGTTTTATTTCTGATTTTTGTTTCTTTGCGCCCTCCCCCCCCCCCCGCCTTTTTTTTAACAGTATTGCTTTTCTTTTCCTCAACTCCTCTTCCCTCCCTGTCATCCTCCAGTCTGTTTTGGGTTTGTAAAAAGAAGAGACTCCTTTAGTTGTTGGAACAGTATATTTATTTATAATTCTCCCATGCAGTTCCACTCCAGAATTGGCTGTTTACTCCTGTTAATAACCTATTGCTCTCCAAACAGCCAAAGCCTGTTTTCTCAGGTCCATACAATACAACACAATATTACGGTGAAAGACAGAGACATATGTTTTCTACTGATGAGAAGGTTCTACACCTTTGGAACTAGAAAATCCAACTGAATGCATCGCTACCCAATTCCTGATACAGAGCATTGCACCAGCGCAACTAACATAAAAAGGAACTGGAATCTGCTGTCTTTAAAACTGTAAAAATAGCTTGTGCTTTTGCTTCAAAAACTGTACCTATTCTTTTAAAAAAAGAAAGGAAAATAAAATGTCTGGAAGGCACTGAGTTATTCCCTCTCCTTTACAGCTGGGAATTGCTCAGCTCCAGATTATCTTCACAGGGGCAGCTTGTTTCTGCATTTTCCTGAGCAGATTTTGTGTGTTAATCAGAAGTGCACTGCTTAAGAGACATATGACCCTTCAGTGAGATGACTTCCCTCATTGGGAATCATAAACAGAAATGAGGCCCCTGTTTCCAAGTTTGCAAACCACTTCATGTGCCCTGCAGCGTGTCTCAGCCTCTGCATTGCTGGAGTTAGAGAAGTTTCTGAGACGACAGAGAACTGGGAGCCAAAGTTTTTCTTTTAGTTTTGCATTGACTGGCAGGTTTCATTGATTCTGCCTGTGCACCTTAAGCTGCTTCAAGTGGAGATGGAGAATTTGGCTGTGCTATTCTTGTAAAAGGCAATGAGGGGGAACAAAGAAAAAATACCACGTAACCACTCTGAAAACATACCCATGTGCGCCGGACTGTCCTTCTGGGCTTACCTGAAATGCTCTCAGGGTTACCCACTGTTTGGGATTGTTTGACGGGGATGGTTATTCACACTTGGGGATGGTAGCAATCAGCTCTTCAGTGTCTTAACACTATAATATTTTATTGCCAGCTACTGTAATAATGAAGTATAAGGGTCTGATCCTTGTACTTGTGATGGAGTGATTCTTCCACCTACTGAAGTAGAAGGAAAGGCTCCCACTGACTTCAATGGGCAAGAGAGCCTTAGCTATACACTGCAGTTTTGAGTCTATGTAATCGGGGCCACACATACTAGCCAGTGCATAACAAACGGGAGGGCTGTACAGATATCTGAAGGGACGCACGCCTTTGGCTATGGAAGAGTCTTGTATTCGTAAAGGAAAAAAGAACTTTCAAGCCAAAAGGAATAAGGAAAAAATCCCACTGAATCTCATATGTGAAGGGGGATGGGAGATACAAAAAGCAGCCAGCTGCCTCCACACATGGAGTCAGGGGAGCGAAGGAAAAATATCAAGAAACCCCAGCAGGGAGAACTCAGATGGTCTAATCCAGCCAGTTTAAAAGATTTAGGCAGATCAAAAAGGAAAAGCAAACTTTAAAACCTTGGCTAATGAGAACAGACGCTTCCACCTGCTGGGGAATAGGGCAGGCACAGCTGTGTTACTCTGCACTGAGGGACTATGTTACAAAGGGTTGTGTGTTTCCTGTCCCTTTTTGCTGGTAGGTGGTCAGATTACCCACTGTCTGGGCTGGCATATTTGGACAGGGTTGAAATATTCTTATAAACTAACTACGAAAATCTGTCCATTTCAACTTCCTCCAAATTTCTATCCATTGTTCTCTCAGCAAGCGCTCAATAATATTTCTAGGTGGAAGAATAGCGCCACCACAAAGCCTTTGCTTACCCAGAGAGAAGAGATCGACTAAGAGACTTATCCAGGGTCGCACAGGGACTCTGCAGCAGAGCAGACAATTCTCTGGTCTCCCAAGTCCCAGACAAGCTCTGTAACTTACCCTGGATCACCCTTCCCTTCCATTATAGTCAAATAGCCAAATATTCATTCAGAGATGTGCTAGCCAATGCACAAGTTGCATGTTCGGTCAGGGTTGGCAACAGCTACTATAACAAAGGCTGCAGCTCAGAGATGTAAAGGTCCAACTTGGATTTCGCATTACACCACTTAGCCACTTGCACCATTGCTTCATCCACCCGCAAAGCACCCTCTACTTCCAACTGATGTTCAGTTAGGAAAGATGCCCACTGACTTCAATGGGGGTTGGATCAGGTCGGGTTGGAGGCATTCAGATCCTATAGTGGTGGAGTCTATACATTCAAGAACCTCAGTAGAGAAGTCCCAACAGTCTTGCAGCGCCCGGGTGGCCTGTACCCTTTCACAGCACCTATATTAACCAGACAGCGCCTGGTTTTCTGCAAGGCCTAGATTCGGCCTCCACACATGTCCATGCACAGCGTCCTGAGAAGGGAACCTAACGA